TAAAAAAAGTAAATTTTTTTTTTTTTTTTTTTTTTAAAGTTTTTAAAATTTTTTTTTTTTTTAAGGGTTCGGGGTTACGTTTAATGAAAAAAAAAAAAAAAAAAAAAAAAACTGAATAATATTAATAATAATAATAATATTTACGTTTTTTTTTTTTTTTTTTTAAATACATTTGCATTTCAATTAAGGGGAAATAAATAAATAAAAACAAAAAATTTTTAATACTTTTAATAATAATTATTAAGTAATAATTTTTTTTTTTTAAATTTAATTACTTAATTTTTTTTAAAATTAGAGCTTATTGGGATTTAATTCGGTTTTTTTTTGTTTTCCGTGTCGACAAACGTTTGTTTGTTTGTTTGTTTGTTTGTTTTCGTTCGTTTAATTTCGTTCATTATTTATTTATTTAATATTAAAATAATTTTTGGGGTTTTATTTTAAAATCCATTCGAACGTGTTTTAATTTTTTGTTTTTTTTTTTTAATTTGAATAAGAAACGTGAGAGAGAGAGAGAGACAGAGAGAGAAAAGGGCAACAACAACAAACAATTTTAACTAACAAACAACAAAAATTCTTCTTCCCCCCCCCCCCCCCATTTTTTTTTTTTTGCCAAAAATAACAAGGAAATCGTTAAATTTTCTTTTTTTATTTTTTTAACGGTTATTATAAATAAGCGAGAATTTTTTTTTCTTTATTTTTTTTATCGTAAAAAATTTTATATAAAACGGCGTTACAAAGTGTGAGAAATTTTCTCACGCGCATGCGCACACACACGCACACACGCACAAACGTTCGGGTGGAGGAAAATTATTTTTTTTCGACAAACACAGAGAGAGTCGATTAAATTATATTTTAAAAAACGAATTTTTTTTTTGTTGGGGGGAGGATGGGCTTAAATAAAAGGAAATGAAATGATTAAAAAGGAACCGGAAGTAGAATAATTTTCATCTCGAGAGAGACTAAAATTATTTTTAATAGTTTCAAATAAAAACAATAATTTTTCCGGTTTGTTTTTCGTTTTCGAAACAAAAAAAAAAAAACTGATTTTATTATTATTATTATTTTTTGAACACTGTGTCTGCTTCCACTTTAATTTTTTTTTTTTGTCGGTTTACGTAAAAATAAAAGGAAAAGTATTTAAACTGCGCGATTTATGACGTATGAGATTTTTTTTTTTTTTTGTTTTTTATATCCAATAAAATATTATTTTTACTGTTTTAATTTTTATATATAAAATATGGTCACTGTTCAAATCATTTCTGATAAATTTTATTAATGTTATTAAAACTTTACGTCACTTATTTTATTTGATTTTTACGTATCCGTATACCTTCGATCTCGTTTTTTTTAACAAAAAAAAAAAAAAAAAAAAAAAAAATGGAAAACTTTAAAATACGTGATCTTGATTGACGCTCAAATTATTATTTTTTTTTTTTTTACCTTTTTATCGAAAACTGCAAGAGACGTGGCAGTAGAATACTTTATTCGCACGAATGGCATCAAGTTGCGTGAGTTGATTAAGATGATCAGGAGGAAATTTCGAACGTGTTTATAAAAAAAAATACGCGAAAAAATGTGCGTGTGAGAGCGCGCGTTCAGAAACCTAAGTAAAATTATTAATTTTTATTTTGTTGGAAAAGAAAGAAAGGAGGTGGTGAGTGGGTGGGTAGGTGGGGGGAGAGGGTGGGGAAAAAATAAAAAAAAAACTTTAATGCGAAATTATTATTATTTTTTTTTGATTGATTTTTTCCGAAGTGATTTATTAAATTTTTTCCTATTCATAATTTTTCTATCGTCGTACGAAACTTTCGTCATGTAATCAAGTTGGCACTTCTGACAGTGTGCTATCTCTTGAGCCAAATGTTTAAATCTCGATTTTCTATATTTCGACGGCGATGATTTCGTTAGATTTTTATTTTCCGAATTCGACATGTCTGATTTCATTTGAACTTGTACGGAATCGTTTTTTCGTTGATTTTTCAATGCTTTCGGACATTTCCAAACTCCTACAGCAAAAAAATTTCTTAATTTTCTCACTCCGTTGAACAAAGACCACCCTGAACAAAGTAAAACATATATATGTATATACACTCGACGAAATAAAAATCGATAACAAAATGGCGGATGACGTTGTAATTAATTTAAAAAAAAAAAAATCAATTTCGATTCGCTTTGTTTTTAAAAATAAAATAAACGATTTTAATACAATACACTACGATAATAATAATAATAATAATATTTTTGTTAGTTTTTATATACCGAGGGGAAACCAAAAACTGATTTTCTTATGAATTTTACATCTTTTATTTTCATTATTATTCTTCATAATATATAACAAATGATTTATTTATATTAATTTAAAAAAAGAAAAAAAAAAGAAAAAACTCTCGGATTTTTATTTACGCGACATTTAAATGAAAATTAAACGTTAAATAAAATATTTTGTAAACAATAATAATAATAGTAATGGCGGAATGTGACGACGACATCGAGGGAATTTTTTCCCTGTCTCTCTCTCTCTCTCACTCTCTGACCGACATTTTTCCCTGCCCTCCTTATTATAAGTTTTTTTTTTTTTTTTTTAAATTCGTAACGGTTTAAAATGTTTTATTTAATTAATTATAGTGATAGGTAAATAGGTCAAGGGTCATAATAAATAATTTTTCCTGTAAAAATTTAATTACGATGATTACGAGAATTTTAATTTTATTACGTAAATTATTACGTAATAATAATTACGTAAATTTAAAAAAAAAAAAAAAAATTTTCAAGTTAAAAGAAAAAAACGTTAGAGAATCTTTTACAAAAGAAAATAAATACAACACGTAACAAAAAAAAAAAAAGAAATAGAAATGGAAACGAAAAAGGAAAACATTAAATATATTTCCCAAAGGAATAAAAAAAAAAAAAAGGAAATGTCTATTGAATTTTAAAAAAAAAAAGGAAAAAAAGGAAAAAGTTATCAATTTTTGATTTTCGGTACGTCCGGGACGAGGATTTTCATAAGTTTCAATGTAAAAATTTAATTAAAAAAAAAAAATTTAATCTTGTTACGTTGTTATCAATGAATAATTTTTTGTGTTTCCTTATCACAGGACTAAAAGTAATCAAAGATGGATGAAATTGAGAACGACGGTACAATTATCAGGAGCAATAACAAGCACAAATCAAAAACCAAAACCCCCATTGAAAAGAGAAGATTCATTTTTAAAACGTTTTTCAACGAGACAAATACCGGAAACACAGGTAATAAAAAAATTTTTTGTTTATAAATTTTCCGCTTTTGTTTTTATAACCATTTCCGGTTTTGACAGGAAACGGTTGATACGGGTGATGATACGGAAACGGCAAACGGTGGACCTCAATCTCACCACGAGGTATCGAGGAGAAGGAGAAAAAGGCGGAAAGAATTATCGAAAACTGTCGTGAATCCGGATGAAAATTTTTATTTTTATTGGTTAATGACTGTGACAGTGTGCGTTTTATACAATATGTGGACACTAATTGTTAGACAAAGTTTTCCGGAATTGCAAAAAGCCGCGAGTGTTTTCTGGTACGTAGGAGATGGATTTACGGATGTCGTTTTTATATGTGATATTATGGTACAATTTAGAACGGGATATTTAGAACAAGGGTTGATGGTAAGGGTTATTACATGCATACACACACACACACATACGCACCCATCCATCCGCACGCACCCCACACGCACCCACACTCACGCAAAAAAAAAAAACTTTCATTTTACAATAATTTAATTAAAAAAAAGTTTTTTTTAATTAAATTATTGCACACACGTAGCAGACGATTTTTTTTTTTAATCATGACAGATTTATGTTTAAAATAAATTCGTTCGTCTATTCACCCACCCACCCACGCAAACATTCACTCACTCACTCATTCATTCAATCACCCACCCACCCACGCAAACATTCACTCACTCACTCATTCATTCATTCATTCAGTCACTCATTCATTCATTCATTCATTCACTCATTTAATCGGGGGGGGTGGCAAAGAAGAAAAAATTTCTTTAACATAATAATAGTGATAATAATTTTGTGTTTTGTTTGTTTTGTGTGCGCAGGTTTACGATTCTAAAAAACTAGCGAGTCATTATTTAAAATCGCGAGCTTTTATATTTGACATGTTATCTTTGTTACCGTTAGATTTTTTACAATTAAACGTCGGAGTGAATCCCATATTGAGATTTCCAAGATTTATGAAAATCTACAGGATATATAATTATTATTACATGGTCGAATCTAGAACTGTTTACCCGAATTTATGGCGCGTCGTCAATCTCATACACATACTACTCATACTCGCTCACTGGTTCGGATGTTTTTATTATCTTTTATCGGAAGCAGAAGGATTTCAAGGGGATTGGGTGTATCCCTACAGGCCTGGAGATTATGCGACTCTCACACGAAAATATCTGGGAAGTTTGTATTGGTCGACTCTCACTCTGACAACGATCGGTGATTTACCAACACCGGAAACCAACGCCGAGTAAGTTTTAAGTTTTTCTGTATTTATTCGTAATGTGACGTCGAGATCCCCCCCTCTCTCCCCCTGCCTCCCCCCCTCCACTTACTCAATCACGAGATTCGGTTTAAAAAATTTAAAAAAAAAAAAAATTAACTTAAAGTGTATTTGATTAAGGTCCCGAGGGCGTAGCAAAGCGATGACACCTTCAAGAGATTCATTTTCCAATCCCAGGAGAGGACATAAATCTCGTCTCCTTCAATTTAATTCAAATTATGGGTTAGTAAATAATAAATCGTTTACTTAAACTTTTTTTTTTTTAAACCACAAAACGAAAAGGAAATTATTATTATTATTATTATTATTATTATTAGCATGAATTTATTATTATTATTATTATTATTATTATTGCGTATTTACACGCATTTTTCCAAAAGGAAAATGTTTAATTCGCGTGAAAATTCATAAAAGAAAAAAACTTAGTCGTTATTATCATTATCATTCATTCATTTCAAGTCGTCGTAATACTAATAAATTCAAATTTTCATTTTCTTTTTATATTTTCCCTACGTAATAATAATAATAATAATAATAATAATAATAATACAAACACGCGGGGTCGTTATTAAACAGAAATTTCATTACATATCTCAATCGTTTATTATTATTATTATTATTATCATTATTATCATCATTTTCCTATACGATTCCAAGTTAAATGAAAAGAAAAAGAAAAAAGAGGAAATTTGCCGACAGTAAAACTTATATATGTAATATTTTCACTCTCTCTCTCTCTCTCTCTCTTTCTCTCTCTCTCTTTCTCTCTTTCTCTCTCTTTCTCTCTCTCTCTCTCTCTCTCTCCTCTCTCTCTCTTTCTCTGATTATTTTTCAAAGCTTTTACTTTTACCCTGTCGGAAGAAAATTTTCGAAAAGAGAGAGAGATAGAAAATTTTCAAATCGTTTTTCAATATTTATTTAACTCATTCAATCGAGTTCGACTTTTCCTTTTGGGGGAGGGGGGGGGGAAAAGAAAAATCGAGGAAAATGATTTTGATTTATTATTTTCTTTTTTTTTCTTTTTCGTTTGTTCATTTTTTTCTTTTATTTCTTTATTCGATTTTAATTAACCGTCGACAAATTGTTTGAATAATTTTCCGAAACTATTAATAATAATAATAATAATAATAATAATAATAATTTTAACGTCATCACGTCTTATCATTCTTATCAACTAAAAATTTTTTTTAAAATTTCGTTTGTTTAATTTTTGTAGGAATTTTAGTTAATAATAATAATAATAATAATTTACCAATGGTGAAAATTTTTTTTTTTTTTTGTGACGTCAAATTTTAAAATTATTATTATTATTATTTCCGGTTTTTTTATTAATTATTATTATTATTTTATCACTTTTTTATTTATTTATTTATTTTGTATATTAGAGGCTGTTCGAAAAAAAAATGTCATCGCTTTGCTAATCGCCTCTTTAAAACACTAAAAAAACATAAAAAAACATAAGAAAACATAAAGAAACATAAAGAAAACATTTTTTAAACATAAAGAGAAAGTAAGTTTTCAATTTGTTTTTTTTTTTTTGTTGTTTTTGATTTTTTTTAAAATTATTTATTATTATTGTTATTATTATTATTATTATTATTATTATTATTTATTTTTATCATAATGTTTTCGAACAGCCTTGCACTCCATCATCATTATTATTATTATTATTATTATTATTATTATTATTATTATTATTATTATTATTACTATTTTTAATTTCATAATTTCAATCTAAAACGGAAAAAGGAAGAAAATTTTATAATAACTGTTCGAAAACTTTTCTTTTTTTATTTATACCTAAATTAGGTTGAACTTGAGGAAAATAAAAGAATCCCTCGAGCTCTTTATAATTTTAAAAAAAAAAATTTAATAATACTAATAATAATAATAATAATGATGATGATGATGATGATGATGATGATGATGATGATATTAAGGAAAATTTAATGTAAATTAGAATCGCATCATCATCATCATCATCAATAACGTGTACGATATGTTCATTTATGTTATAAAGAAAAGTTTTTTAAAATGTAAAAAAAAATTCGTTTTCGAGATGCTGCGTTTGGTGGGGGGCGGGAGGGGAGAAGAGGGGAGAGGAAGGGGGGAGGAGGGGGATTCGTTCCTTTCTTAATCTCGTTCCCGACAGCTGTCATTTGCTACTAAAATTTATCACGAATGTTGTTCACACGGAAAACAATCAGAAATACATTAAAATTATTAAATCTTCAAATTAAATGCAAAAAAAAACATTTTCTAATTAAATCACATTATTTAATTTCGGTTTATTAAATTTCTAAAAAGAAACCCCCCATTTCCCCACTACTCCCCTTTAACCTCCCCCAAACTTATATTTATTCTCTTTTTTTTTTTATTGTTCACGAAAACTCGCGGGAGCCATTTTTTTTTTTTTTTTTAAAGGGGAAACGGAAAATTGTCTGGAAAAGGGAAAAAATTTACATAATTTATTTTTATCGAGAAAATTTTTCTAACGCGAAGAAAAAATACATCATCATTATCATTATTATTTTTTTTTGATATTCAGGTATTTGTTTACGATAATCAGTTACCTGATTGGAGTTTTCATATTTGCGACAATTGTCGGACAAGTCGGAAACGTCATAACGAATAGAAATGCAAACAGATTAGAATTCGAAAGATTACTCGACGGTGCAAAAACATACATGAGACATCATAAGGTACCGGGAGGTATGAAAAGAAGAGTTCTTCGTTGGTACGATTATTCCTGGTCCAGGTACAAACAACGCACGTTTTTTTCGAATTGTTCGATCGCGAAAAATCGCGAAAATTTATAACGGTTTTTTTGTTTGTTGTTGTTTCAGAGGAAGAATTCAAGGGGGCGGTGATATAAATACCGCGTTAGGATTACTTCCGGATAAACTCAAGACTGAACTTGCTTTACATGTTAATTTGAGCGTGCTCAAAAAAGTAAATTTTCTTTTTTTTTTGGTTTCTATTCTTTCCCCCAAAATTTAAATTTGCAAAGAGTTTAAATTATTTAATTAACGTTGATGATAATGATGATGATAATAATCAAACGTGACTAAAACACATTTTTAAATATTATTATGAAAACGATTTTTTTTCTTTTTCTTTCCTCCCCTCTCTCGCTCTCTCTCTCTCTCTCTCTCTCTCTCATTCTTCCCTCTCTCTCCCCTCTCTCTCCCCCGCTCACCCCCACCGATAACAGGTTACTATATTTCAAGAATGTCAACCGGAATTTCTTCACGATTTAGTGCTCAAAATGAAAGCATATATTTTCACACCTGGAGATTTGATATGTAGAAAAGGAGAAGTTGCAAGAGAAATGTTTATTATAGCAGACGGAATTCTCGATGTTATAAGGTTTAATTGAAATTTTTTCTTTTTAAAAAAACCTATACCGATTTAACGAATGTTTTTTTCTATAGCGAAACCGGAAGAGTTTTAACAACAATGAAAGCTGGAGATTTTTTTGGAGAAATTGGAATATTAAATTTAGACGGTTTGAACAAACGTACCGCTGACGTACGTTCAGTCGGTTATTCTGAACTTTTTAGTTTATCCAGGTATTTTTCCTATTTAACAAAAAAAAATTACTTATTCCCTAAGGATTAAGGTTAAATTGAAAAAAAAAAAAATTTTTTTTCCCAAAAATCAGAGAAGATGTTTTAACAGCTATGAAAGATTATCCGGAAGCTCAAGAAATTTTACAAAATTTGGGAAGGAAAAGACTGATGGAAGCTAAAAATGCTTCTAAAATGCACAAAACAATGAGTAATAATATCAATTTTCTATTTTCCTGATACAAAAAAAAAAAAAAAAAACAAAAAGACCTCTTTGATTTTTTGTTTTTTTTTTTTTGTCACAGTTAAACAAATAAATTGTCACGATTCTTCCGGTGATAGCGATACGACAGGGAAAAGAATCGTTGAAAAACTACGATCCGACGTGAAAGGTTTAAAAAACGTTCTTAGACGTAGCAGAAGAGGAGGTACGAGAACGAGGGAGGATTCGAATGAAAATAATCAACTTAATTCTGGAAAAAAGCAAAGCGTTCTCAGACGAATGAGCCACGTTCAAAGTTCTGATGAATTCGAGGAAAATAACGAGGGGAGTCAACAACCCATCGGTGCTGGATTACCACTTTTACAAAGGTACGTCATTCACTCCGATATGAAATAATAAAAGATGGCGCCTAATGAAAATGAGAATTTTCTTATTTCATATTTGGCAGAATAAAACGACTTAAAGAAAAACAAGATAGGGAAAAGGAAAAGGAAGAAAGGGAAAAATTAAAATCGTCAAATAATAACGTGAATGAATCTGATACTGAAGTCATAGGAGCTGGATTGCCTTTAACTCAAAGATTAAAACTTTTAAAACAAAAAGAAGAAAGAGAATTAGCTAAGATCAAAGGTCATTATCATTATTATTATTATTATTAATTCAATTTAATAAATATTTTAATTGAATTTTTGTTTTTTTTATTAAAGACTCGTCATCGACGGTTAGAACTCAACTCACGGGTATGAAATTAGAGAAATCATCCTCTGAGAAAACGTCTAATGCCACGACATCGGACATATCTAATCCTTCGTCAAAACCGAAAGAAGATTCTACGAATAATAATAATAATAGTAGTGGTAGTAGTAGTTGTAGCAGTAGTAATAATAATAAAGAATCGTCGGAGGGTAAAAAAACATCGTTGATTGAAAAACTAAAAATAACCGTTAAAGATAATAAACATTTAATTTTAAAAACTAATAATAATAATAATAATAATAATAATAATAATAATAATGATTCGGAAACTCATTTAAATTCTAATATCGCATCTCACGAAACGTCCGAGATAGTGCCCGAAATAATTGAAACGGATAAAATAGTGCCAAAATTGTTAGGGAGTAAGTTTGAAGTGCCAAAAATAAAAAATAGATGGGAATTGTTGAAAAAATCATCGCTCACGAGTTCGAAATGTGGGAAAAAATATGGAACGGGCGGAAAAAATATGGTACGAAAAGTCGTTAAAAAAGGTACGTACCTGTCGAAAAGTGACACAGTTTTAGAAAAGCAAAAAACATTCGACAGCGACGAATACACTCAATCGGAAAATGACGAATCGCCAAATAATGAAAATAACAACAATTTGAACATTTTAAACAACGAAGAAACGGTGAAACGGGTCGAGTGTGATCCGGAAACGGAAAACGATCAACGCCTTAATATAAACAATAATACAAACAATTATCAATCATCAAACGAAAGTGATAATATAAAAAAATATAATTCGATAAGTGACTTAAGTCCAGAATATTCGGGATTGCCATTCGTGAAAAAACTTAAAATATTAAACGAAAGACAAAAATTAGCCGAATTGGAAAAAGAATTGATCGTGAGAAGCGCGAGCCTGGATGTACCCGATCATCATCATCATCATCATTTAAATTCGCAAAAGGAAAAAGGTATTTTAACAAGAAGTCAATCGGAAGCAATAACCGTGGGGCACCTATACGACAGGTCTGCCACCACAACAACAACAACAACAACCCTATATCGGAAAACGTCGGATTTTAATAAATGTACAAATCAAGATTCTATTTTATCGTTAGAAAATGACGTGGATTTAGAAAAGGATACGAAAATAAGGTAAGAAATCAATTTTCTTATAATAAAATAATATCTTACGTCAAAATGGTTTCCTTTTCAGTGACTTAACGGAAACGAAAAATTCAATCGAGTCCATAATGTCGCCGGAAAGTAACGAAACGTTAGAAAGAAGACATTTAAAAAGCATATTAAAAAAATTATCTCACGAGGGTACGAGCAGCGACGAAGACAAAGAAAGAACGGATTTTAAAAAAAGGGAAAATTTCGATTTTAGAAAATTATTAAGGGATCCTACAATCGAAGGATATGCGGCAAGGCATAAAAAACTAACGAAAAGTGTTACTTTCGATAATGATACCCTTCTCACGTCGACCGAATCATTGGCTCAGGAAAATACCGAAAAAGAATCAAAAAGTATAAAAAAAATTTTCCCATTCGGATTCAATTTTTCCTTTAATAATAATAATAATAATGATTTTTTCCCTCCCCCCCAGGTTTTTCTCAATTGAGTCCAACGGGAATTCTAACATTACAATTGTCAAATTTAAGCATGATACCCATAGTGGGTTCGAATGTTAAAAAAAATTTAATACCGGATAATTTGGAAGAAAAAAATATACTAACGGATGAAGAAGTGGAAATGGAAACGATCATTTCAAACATATTGGATAAATTACAAGAAAAATTATTGGAAAAAATAAAAATTTTAGAAATGGGAAAAGATGGCGGAATGAATCTTTATCCCATAGAAGAAAACGAAGGGAAAGCGTCGAATTTTTTATCGTGTAAAAATAATCAAGGTGGAGATGGAGAATTATTACCGGATATTATTTCCGGAGTCCAACAAATAATGCGTAACGTTTTGGTAAGCAAAAAAATTTTTCTTACAATTAAATTAAAAATTTGAATTAATTCGTTAATTTTTGCAGGTTGAAATTCAAAACAAATTTCAATTTCGTTTTAACAAACTCGAAATCGAAGTTGAAAAAAGAGACGAAATCATTTGTCAACTCAAAACGCAAATAAAAGAATTGGAGGTAATACATTTTTACGTTAATTATAACCAATATTATTAATAAAAATAATGTTTTGTTTTTTTTTTTTTAGGAAAGCAAAATAGAAAAATCTGATTTTTTCCGGTTCAACGATAACACCGAATCGAATGGGAATAACGACAATAAAGAATCATCAACCGATTTATTTTCAGTAAATAATAAATCATTTAAGAGTTTTTATAAAAAACAAACATGGCGGATGATGGATGGTTATTATAATTCATTGTTTTAATTTTTAGAAAGAAGAATCGCACAATTCGTATTGTGATCAAAAATCAATGAAAAATTTTCCTTCAACCGTTAACGATAAAGACAATTTACGCTCAATTTCGAATTCACTCGATGAAAAATCGAAAAATATTATCACGGGTAACAAGGGAATGATAATTCAAAATTTAACGGAAAATGATTCGACGACAGAAAGCGTAACGTTTAACGGAGAAGATTTTAAAACTCACCTTTTATCGAAATCCGATTGTAATAAATCTTCGAAAATCTATAATTTAAATCAATCGAAAAATATAACCGCGGAAAGTGGAGGACAATTCGAATTACACAATTTATCAAAATTTATGAAAATCTACGAAATGAAACAACGTAAACGATACAACCGCGAAGTGAAAATAAAGAAAAATTTAAGTGAAGATGAAACTCACCAGATGTCGCAGCATTCGCCCAAACCTCAAAGGCGGTGGAGTTCGAGTTCGAAACCGAGGGAAGAAAAATTCAAATTGAAAGATCGTTTAAAAGAAAAATCGTTCGGTCGAACTTCGGGTTTTCAACGGTCATTTAGTTGTTCTCAGGACGCGGATTTCGTTGCTTTAAACATGGACGATGATTCGGGTTCGAGTGACGTCGAACAACCGAACAATAAAAATTGGGAAATAGAAATGCTCGTTCAAGAATGGGAAAAATTAGAAAGTTCGAAAAGAGTTTTCGATTTGTCCGACGATGATTGTTTGGAAAACGAAGATGAATTCATTCAATTGGAAGATGTTAAAAGACTTCAGAAAGAAGTGAACACTCTCAAACAAATGGTTTCGGAAAACGATTTAACTCGGTTATCGACATCGGAATTGGACATGTTGGAAACGATTTTAGAAGCCAAAGATAAAAAAATATCACAGATAGCAAGATCGAGTAGTTTAGATAACGAAATGAAAACGGGTCTCCGTGAAAAATCAATTTATTTCGGTTCGTACGATTCCGACAGCAGACTGGAAAAACATCAAAATCACAAAAGGAAAAAATTTTCATTACATAAAAAATTAGGTCAAGCTTTTAGTTTTGATTTTCACGACATTGAAACCAAACCGAAATCTCATGATATGACGAAACATAAAACGCCATTATTGAAAAAACAAAAAACCCTTCCGGAATTCAACAGGGGGGATAACCAAAACGTTTACGCTTTGTGGAACACTTCGAACCTTTTGAGACACAGAGTTTTAAAAGATGGTTCAGAATCATCGAGTCAATGTTTCAAATTTAAAAATTCAGGTTCAAGTTTGCCCATGTTGATTTCCAGGTCTTTAAACGGTGGAAACAATACAAGTGTTAGAAAAAGTTTACCTAGTTTATGCGGCAGCAATGGCGGGGGCGGTAAAAATCCAATTTTCGCACAAAATTCGGACGCTTCCGTTTGTTACGTCGACGAAGTGAACACTAAAAACAATTGTAATCAAAAATGTGATTTTATTTTAGAAAAATCTGATAATTTCGGGCTCTCCGATGGTAGAAGTGGATCCACGAGTGGTTTCGCAAGAGCAGACGACGGTTATTCAAACAACAGTTTAAACAATTTCATAAAATCAATGGGTTTTAAAATGAAACAAGTTATGGTGGGAGAAATAAATACGGTTAAAAATCAAGTGCCAACGATATCAAAACTTTGTGATGAACAATCAATGCTTAATAACATTGAAATACATTGTTGTGCCGATGAATATTGTAACATTGAAAGAAAAACGACGACAAAAGAAGAATCAAAAGTTGTCGAAGATGATGGAACAACTTTTGATCTTGGCCAATCTAAACCGAATTCTCCAGATCTATGAATTGTTAACAAACTTATTATTATTATAATTTTTTTTTCCATTTTATAATTGATATAATTTTATCAGGGTTAGAAATGATTATAGAAATTTATTGATTATTACTAAATTTATTTTATTTTAAACAAAAATTTAACCTTTGATTTTACTTCGATAATAATTTTTAAATTTTTTTACTTTATAAATGAATTAATATGACAATTTTTTTTCACATGGTAATTAATCGGGGAGTTACAATTATTTAAATTTATATTGTCGAGAAAAAAAAATTAATATTCTGAATGATAGTATTAACTTTAATACTTACTGCATGTAAGACGAACAAATGAAAATGTTTAAATAATGAAATTAAATTAACATACATTTCTCTCTCTTGATATTAATACACTTTATTACTACAATTATAATTCAATTTAAATTCTAATAAAAAAAAAAATTAAAACATATGAGCAACATGCTTTTGATGTTCTGCTTCATTTTTAGCCACTGTTGCTTCCCATCGTTTAACATTTCCTGGAGAATTTATTCCAGATTGTAATTTTAACATTATAGGCAAAACAAGTATTGCTGCTATACAAGTATATTTAAAACGCCAATCTTTTTCCCACATAAATCTGTGAGGAAATAATGCAAATTTTGCTTTTATATGGTATGGATACAACATTCTTCTGGAACTCATTTTGAAAACCTACAAGGTAAAAATTTCTATAGTTTGATAAATAACATTCGTAGTATAAATAATATATTTTGATAACGTGTACAAAAACCAATTTTGATTAAAATAAATACATAATTTGATATATTATTAGCACAACAGTAATTTTTTCACATACTGTCTGTCCTTCAATGTTGTTTTTATTAAACCTCAAAAAAATCATTGTTTCGTAATTAAATTAGAAATTTTAACTCATCGTGATATAATATTGCTTTTCTTTAATTTAAATTAACGATTTATATAAATATTTTATACTTACGTTTGAAAAATAAAATAAAAGAATATATTATATGAGAATATCTATACAAAATGACTGGGATGAAAAATTTTTATTTGTGACATGCGCAGTAAAGAAAATTTTTTTTTTCAAGCAATATTGATATCATATAAGTTTTAAAACAATTTTTAATACTTTATGCCAACATTATGGTAAACTTGAAATATTAGGAGGAAAAAGAAAAAGTTTTTAAATTTATTATGCGGGCAAGTGAATATTAAAAAAATAGTTATGAAAAAAAAAGAAATTAATGTTTTACCAGTATTTTTAAATGACTACTACCACTACTACTTCTTGTACTCGCTCAATTAATACATATATTTTTTAAGTTTTTATTCATCGAATTTAATACAATGGCTGCTATCAATGCAATGGGTGAGTAAATTTTTTTATTTAATTATTAACTTTCATCCAGAAGTTTAATCGTTTTAAATAAGATTTTAAAATCAATTTTTACATTTTGTCTTTTTATACCTATAATTTTGTTTTACGTTTCTTAATTTTCTTCTTCTAAAAATATAAATTCTTTTTTGTTCCAGATAAAAATTTTAAGGAAAAATTAATTAAATGTGTCAAAAAGGAGGTAAGGTTTTATTTCTTAAATTTTTTTTAATTAATGATTTTTAATTTACTTTATGATGTTATTTTTAAATTTTAATACATATTTAATAGGTAAAACAAATTATGGAAGAAGCTGTCACGAGAAAATTTGTTCACGAAGATAGTTCATCAGTGACTTCCCTTTGTGGAGCTGTTGAATCATGTTTATCGCAAGGACTTAAAAGGAGAGCACTTGGACTTTTTAAAACAAGTTCAACAACAGCACTACTTCATAAAATTGCTAAAAATTTTGAACCTGCAAACATAATATCTCAAAAAGTTCAAGAATTGGAACTCGTGGAGCCGCAAAAGTATTTAATTGAATTTTTTTTGTATCTGATAAAATAACTTAAAAAGTAAAATTGATAATGATTATTTTAATTTTTTTGTTTGCAGGAGGTCATCATCTAGCACTGATAATGGTTCAAAACCTGCAAAACCACCTCTGCACAAAAATAATTCTGCTGGGTGTGTCATTGGTCCAAAATATCTATGGATAAGATTAGCTTTGTTCGAGAAGCAACTTGCTAAAATAATCGATCACTTGGTGCAAAATGCTTGGTAATTAAATTTTAACAATTTAATTATTTATTCCTTTATTTTATTTATTATTAAATTTAAACTAAAATATTTTCAGTCATTGCCTGGTAGTTTAACTTTTAAATTTTAAGTTTTTACTAAAATGTTTTAAGTAATCATTACGTTAACGATAAGTAAAATAGAAATTTTTTTTTTTTTTCTTTTTTTTTAAAATATTGCATTTTAATTAACATGGTTTGGCATATAAACTTATTTTTGATATTTGAAAAGCAATTATTGTTTTTCATTAAAAAAACACTTATCACAAAAGAAACATAAATGAAATGTTTTTTAAAAAATTTAATTAGTATTATTAAAAAAAAAAAAAATGAAAGTTTATTTTTAACTTATCTTTAATCTTTAATATTAGTAACTAATATTTTCACTGTCCTTTTCATAAATTGGTAAAAAAAAAATAATAATTTTTTTAGAGAACTAACACATTAACTAATTTCAGTAAATATTATGAGAAGGATTCACTCGTCGCAGATCCAGATTACGGATCCATTTTAAGTTCTTTGTTGGGTATGTTTATTAAAAATGGTTTTTGCTTTTCGATTCATTTCTCTTTACACTTATTTTATTTCTTTCTGTAATTTATTCTATTATTTATTTACTTCATTGCCTATGCATGTTTTTTAAATTTTTTTTTTTTTGTTTTTTAGTCAGTTTATGTTTTCTTTTATATCAGGTGAAAAATGTTTGACACCTAACTCGGTTGCTTATGTATAAAAAAAAAATCTTTTTTTTCTCCTTTGGTAATACCTACATGAATTTTTCACAATTTTCAGTACAGAAAAAAAGTATGAACCGTGTATGTCAAATAATTAACTTTAAATAAGTTTTAATATTAATTAAATATCATAAATTTTTAATTTCAGTCGGCCCCTGTGCATTAGATTATTCTAAAGCAAAAACTCAAGATTATTTTTGGACTGATCCACCAGCAGACGAATTAGTTCAAAGACATCGAATTTCTACGGGACATAATACTCCGCCTACGTGCAGGAGACAAGTATTAAATGTAACAATTAAACCATTTTTTATTTAATTAATTTGTATATTGTAAATTGAAAATATAATAACGTTCTTTGTTTTTTTTTTTTAGTTCAATAGGAGTTTACACGCAGTTAATTCAGAAGAAAATGTAAGATCGGTTCCTATGTCGGCTAAAGACTACGTAGAGTCTCTACATCAAAACAACAGGGCCACACTATTGTATGGGAAAAATAATGTCATGGTACTTCCGGTAATTATGCAAAAAAAAATATAAACTTACAACCCATTTATTTTAAATTTTGGTGAGGAGGTCATGGTGATGTTTTTTCTTATTTTTAGAAAGAGCATTTAGAACCCATGGCTGGTTATCTATCACTACATCAAAGTTCTCACGGTTTAACAATAAAATGGACTCCCAATCAGTTAATGAATGGATATGTCGAAACAGAAAATCAAGATAAAAGGTATGCAACACCTAACAAGGAACGTATTTTATTATTTCAAATATCGAACGGTCATATTTTTTATTTTACCATTGTAAAATGGAAACGTTTGTAATTATTGATATAACCGTTAGTTTTTGAGTGAGGTTTATATTAGGGCAAAGTAATGTTTAGCGAATGTCCATCTACCTCATCACTTTAAATTTTTCAATTAAATTAAACAAAATTATTTTTTGCTTCCATTATGGATTTCTCTTATTAAACTTCAACAAGCTGCAATATATCGTTCTGTAATCGATTAACAAGCATAATAAAATTTGCAAAAATACTTGTCACAACAATATTCACCGCCATTTTGTTAATTGAATTGAGTTTAACTGTATATATATTTTTATTCTATTGAACTTAGGCGATGTAGTCTTCCAGTCAGCAGCTTCCCCCTCCAAACTCGTCGGGCCATATCTTTCAGGTGTGCCTCACTCATTGACACTAATCATTAGTAAGTTCTTAAATGTGAAACTTTACCTGGGACTAATGGCTTTACCAAACTATGCTCTATAATTCTTGGCGCTTTTTAATTGATCAAACTTTTATTAATATTTATTTTCACGTTTTCCTTTTTTTTCGTACAGTAACTTAAAACAATAATAATAATAATAATAATAATTACGTCAATTCTTTTAATTGTGCACTTTTTATAGATTAATTGACTTTTTTAATTTTTCAAACATGTAAATTTTTGTTTTTTTTTTTTTTATAGTTTGTATTGGGAATACGCTCTAAATGTTAGCATCGATGAAATAGTGTACGTTCATTGCCATCAAGCTAGTGACTCCGGTGGTACAATAATTTTAGTGGGTCAAGACGGTGTTCAAAGACCCCCCATTCATTTTCCCAAAGGAGGACATTTATTATCATTTTTAAGTTGCCTCGAAAACGGTTTACTTCCCCACGGCCAATTGGATCCTCCATTATGGTCGCAAAGAGGAAAAGGTTCGAATACGAGAAAATAAAATTTTTTAAATGTCTTTTCGAGGGGGGGGGGAAAAAAAAGATGTGCTGTATTCATTAATGTTGATTCCAGGTAAAGTTTTACCTAAGCTTCGTCGCAAAAGTAAAGAGAATTCAGATGGGAAAACGGAAGACGATGATTCAACTGATTACGTTTTCAGGATTGTTAGAAAAGTTCAAAGAGAAGATATCAGTGAGTACTTCACGAAAAAACGGTTACAAAAAAAATTAATTTAAATTCAAAATTTTTACAGTGACTGGACCAGAATTACTTGATCCGAGATATGTTGAGCCTGTACAAAGCGTGATGCCTCGTCTTCAGTCAAGAGTCAGAGCTCAATTACTCTCCAGTTCAACAAGTTCAACCTCGAGTTCCAAAAGCTTCAGCGCTGATCATTCAAACGGGTTGGATATGTTGGACTCGCCAAAAACTCCCAACGGACTTGCCACGAGTCCTTCGCAAGTTAATGCCGGGTAAATCAATGGTTTTTTTTTTTTTAAATCAAGAGTAAATAATGTAAGGAATAAAGAAACAAATATATAATAAAATTTAATTTTTTTTTTAAAGGGAATCGATCCAGTTGGTGTGCGACACCATGAAAAGGCAAATTATCTCACGTGCGTTTTACGGTTGGCTGGCATATTGTCGACATTTATCTACCGTTCGTACGCATTTGTCTGGTTTGGTCAATCCCACCACCACGAGTCATGTAGACGCTGACGGTGGTCTGACGTCAGAAAAATGGAATAATATTTTCAACGATGGTATCGTTTCAAATTCAGAAGAAGTGTTTAGATTAACTTATCTAGGAGGTGTGGAGCATTCCTTAAGGAAAGAGGTATCCACATAACCGTTTATTAATTTACAATGAAAGCGGTTTGACCGTTCTACTTAACTCTCTATCGTGCATTTGATAGGTTTGGCCATTCTTACTTGGTCACTACGAGTTTGGAAGTACGATACAACAACGTGTCGAATTAGATCTTACTACTCAACATAACTACGAAACGATCATGTCAGACTGGTTAGCCGTTGAAGCGATCGTGAGGCAAAGAGACAAAGAAACAATGGCTGCAAATCTTGCCAAATTGTCAAGTGAAAGTACGAGCGGTGAAAATGTTCCCCTAACTCCAGGGTTAAACGCTCAAATCAGTAACGATGTAAGAACATCAATTAATATTTTTTCCCACGAGTTTCTCCAAACGAGTTTAAAAAATTTTTTTTTTTACGATCAGGTTTTTGAGGATAACATTAGCTTGGGTTCCGATGATGGTAATTTAGGAATGGAAGGAATCGAATTCGAAAGTGAAAAAAAAGACAACGACGATAATCTTGAGAAATCTATCGACACGGAAGAGGCTCAGCAAAACGAAGTTAACACTTTTATTGAAAACGTCATATCACAATCTTCGGATGAGGGTTTAGGTGACGAAGATAAAAGGTTGAAAAACATGAAAAGAGGTTTGTCCGAATCAATTAATTTTTTTTTATTAAATACACGATTTTTACGATTTCATAATGATTTGAAATATTTTTTTTTTTTTTTTTTTTACTTCAAGGTATAAATCAAGTGATCGTGACAAATCCATCGGTGGATTCCGGTTTGATATCCGAAGAAACTGTCGAAGTGTCGACCATGGAACCCATCGTGGAAACGGAAACTTTGACCGTGGGAGAAGAAGGAGAACAAAATAATTCAACTTCGAATTGTGTATCTCCTGCGAGTTCACAAGGAGGAATTTATTCTGTACATTTTATTTATTTATTTATTTATTAACAAAACGTAAATAATTATCTTTTGTCTAATTAATTAATTAATTAATTTTCCAGGCCGAGCTTTTGGAAACATTTGGATTGAACGTACATCGAATCGATAAAGACGTGCAAAGATGCGATAGAAATTATTATTATTTCACAAATGAAAATTTAGAAAAGCTTCGAAATGTTATGTGCACGTGAGTATCACGTGATTTAGAAAAATAAATTTACGATTAAATTATAATTAAAATTATTTGTTTTGTTTTTTAGTTACGTTTGGGAACATCTCGATATAGGATACATGCAAGGAATGTGCGATTTAGTCGCTCCACTTTTGGTAATTTTTGACGAGGAATCAATTACCTACGCTTGTTTTTGTCGTTTGATGGATCGAATGGTTGACAATTTTCCCAACGGAGGAGCGATGGATGCACATTTTGCAAACATGAGATCCCTAATTCAAATTTTAGACTCGGAAATGTTTGAACTCATGCATCAAAATGGAGATTACACGCATTTTTACTTTTGTTACAGGTGGTTTTTGTTGGATTTTAAACGAGGTATTTGACATTTCATTGTACATTAAAAAACGGGGGGGAAGTAAAAATTAAAGTTTTTTTTTTTTTTTTTTTTTTTTTGTCAATTATTGAAATTTTAGAAATGATTTACGACGATGTTTTTATCATATGGGAAACAATATGGGCGGCCAAACATATCGCTTCTGCTCATTTTGTCTTATTCATAGCTCTTGCACTCGTTGAAATCTACCGGGATATAATATTAACGAATTCGATGGATTTTACGGATATAATAAAATTTTTTAACGGTAAGTATAATTGTTTTCCAAAAAAAACTTTTTTTTTTCACTCATTGTAAAATTTTAATTAAAAAAAAAATTTTTTATTTATTTTAGAAATGGCGGAACGACACGACGCAAAAGCTATTCTTACACTGGCCAGAGAATTAGTATTTCAAGTTCAAACTCTCATCGAAAATAAATAATTAGTTTTTTGTTTTCTTGCTGATTTAATATCGTGGTAGGTTTTAGTAAGTTTTCACGACGACTAGAATTGTTTTCCCTAAATGAAATGACGTGGAAGGAGGAATCTTTTTTACTTTTGCTAAACGTTCCATCGGTGAAATCCATAGAGTAAATAATCCATGAGTAAAAAAAGGATTTTAATCGTTCGGATCATATTTTGAATCTCTCTCTGTCTTTTTCTAGTCCTTCTCTGTATTACATCACGTGACTTTAATGTACTGAATATGAATTTGATATGAATTTAACTTTATTATTTTGTTATGAAAGTATTAATTTTAAAAAAAAAAACAATTTGGTGTATGAATGGCAATCCTACAACACTGTTCACAAAGTGAAATGAACAATAATAATTATAAAAACGACGAAATTAAATTTTAAAATATATTAAATGTAATACCTAAAATGCCTGTCTCTGTTGACACACACACACATCTTTATTTTTGAAATTTAATTATTATTATTATTATTAACTTTTCACCATGTCCTCCATAATTATTATAGTCTTTTCTTTTCCACCCTCTCCTCCCCCTCTTCCCCCCTCCTGAAAAAGTTGACTACAATGATAATAATAATGTTTAATATATTGATTGGAAAGGATTCCTTATCTAAGGATATCTTACAGGTTAAATGATTGATTGTTTTTTATTTATATATTTTATTTTTGAAAGTAATTAATATAAAAAGGAAAAAGGAAAAACTTTTCGCCATATTGTGTAAAACTCTGATTTTCCTTTTGTAATCTTTATAGAAATAAAAGTAATTAATTTTTGTGCAATAACATTCCCATTATTTGATGCCAGTAAATAAATGTGGATTTAACGAATAATAATAATAATAATAATAATGATTGTGTTATTTATCTTAGATTATATATAATATACATATATATTTTTGCTATTACTTATTATTATTATTATTATTTCTTTTTTTTTTATGTGTGTAAATTTGATCAAAAAGATATTCAATATGTAATATGTAAAATAAAAAGAAAAATATTTTTAATTTAAATTTAAAGGAGAAAAAAAAAATGGAGTATATATCAAATTTTTCTATTTTGTTGTTTTTTTTTTTGTTAAATTAAAATATTTAAAATATTTTATGAGGAAATAAAAATGAATTTAATTTGAAATTTATATAAAAATTTGGTGCCAATTTTAAAAAAAAATGTTTATTTTATTAAAAATATAATAATAATAATAATTATTCACTGTTGATCAGTGATGAGTTTTATTAAATTAAATTTAAAAAAAGAAAATTTTATTTTTATTTGCTTTAAAATAAATAAATAAATAAATATATTTTTTGTTAGTTGAAAAAAATCTATGTATATATATTAATAAAAATATTATTTATGATAAAAATATTTTTCTTATAATATTATTATTAATATTTTATTAATCCTTTTAAAATATTTTTTTGTCAAATATTGATTATTTATTTCAATTTTATTAAGTTTTGTTTTATTTTAATGTAAAAATAAAATAATTTTTCGTTTGTATTTTTTTTTATTGAAAACTAATGGATTTTAAAAATTGTTAAATTCAATATATATATATTTTACATTAATTATTATATATATAATTTATTTTTTTTTACCTCAAATTTATAAATGTTAATATGAATGTTAAAAAAGGTAAATGTTTGTAAGAGAATTAAAAATGTTTAAAAGTTTTCCGCCATTACATTTTGAAAATGGTGAATATAAGTTTTTTTTAAAGTAAATATTTCCAAAGGGGGGTTTTAATTTTTAATTTTGAATTTAAATTTAAACATTTTGTATTTTTTTTTAATAATAATAACAATAATAAAATTACAGTCGGTTGATTTTTAGTGTTCGAAATTTAAAAAAAATTTCCATAAGTATTCTCTATACACACATTATCGCGCAGTTTTGAACGTGTAAATGTTTTGAAACAATTTTTACTTCAAAAAAAAGCCGTTATAAGTTTCATTTGTTCCCAAAGCTATTTCCAACGGACGAATATCAAATTTTGTAAGTAATAATGTCTATAAACAATGTTTTTAATATTTTTTCGTGTGATTTATTTAAATTAAAACAATTAATAAATGTGTTAAATTTTGTGATTCTAACCCATTGTTTTCATTATTAATAATAGGACTGCCGTTATTTTAGCATGCAGGCACACAATCGAATGCTTTTTGTGTTAACCGTTTTTCAGGATCTATTAACCGTTTTAACTTAATTTACAGATATTTTCCTTTTCACTTTTAAGGTATAAAATTAATTACAATTTTTTTTTATTTAACTGATATTAATTAAAATAAACAATAATGAATTATTATTATAAGATAATATCATTTTACCATTAAAAAACTCATTGTGTGTATTGTGCACAAACGAGGGTTTTAATTTTTTTTTCAACTATTCTAAATAAAGTAAGATATTACAATTTGTTATTATTTAAATTTATTCAGCATGCCCAGAAGATCTAAAAGAAAACAAAATAAAAAAAAATATCACAAACAAAATTATTACCAGAAAAAAAAATACATTTTAAAAAAACAGAAAAAAAGATCTCAAAACACAAATAACAGGTAAATCTTTTTTTTTTTTTTGCTTTTTAATGTAAATTTTTTATTAAAATTAATGTTTACTTAACCTCTCTCCATTTAGTTATTTTCCTTTTTTTTTTTTTAGTTGTTCGAAATTACAGTATGATTTGTTTTAAAATATTATTTTTTGTATGCAATCCTAATAATGAAATATTTTTTTTTACAGATCAAATGTACAAATTTCACAAATATCAAAAGTAAATAATTTCAATTCTAACAAGAGCTTACAATTTGAGTTTGAGTTAGATTCAGATCCGGATGCATTTTTTGAATTTCAAGAAGAAATAAATAAAGCCAACAGTGATTCTGCCCTTCACAGAATTAAGAAATGTTCTTCTTTATATCAATTATATGATTCACAGTCGACATCCAAGGAAAGTTTAAATATAGATAAAGAAAACATTTATCTTTTAACAGATTCATGGTGGGTCTAAATTACATTTAGCACTAATTAAAAATATTATTCGAATTCAAAAAAACAATATTTTTTAGTCGTAATACCCTGACAGATAGTATTTCAACTACTCAAACAATTGATTCCAGTGAATTAAAATTTTTTAACAACCTTAAAAATTATTCAACTTATGAAATGGATTTAAATTGCTGTCTGTCATCAATAATATCAACTAATAACTTAGATAGTACTAAAGGATCTCTAGAAAGTGACTCAAGTTCGACTGATATAAAGGAATTTAAAAAAATTTCTGGGTAAGCACTTATTTTCTGCATTTAATTTGTAGTTTATTTACTTGTTCATCAGGTTGTTCAGGTAAATTCAGGTAAAACTTGAAATCAAAAGATATTTTTTTTTTACACATGATCTTAAACTATCTTAAAATTTTTAGGCTGATGCCAATACTTATTTATTCCGGAGAAAATACAAATGCCAAGTTGGAAAAATCATTTGAAAATTTAAATCAGCAAATGATATTAAAATTGAGTGATGAAGCCTTAGAATTAGGGATGACAGTGATACCTCCCAAAAGAATTAATTCCACCTCGAATATATTGAATAGTAATTCAAATCCTGTTAGCCATAGGTCATTCACAGAAGTAGATAATAAATCTGATTATCCTGTTCAAACTTGTAATAAGAATTATTCAAATTTCTTAATAAAAAGTGCCGAAAATGGTAAAAAAAAAAAAAATTTTTTTGTTGTCAACAACAATGATAATAATAATTGGAGTTATTAATTTTAATTAAAAATTTTTTTTTTTAATTACAGAAGAAGAAAACGAAGACAAACATTATTTGGAAAAAACAAAAACTGAAAAACATTTTTTAAACAGTTCTATACTTGGGGAAGAACCTCAAAGTAAATCGACACCCATAACGAAAGAAAAATTTAATCAAAAATGGAAATCGCAAACGGATCTTTACGTTTTATCATTAAATTCAACTTATCATAACAGTAGTGACGATTATCATACTTGCTGTAAGGAATTTATAAGTCGAAACGACATCACAGATGAAGATGAATCGACGACATGTTTGAGTCAGTATGCGAGTTGCAGAGACATATTTAATCAATCGAAAGAAATATTGAAAATATCTTCATTAGAGTCCGACACACCCTCTGATATTCTTTCGAAAAAAATTTACAAAAATGTTTCTGTACAATGTGAAATTTTGAAAAATGATGATAATGTCGAAACGAAAATAATTGATGATAAGTCGAACGTAGAAGACAACGAGGGTGATTCTTCTAGCATATTCGTTAAAAATTTTAATTTTTCTAAAGAAAAAAAAAACGATTGTAAACCTTTTAGAAAATTATTTACAAGGATTTGTATAAAGAAATTTTTTCACGTTTTATCAGTCATGCCAATGGATAAACTGTTGGAATTTTTCTGTTTGACATTTTCGATTCCAATCATCGAAACTATGGCAATTTCCATTTCTGTTTCGAAAGTAATGAACGCCTTATCATCAGCAACTTTTTTTTTCAACTTTAATAAGCAGATAAAAAATTACAGTTCGAAAACTTTGGATTTTATAAAAACGAGGTGGGAAGGATTTGCGGATACGTTAATTAGTTATCGAAAGGAAAAGAAGAGGATCGATTCGGAAAAGGGGAATCAACAAATTTGCATGTGTGACGTTCAAAAAATGACGGATTTGGAAAAAAGATTGAAAAATTTGGAAAACGAATTAACAAAATTTCAACTTTTCGATAGCGAAATTGAAAAGTTAAAAGAAATGGCAAAAAATTTTCAAATCGCGACCAAAGGTCCCGTCAATTTTACAGCTCCTCCGCCTCCTCCACCACCACCGCCGCCGCCGCCACCCCCTCCACCCCCACCTTTTTCCCTCGGTCAACCTCCTGCGAATGCTATGAATAAATCAAAAAAACCTTCCCAAATGAAAGATACTCTCACGAGACCCTCAATCACGGTCGAAGATTTGCAAAAAGTCATTTTACGAAAAGTAACGACAAACGAAAAACAAATACAACAAGATAATGCGAAAAAAGGACCTTTGGTATCTTTAGAAATGCTTAGATCTGTCAAATTGAGGTCGAGTGCAAGGAAAAAAACTCCAACTTGTTCACCAACGCGAACGCCAACATCCAGAGAAAGAATCAGGAGGATTCAATCACCATTTAGATCCGGAAGTAGATCCAGAGATAGAAAATCACGTTATCCAAACATTCCACTATCAGAAATTCTCAACATGGACGATAGTTATCAGATATATGATAATAAAGGGGCAGATATTCAAAAAACAAATTCGGCTGCATTTTATTAATTTATTTTGTTAATTGTTAATAATTTTTTTTTTTTTTTTTTTTAATTTTATTTTTAAGCATTTTCATCAAACAAAAAGAAAAACGAAAAGAAAAGTGAGAAGGACGCACAAAAATATACGTACTAAACAAGAAAAAAAGGTTTCTTGATTTCGTTTGTGGAAATTATGAAGCTTCATATTTGAAAACCATGTCAATTAGACAAGGAAAATTTTCGTATCAATTTTTTTTTTATATATTGTGATAAATATTATATTTTGTTCATTTTAAAAACGTTTATTATTTAATTTTTAAACGGGGGAAAAAAAAAAAAATAATAAAAAATAAATGTAAAACCTTTGAGATTTTTTTTTTTTTTTTTTAAATCTACATTAAATTTTTTAGTTTTGTTTTTTTTAAAAAAAAAAAAAATTGTTATTCTCTTTTTATGGGAAAAATAATAATAATAATAATAATAATAAATAAATAAATAAATAAATAAAAAATGGAAAAAATTTATTTCAGACATTTTGTTTTTTTTATATTTCATTTCAATATTATTACATAAATTGGATATTTTTTTTATTCACAATTGAAATTTAAATTCGACTAGTTTTATTTATTATTATTATTATTATCATTTTTAAGGAATGATTTAATGTGTTTACATTTTGATTAATAACGGTTTTTTTTTGGCATTTCAGTATAATTACAAATGATATTTTCTTTCTTACATTTATAAATACATATTTATAAATTTGCATTTTTTTTTATTTACAAAGGCCATCGTTTTGTTCTGTTTGTTTTTCTTTTCTCATTTGTAGAAAAAGCCTTCGACCTCGTTTAAATTGTTCACGTTTCCATGATTGTTTTTAAAAAGGAATTACCGTTAATGAGTTTGGTGGTAGCTATAACGAACTCAACATTCACTGTAAGTAAATAAATAAATGACTCTGAATAATCTGAAGTTTTCACAGGCTCGGTTGTTCTTTTTTCAGGTACATAATTAATCACCTGCACTCGAGACAGGAGTAAAAGAAAAAATGTCTTTAAATACTCACATTCTTCTTGTTGAGATAAAAATCTAAGAGCTGAAATTTCTGCAAAAGTACATCCACCTATGAAAAAAACTAATATAACTCTTGTGTTATCTCCTTGTACCTGAGATGATAAACTCCCTTTGGAACCTCCTGTAAGATTATTTTCTTATATAAAAAATCCTTTAATTTTTTTTTTTTTGTATAAAAGAAAGAATGGCTATTCATACTTCTTGTGTGCCCTGTAGGTATAACTTGTGTTCCTTCTATTGTAGGACCTGGTAAAACACCTAAAACATCTTGTATACTTTTCCAACCGCCTTGTTTGACTAAATGTTGTGCTAATCTCACAGAAATGGGAGCATATATGGAATGAACATATGAAATATCGACAGGTTCAACTTCACTTCCATCTTCAACTGTAAGTCTTAACATTTTACGAAGAATAGTATAAGGTCTAGAACTTTGCTGGAAAGGAAATTGATTGTAAAAGTTAGGGAAAGTGAAATGTTAAAAAAATCAATAATTGATTATGTTTTTTACCTGGTGTTGTAACAATCCAGCTTTTTCTAAATTATTAAGAGTTAAAAGATGTTGAAAACCATAAGTTTGAACAATTTCTCTCTTATAATGTTCTAAAACTTTAGGTTTAAGTCCACTGTTGGCTAACGATTGTAGGCACATAAGTCTAAGAACATGTTGCAAAGGTTGCTTTTTAGCTATACAATCTTCGATGAACGAGTGAATTTTATCAGTTTCCATACCGCTTAATAATTCTTGTTCTACCTGTAGAGAATCCAAAAATTCAGGTACATCAGTCTTTTCTTTAATTAATTCAGCTATTGTGGTATCTATAAAAAAAATTCAAACTCAAATTTAGTTCTCTTGATGCTTACTACATCAAAACAAAATTTTCAAAATTGAACTTACGAATGGCCAGCAGCCTTTTTGAATTTTTCAATTGAGGTAATTGCATAACAAATCTACTCATTTGTTCAACAGATTCACCTGGCTTAACATCATACATTGCTGAAATATGTTTGGCTTTCCTACTGAGAACATGACCTACTGCATTAAAATGTTTGTCCCTGATATCGGCAAATAATTCATCGTTTGAATTGAGTATAATTTGTTTTTTAATGGCAGTCAATACCTCTGGTTCATTTTCAGTTTTCATAAATCTTTCTGATGGAAACTGAGCAGTTGCTAAAATTAAAAAGAGTTAATACTGTGTCCTACTCAGAACTTATAAGATTTTTATCATCAGTGAACATTTTAAATACATACTATTATTAATACCGAATAATTCATCGATCAAGCCCTCGTAGGTCAATTGCGTCGCCATTGGTGTTATTAAATCCACACTTCTATCGATTAACAACAAATGATCAATTTGTGAAATTTGACTAAATAATTTTTTACATCCTTTACTAGTTTGTTCTTTTAACATTTTATTCATTAAATTCCAAACATTTTTAGCTGCATGACCTTTTCCAGATACTTGTGGTATAATGCCATATTCCATTTGTATTGTCATTAATGTTTTTGCAACTTCATATAAACATGTTGGATCATTTTCTAAAACTAATTCCTAAAAGTATACTTAGTAAAATAAAAGTAATATTTCTTTATAGATTTAAATGAATTATGAGAAAGTTACTTTAAATGCATATTCATTTTCCATTGATAATAAATCATTATCAAAAGGAAATAATTCAATATCGAATTCTTCGATTGTACAATTTCCAAAAACTCCTCTACTTATTAATCTATTTTCGCATAGAAAACTTTTATGCGGAACAAAAAATATGTAAAAATCTTTTCTAATCGATTTATTTCTTTCTTCTTTACATATCCTGAAAATTTATAGTCATGTATGTTATATAATTATGGTTGAAGAAAACCTGAAGGATTTAAAAACTGATGTAAAAATTTCATCTCACCCGTGTATGTAATCAGCTATGATATCCATCAAAGGTAAAGATGGTCTAACAATAAAAATAACATTTTTTTCATTTATTCTAGGTATGAAATTAGGTTTTAAAGGAAACATGTTATTAACATTATGTTCTGTTAATAATCTATATTCTGTAATTAAACCTACTGGACCGGCCAATGTTTCATCCCACATAAGAGCCTGAAATTGTCAAAAAATTTTAATAAAAAAAATTATTATTATTATTTTTGTATTTTAAATGAATTAATTTTTTTAAATAAATAAATTAAATATTAATATACGTTTTACTGACTTTTGTCGAATCACATTTATCCAAAAGTGTAAATAATTTATTTCTAGCTAATTCTTGTATTTGTCCAATATTTATTTTTCCAGTTGTTAAATGAGCTGACATTTTGAATTTTAAGATGTCGATCATACGATAAGAAGATAATTTGCAATAATCATAGCCTTCTAAATAAATAATTATAAGAGGCGGAGAGTAATGATGTTGCTAAAATTTTTTTTTTTTTTTTATATGTGTTTTAAACTTGAAGACAATTAATATGAAATTTTTTACATATTAAATTTTTTAAAATAATAATAATAATAATTAGATATATATAAAGGAAAATTAACGTTATTATATAGTTAATATGAAAGAGGCTATAGCTATTTTATTGGTATTTGTCGGGTGCATGAGCAATGTAATTTTTTTGGAAAATTTAGTGAGAGATGATCCCGGTTGTGGAAATTTAATAACGTTTTCACAGTTTTTTTTTATCGCTTTAGAAGGTTTTATATTTACTAGCAAATGCGGTACGGTTCGTCCTCACATAAGTAAAAAAAACTATTTTTTTTTAACCGTCATGTTTTTCGTTGTGAATTTATTAAATAATTATGCCTTTGATTTTAACGTACCCGTGCCTCTGCATATAATTGTAAGATCAGGCTCTTTATTAGCTAACATGACGCTAGGAGTTTACATAGTTAAAAAGAAATATCCCTTTTCGAAGTATTTATCCGTATTACTTATTACAATAGGAATAGTGGTATGTACAATTGTGTCTGGGAAAGATGTTAAATCAACAAATACAAGAGGAAAACCGACAACATCTCATGAAGATTTTTTTTGGTGGACAATTGGATTAATGGTATTGTGTGTTGCTTTGTTTTTATCAGCTGCATTGGGTATATTTCAAGAATCACTATATAAAAAATATGGTAAACATTCAAAAGAAGTTCTTTTTTATACTCATCTATTGCCATTACCATTATTTTTATTCATATCACCAAATATTTATTCTCATGCAATCATTGCATACGAAAGTGAACCATATTTAGTATTAAATACATTTCATATGCCAAAATCTATATTAAATTTAATAGGTAATGTTTTAAGTCAATATGTATGTATATCATCTGTTTTTTATTTGACTTCGAATTGCTCGAGTTTGGTTGTTACCCTCGTATTAACACTTAGAAAATTTTTAAGTTTGTTATTCTCAGTATTATATTTTAAAAATCCATTTACATTAGCTCATTGGCTTGGAACTATATTTGTTTTAATTGGAACAATTATATTTACAGAACTTCATAAAAAAATATATAATATGACAATAAGTAAAGATGAAGGGACAAAAAAATTAGAATAATATTATCAGTATTTTTTCTAAACGAATGATATTTTTAAATTTTATTATTAAACAAATGTAGAAAAATTTTATTATTAATGTGATTATTTACTTATTAAAATTCAATTTAAACAAATTTATTTTTTCTAGTCTGTTTTAATGCAGTTTTATCAAAGAGAACAATAAAAATTAAAAATTTAATCGATATTAAAAATTAAATTTTATTTTATTTAAGTGTTTTTATCAATCTTGAGATTGGAAAGGGTTATATTTATAAATTTTAAAAAAAAAAAATCATGTGTAAGGCCTTTTATTTTAATAAATTAATTTTACTTATTTGGAAAAAAAAAAAAAACAAAAATACACATTTTTGTGATTACTTAATAATTATTTTTATCAATCAATCCTTTCCTTATTTTATGAAAGCTAAACAATCGCTATTATCGCATTCATTAAGAATTTTTTATACTCACACATACATAAATAACTTTATTAAATTTCACTCTTGTAGGTTAAAAAAAAGCAACAGTTTAAAAAAAAAGTATTTCATTTATATTTTGTCTACGATTTATAAAAAAAGAAATAAAATACAAATTATTTCTTAATTATTATAAAAAAAAAGACCAACTAAATTTTAGAGCATTCAATATGAGGTATAAAAAAAGAACATGTAAAATTATTTACTTTCCCTTCACCCAAGTTCTTTATTTCATTGTTAAAACAAATTTTTATAATTTAAAAACACATTTGGTTTACATGTTCTTCCATCATATAAAAAAAAAATTAATATTTACTATAGAGTTTGTTTGAATAATAATAATAATAAATTCGATTCACTTTTAATTGAATATTTGTTTATTTAACATAACCGCCTTCTTTGAGTTTTCCAAGTAATTCATCAACATTTTCAACGAGTGATCCACCTTGTCTGACAGGGGGATCTTCAACACTTAAAACTTCTATTCTAGAAGTTAAATCGACACCTAAATCTTTTGCAGCTACTTTCTTTAATGGTTTCTTTTTCGCTTTCATTATATTCGGTAGAGTTGCATATCTTGGTTCATTTAACCTCAAGTCTGCACTTAAAACAGCAGGTGCATTTAATTTTATTTGTTCTAATCCTCCATCGATTTCTCTAGTGATTGATACTTCTTTTCCATTTACATCTACTTTTGAGCAAAAAGTTCCTAAAATGAATAATTAAAATGATTAATACTTTTTTATTATGTGGTGGCTTGTAGTTTAATTTTAAATAATTAATCAACAAAGTACACACCCTGTGGCCATTCTAATAAAGCAGCAATCATTTGTGCCGTTTGATTGCAATCGTCATCAATGGCTTGCTTTCCTACAATGACAAGATCTGCTTTTTCATCAGTAGCCAATTTGGCTAATATTTTTGACACATGTAATGGTTGCATTTGCTCATATTCATTTTGTGCCATTTCAACATGTATTCCTCTATCAGCACCCATTGCTAATGCTGTACGTATGACATCCTGAGCATTTGCTGGACCACATGAAACTGCAATCTGAATATTGAAAATTTAAAAAATAATAATAATAATCATTAAAACTAATGGCAAATAATTATACTTACAACTTCTGAGGCTAATTTTTTTTCTTTCATTCTGACAGCTTCTTCAACGGCTATTTCATCAAAAGGATTCATTGAATGTTTAACCCCGTCTGTGACAACCCCTGTTTTGTCAGATTTGACCCTTATCTTAACAGCATAATCAATCACTCTTTTAACTCCGACAAGTACTCTAGACATTTTTACTATTGTTTTATTTATTCCCCCAAAACAAATTTAATTATTTCTTTAATTTTTAACTTTAATTAATTAATTAGCATATTACACTAAAAAAAAAAAAAAAAAATCTGATGAAAAGATTGATAACGGAATAAATGCAAGGTTAAAGTCTCAAATTTTTAAATGGTTCATAGATGACCAACTTATGAAAAATAAAATTTTTTTTTTAAATTGAATAATTTACCTCTTTTATTATGTAATTATAAAAAAAAAAAAATTGTTGTAATAATTTATTTAAACTTTTTTTATTTCAACTTCAATTAAATTTAATTCATTTCCAATGATATAAATTTAAATTTTATCTTATTTATTTTATGTTAAATGTCATTTTAATTGAAGTATAATAAGTATAAAATTAAGAAAAAATTATTATTTTAACATAGACATTTCAAGTCTAAAATTTCATTCAAAATTAATATATTAAAAAAAAATTCTAATCCTGTTTAAAATATTATTTTCAACTACTTTTATATAAACTGTCTCTCTCACCTTTACTATACTTTAATATTTCTTTCTAAATTAATTTCAATTAAAATTTCCTTTAAACATTTAATAAAGTATAAAACTTTCTTTTTTCTTTATCTTAAATTCATAAAAAAAAAAAACTCAACTAAATCCATACAAATTAAAATTTGTCAGATATTTGCTTTTATATAAACAATTTCAATAAAAAATTCTTTCATTTTTTTGTTATGTTTTAAAAAAAAACAATTAAAATCACAAAATGTTTGTGTTTTTGTGTTTGATAAAATTTGTTTTAAATGCATTTCCTGCATTCAAATTAATTAAACGTTAAAAAATAATATGGAATATATATAGAGGCAAAACTTTTTTTTTTAAAAGAGACAAAAAAAAAAAAAACCAAATTATTTTTTATTTATCACTAATTTAAAAATAAAAAAAAAAAAAAAAAGAAATGATTGATTGAAAAAAAAAAATAAAAAAAAAATGATGATTGATTGATTGATTGATTAAAAAAAAAAAAAAGAAATTTGAAAACTTTAAAACTGAAAAAGCGGAGGAGGATATCCGCCACCTCCACCGATTGGATTGTATCGGTTATGTTGAAGCTTGTTTGAATTCACTTTGGCTCCTCCACGACCACGATTAACACCCATGTTGACTCCGATTGCTTGGGCTCCGCCGCCTGTAAATATCCATTATAGAGAGAACAAACAAACAAACAAACAAACAAACAAACAAACTAAATAGAGACATATGTATGGCCATTCATATACTAATTTTATATTATTATTTGGGAGGGGGGGGGGAGATAAACAAACATAATCATAATTAATTAATAATATTAAACTTAATATTAATGATAATATTTTGTATTAGTTTTTTTTTTTAAAGAAAATTGACAACACTGTGTGTGTGTGTGTCTGTGTGTTTGTTTCGTTATCACAATTCGACACAAAACTCTTTATAATATAATATTAAAAAAAAAAAAAAAAAAAAGAAAAAGTCATGGCTGACCAACTCATCGACTAAATATTATTATTACTTTAAACAGATAATATTATATGAATCCAAAAAAAAACATTTTTTTATAGAAACATATTTTGTTTAATTAAACTCGATACAATTAAATATTATATATTAAATATAATTTTACATTTATTTATTTATTTTTTTTACATCATCATCATCATCAATTTCCTTTCCTTTTTTTCCCCAATTATTATTTTTTTTTTTTTTTTTTTTTTTAAATTTGGGAATTTATTACGCCAAAAAAAAAAAAAAAAAAAAAAAGAGGTAAAAATTTTTTTCAACTTAATTTTATATTCGTTTCTCTTGTTTACACACAACAGATCACACTAAATAGACACAAAAGAGAAACTTTAATTTCAAGTTGAAAAGTTTCAAAAATAAACTATTCACAACTAACTTTACAAAAAAAAAAAAAAAAAAAAAAGTAAACATAAGTGTTAATTACGTTTAAATTTTTTCGTCTTTTCGAAACAGGTACCTACTATTTAAATTAATTAATTAATGGCGAGTATAAACAAGATTTAAGTACAATTCCTTTTCTTTTTTTTTTGTCACAAAAGAAAATGTCCTCATGCTAAAAATATGAAATTTATTCATAACCGCACAATAATTTTTAAAAAAAAAAAAATTGTCGAATAAAATTTAAACAAATTTTATTATTATTATTATTTGAATTCGAATTTGAATAAATTTTATTCGACACTCTCAATTATTATTATTATTATTAATAAGAAGAATAAGAATAAGAAGAAGAAGAAGACATACACAGTCTCTCATTTTTTTTTTTTTTTTTTTTTTTTTTGGAAAGTTTGTACTTTTTGTTTCATAAAACATTATCTGTTAAAAAAATAAAATAAAATGGACGTTCTTTCCGAGCAAAAAAAAAAAAAAAAAATTATTTCTTTTTCTTTTTTTTTTTTTTTTTAAAAGTTATTAAAGTAGCGATAAATTTATCACCTCAACATTTAACCATCAATTAAAACTAACTTTAATTTCAATTATATATAAAAAAAAAAAAAAAATGTTTCATAAAAAATTATTTTTAAGGATTATTATTTATTATTAATGTGTAACAGAAATGATAAGAAAAATAAAAAAAATGAACACAATAAAGATGAGAAATAAATAAGTGTTAAATAAACTTGTTTTCTCTCTCTCTCTCTCTCTCTTTCTCCCTCTAATTAACAGCTTAATATTATTTAAAATAAGCACATTTACTTATTATTATTATTATTAGCTTAAGATTCGTAGAATATAAATGAGAAAGCTAAAAAATTAATTTTTAAAAAAATTCCTCTTTAAAATTTCTATTCTAGACTTAAATTTTTTTTTTTTAAGAAACACAATTTAACTATTATTATTATTATTATTATTATTATTATAAAAACTGTTAAATGCCACTGAAAAAATATCACATTAATAAAAAAAAAAAAAAAAAAATTTAAAGACATAATTAATTTGCACCTTTTTATAAGTAATTAAAAGCCTGATAGAAACTGATTTTTTTTTTTTTTTATTATGTGTTATTAGGAATGATGAAAAAAATTATTAATCTCCAGAAAATGAAGCACTTAAGAAGAATATATATATATATATATATATATATATATATCAGAGTTAGCAATGAGCAAGGTATGAGTTACCTTTATGAGAAAAACCAGCATGCCAACCGGCAAAATAAACTGCTTTCTGTTTTCCATGTTCTTCTGCAATTTTCACTTGAATTGCTTCAGTTGCACCATCTGGAACAACTCCATTTAAATTACTAATGGCTGCCTGAGCTTCCTCTTTCTTGTCATACCTGATAAATGATACAAAATATTTGATTTAATAAAAGGCAAAATAAAGTGAAAATTGTTATTATGTAAAGAAAGAGAGATGATTGTTTTTACCTAACAAATGCCACACCTCGAGGCATTCCAGTCACTTTATCTTTCAAAATGTTTTTTTGAACAATAAATCCATATGGACCGAATATGTTATCTAATTCTTGTTCTGTTATATTCTTCGGTAAGTTTGTCACATACAAATTTGTATCTTTAATGTCATCTCCTGCCGGTCTAGCATATGACACTTTCAATCTTTTATTTTGAACTTGTAATCCATTCAATGTTCCAATTGCACGACTTGCATCTTCTTCTTTGCAGTATTTAACAAACCCAAACCCATAGGAATATCCTGTCTACATTAATTATTATTTTTTTATTAAAGTTACCAAGAAAAACATAATATGCTTTTGCTTAAATTTTTCTTAATGAATGAATGAATGAATGAATGAAAACTTACCTTAAAGTCTTTCATTACCCTGCAACTTTGAACAGGGCCTATTGTGACAAACATTGAATACAACTCCTTGTCTGTCATATGCTGAGGTAAATAATTTATAATAAGGTTTGTTTTATCATCACAATCATTTTTTACACCTTGACCTTGATTCTGGTAGTCCATTCTTCACTTGAATTCTTCTCCTATTTTTGAGCAGCACATCAAGGGAAAAAAAATAAAACAAAAAAAAAGTATGGCTGCTGAGGGTTTTTAACATTGAACATTTTATAGCTATTGATTACTAACTTTACTTTACATAATATTCAAGCTTAATGTTCAATGTTAAGTTTTATAATATTCAGGGGCTTTGATGGTTATGGTGGTCGAGGACCATTTATAAAAAAAATAATAAAAAAATAAGGCCCTCATTTTGTCCTGTCAAAATAAAAAAATCAAAGCTATGTTAATTAAGCACACATTTACCTTGTTTAAAAAAAAGAGAAACATTTTGCTTATTCTTAGAAGATAAAAAAAAAAAAAAAAAAAAAAAAAATTTAATTTTTTCACTCACTTTAAGCTAAATTATAAGAATTTTAAAAGAAATGACTATATATGTGCTAATAAATATGACTTGGACAAAATAGTAAGGCTGTTAAAAAAAAAAAAATTATAATCTAGTAAAACGCTAGTTCGGAAAATTAACAAATTTGTGAAGCCGACAAAATATCGAATAGCGGCGTCACGATTTGTAACAGCCACAGCTTCACATTTGTAACAGCTTCCGCGATTGAATATTTAATATTAACATATAAAAGATATAATTTATTAAACCTAAGCCAATTTTACATTTAAAATTGTAATAGAATAATATTACAGAGGCACCGCATCTTAGTACCTTTAAAAAAAGGCTTCTTGAAAAAGCTTGGTAGATTGATTTGGGTTTCAGCAACTTTTTTTCAATACATCAAGTAAACTTTAGGTAAAGAACATCTAAAGCATCATTTAAACTGTACTCTGTAAAATTTTAATTCTAAAAAGTGCTTTTCGTTAGAAAAAAAATATATATATAAGCTATTTTTATTACTCACCTTGAAAAAAAAAGAGTCGACCGAAGCTCTGGCGTTAACAGGAAACGGAACAGTTGTTGCTACGATTCAAAAATAGCCCACCTGCGTATCCTAGATTTTTTTTACAGCAAAAATTATATTTCTCATTTTAAAAAAAAAAATGATTTTTTTAAATTATTTACAAAATCAATGTAGATTGGTTTTATGGGGAAAAAAATAGAAATTTGTTATTTAAAATAACATGGCTAATTTTTTTGCAAAAAATGGTATATGTGTGCTAAGTGAGAAATACCGGGTCACGTTATTTGCTATCAAACAGATTTGCAGTTTGATTTGATTGACTTGATTCTTGATTAAGAATAACTTTAACTGTGTTTTACTAATAACGGGCTATAATGTCAATAAGGAAAAGTCACTTATCTGTTAGTATAAATTATTTTCAGTTTTTTAAAACAAACATAATACTTTAATTATATTAATTAAATAAAATAATATTTATATTTTTTTTAAATTTAGTTTAATTTTTAACTAGAACTAAATTTTATTTTAGAAAGAAGAAATTATTAAACAATTTGATCTCCCTGAAAGGAAATCTAAAATAGCAACTCTTTTAAAACAAGATGAACAAGCTTATTGTATTTGCAGATCTTCAGATTCTTCTAGATTTATGATGTATGTTGAAAATTTTAATCCCTCTTTTTAAAAAAATAAAAACATTATTAAAATTACTTTTTGCTTTCAGTGGATGTGATGCTTGTGAAGAATGGTATCATGGAGATTGTATTAACATTACTGAAAGCGAAGCAAAACATATAAAACAATTTTTTTGTATAGTAAGTTAATGTAAAACTTTCAATTGAAAACCTACGATTTTAATGTGACATTATTTTTATTTATTTTTTTTATTTTTAGCGATGTAGAGAGGAGGATCCTTCACTAATTACTAGGTATAAAGTTCAAAAAACTGAAGCTGAAAAATTAGAGTACCAAAAAAAAAGAGAAAAAGACAAATTAAAAAAAAAAGAAAAAAAATTAACATCTAGAAGATGTGGAGAATGTGTTAATTGTTTAAGAAAAAGTGATTGTGGTAAATGCAATGGCTGTACAAATATTTACAAACAAAAATGCTTATTCAGAATTTGTGCCAATAGGGAAAGAAATAAAGCTAACGAAAATGTATATATTTCATTTTGAAAAATTTGTTATTCTGATTGAAATATAAGAGAAATATGTTTATATTTAAATTATTTATTTCAGAAGGATTCTAAATTTAAACGTCAGAAAACAAAATTAAAACAAAAAGAATTTATTACAAAATCTAAAAGAGGAAGAAAAAGAAAGGACTCTGAATCGTCTAATGATATGACTGTAATAGATACTCCAAGGCAGTGTTATGGACCCATGTGTACAAAGCCTAGTCGACCAGGAAGTAAATATTGTTCGGATACTTGCGGCTTAAAATTGGCAACCAATAGAATTTATCAGGTAATTATAAAAAAAAAATTAAGATACTAATTCATTTTAAACAAAAAATAATTTTTTTCTTTTGAAATTTATTCTGATGCAGTTTGAATTAATGATTTCAGGTGTTACCACAAAGAATCCAAGAATGGTCATTGTGTCACTGTATTGCAGAAGAAAATAACAAAAAAGCTCTTGAAACAGTTCGAAAACAACAATTGGAAGTTAGACGAATTCTACATGAATTAGATAAAAGGCATCTTGAGTTAGATGCTGTGATAGCTCGTGGTAAGCAATGCAAAGTAGAAGAATCTGAAGATAAGCTAGAAGATGAAGAGTCAGAAATAGAAACTTCAATGTGAGTTTGTGTTTACTTAAGTAAAAATGCGTTTAGAGTGTTTTTCTTAATCATTACTCAAGTATTTTTACCTACAGGTATTGTATCACATGTGGACATGAAATTCACTCAAGAACTGCCATTAGACATATGGATAAATGTTTTAATAAATATGAAAGTCAAGCTTCGTTTGGTAGTATATACAAAACTAGAATACAAGGAAATAATATGTTCTGTGATTTTTATAATGCTGCCAATAAAACTTATTGTAAAAGACTAAAAGTTCTTTGTCCAGAGCATGGAAAAGAACCTAAAGCAGCTCCAACAGAAGTAAAATTTTTAACTTGACTTAATTTGTTATTAAATTTATCGAAAATTTAGTAATATCGATAAAATTCATTAACAGGTTTGTGGTTGTCCATTAGTTACAAATGTTTTTGACTTAACTGGAGAATATTGTCGAGCTTCCAAACGAAATTGTGTTAAACATTATGCCTGGGAAAAACTAAGAAGAGCGGAAATAGATATGGAAAGAGTTCGTCAATGGTTGAAAATAGATGAACTCGTTGAAAAAGAACGTCAGTTGAGGTACGAATTAGCCACTCGAGCTGGTGTCCTCGCTCTCATGCTTCATTCGACTTATAATCATGACCTTATGGAACAATTAGCGGCTGCTCAACATCAAAAAAAACATTCGAAATCGGGATAATAACCGAGGGAAAATACCTTCGACGGATAATTTTTTGACCCAAAAAAAAAGAAAATTAAAACCGTAAAAATAATAAGCGGCAATATCTTTAATTTATTTAAAAATATATATATATATGTGATTGTAAAAAAATAAAGTTTACACAAATAAATGACATTTTATAAAAATTCATATAAATTCTTATATAACAAAAACCTTACACTTAACATAAAAAATTTCTCTTTGAAAAAAATAAATATATATATTTCTTTGTATTAAATGACGATTAACAATATTTTAATTTATATATTTAAGGAATAGTTTTTTTTAACGAAATCCGTAGATATATTACATTTGATTAAAAAACTGTTGAACGCATTCTTTTTTGCAAAATATTTGATTGTTTTTAACGACAAATCTTGCTCCCAGCAAAGAATTTAAACAATTAGTACAACGGAAACACTGAGGTGAGACATGAAAATGTAAATCATTCCATGAAACTCTTTGTTCTCCAGCTTCAATCAATAAGGAACATGTTTGACATTTCTAAAATACATACATTTTTAATTTAAAATTATGTAAGAAATCATAACATTTAAACAAAATTCAAGCGACGCTAACCTTTCCATAATTAACCTGATAACAATCTAAACAAATCGGTTGATAATCTTTAAGAATGTATTGTTTTCCAGCCAAAGGTTCATCACATTGAAAACAGCAAAAGTGACGTATGTGGTATGATTCTCCTTCAGCACAAGTATATTCTTTAACGAAAATAAGCTAAAAAGAAAAATTTCATAATTTAGAAAACAATACAGAGGTAATAATAATAATAATAATAATAATAAGACGTTTTGAAATCTTACTTCATCGCAAGCATAACATCTAGGTATCTTCATAATATCCGCATAGTGTCTGCCACAATAAACTTTTCCTTTATGGAAAAAGTACATCAAATCAACCAAAAGTTCTTTGCAACTTTCACAAACGAAGCATTTGGCATGCCATAATGCAAAATTTCCACCCCTTTCTGCTTGAACAATAACTTCATCCGGATTTAATATTCCCAAACATTGTAAACATGTTGCAGGAGGATTTGGAAAAACATTTGAAAGTTCTTCATTTTTATCATCATTCTTTTGTAATTTCCCTGAAACTTATTTTAAATTCCAAATTTATCCTTTCACAGCATTTTAAAATGTAATATTTTAAATCAACTTGACTTACCCATGGGTTTTTGAATAGTATTCGTTTCTTGAACTGGTGTAAATGGCACTTGATCAATGGAAATATTTAAATTTTTAAATTTGGCTAAAGAATCTGTAAGTAATTGTGCATCTTTTGGTCTTTGCTCTACTCCCTTTTCTTTATTGTCATTTGTAACATTATTATCACAGGATTGAAATTTATCAATTTGATTTGGAATGCTTTTTCCAATTATTTTATTTAAATTTTTATCATAATTTTTATCAGAATCGATAACATTTTCATTATTATTTTTTTCACCATGAGTAATATTATTTTTATTAAGGAAAGAACTAGGAGTTTTTAAAATGACATTATCATTTGGCAACATGAATGATGATGATTTTTCACTATTTTGTGGGATTTGATTGTAAGATGATGAAATGTATGGTTTGGGACATTTAATATTTGTCGAAAAACTTGTCGGATTTTTATTTAAATATTCCTTTTTTTCATGGTTTGGCAATGCGCTATTGGGTGAAAATTGTTGTGAGGAAGATAATTGATATGGATTTAAATTTTGTGAAGTTTGAACGGGACACAAATCTGACTGTTCGGAATAAAACACATTTTGATCAGAATATTTATCAACTGTTACATGAGCCATTAATTCTGTTCCCTGCGGTTTCAAATGATCATATTTTTCACTTTTCGCTACCATATTTGGCAAAGAATCATGTATGAAATTTTCTTGAAACAATTTCTGCAAAAAAAAATTTAAAATGTTAATTGTAAAAAAAAAAAAAATTTTCTGGATTAATTGGATAATATGGATTTCATACTAACTGTTGATTGATATTTCATAATTTTTCCTTGACCGATAACATTATTTCTTAAATTATCAATATATTTTTGAAATTCGACAGCTTCTTTTGGTGTCAAATTATGACAAACATTTGGATCAATGTCATGTAATGGCACTTGTTTTTCTAATTGTTTTTTTCTATACCTGGCACCTTCGCTATCTGAAATGGGTAGCTTGGATTCGGGTAGAGATTTCAAGTATTCGACAGCCTACAAAAGAATTCATAAATAAAATAATAATAATTTTTTTATGTAAGTCAACAACCTTAAACTTTTTTTGTAAACTTAAAGAATATATATTACCAATTCAGGTGAAACATTTGGAGGAACCCAATCGAATAATTTATTTTGTGAATTAAATTTCAATGTTGTTTTCTTTCCTTTTTTTGTACCAAAAAGAATTTCAAATTGCGCATAATCGTCTTCTTCAACAACTTCATGATCTTCTTTTCTACATTTACACTCGATACAGATTTTCCTTCATAAGTCAATATTAAAATGATTATTATAATAAATAATATATTTTATAAAGAATTTAATAAATGTTGTGTAATTACCTCCAAAAGTGAAGATTTAAACCTATACATTTATCCTTGCAAACCGTACAAGGTGCTCCGGCACCAATCTCATGTGCTAATTTATGTCTTTTTCGCCGATTTTCCAATATTTCCAACCATTCGGGAGTTTTCAAAACTGAATTTTCAGATTCCATAACTGACATTTTCAACAATTTAAACAAAACTACTTGACTGACAGTATTTTAAAAAATAAAAAACTCCTATTATGATTCATACTTAAAGTAAACATAAAATAGGCTAATTATGACGTCATTTTTGTGTCATTGCCATGAATTTGCCTCCGGCTTAATATAATTGTTGAACGTTAAAACCTTTTCCCTCCATTATGACAATTTTTTTAACGGTTTTTTCAAGGATTAATAATCAATTAATTAATTTTAAAATTCTTTTTTGTGTACAAAATTTTTTTTTTTTTTGTTTTATTGAGATACCATTATATAGTAATTAACATTAAATTTTATTATAATATATATGTATGTGTTATAATAATTCAATATTTATTGAATTTTTATACTTACAAAATTTCTATTGAAATTTTATCAGAAACAGTACAACATTTAAAAAGCATTATAAAGTTTTTTTTTTTTTTTCTTTTTTCTACGCTTAAACAAATATTAATAGCATAATATATTTATTATTATTTAATTATAATAATAATAATAATAATAAAACAAAACCAAAAAAAAAAAATTAAAATTAAAACAATCAACCATCGTTTTAATAATTCCAATACAATCTACAAATCATGTGTATAGATATATGAAAGCAAAAATAATAATAATAATAATAATCAAACAAAAAAAATGCTATAAAAAAAAAAAAAGAAAAGAAAAATTTTCTTTCACTTTCCCAAGAATTTTCACCTGGAAAATAATAATAATAATAAATCAGAAAATTTTATCTCCATAATTAATAAGTTTTCCCCAAAACAAACACGTACCTAAAGAGATTTGACCACAAAAAAAAAATTTATGTATTATTATTCACGATTTAAAGATGATAATAATGATGATAAAGCTATAAAATTTTTAGCATAATAATAATAATAATAATAACGTCAATCAACTACATATTAACGTTTAAAAACTTAGCTATAATAATCATAATAATAATATATATTATTTTAATGTAAACCCACAAATATTATTTTTTTTTTTTTTTTGTTAATAATTAAGCCCTTTCAGCATATTAATAATAATAATAATAATAATAGTTTTTTTTTCCTTTTTTCCTTTTTCCTACTTTTTTTTAAAATATTTTTTTTTTTCAATTTTTTTTAAAACGGTTATCCTTGTGCAATAATGATAAAAATAATAATAATAATAATAATAATTAATACGTGTAAGTGTGTGTGTGTGTATTTAATAAAAATTATTATTATTAATTTTTTTTTTTTTTTTTTCCATTTTTTCCTTTTTTCCTTTTTGTGTAATTTAAATTACATAGAATCAAAATAAATTTTGCAATTTACTATTTGAATTTTAATAGTATATATATATACATATAAATTTTAATTAAATTTAAAAAAAAAAAAAAAAAAAATTACCAATTGTTATAATTTGAATAAGAATTATATCCTCCTCCTCCTCCACCTCCACCTCCCCCGCCTCCTCCTCCTCTGTAATTATCGTATCTTCGATTTTGATACCATTTGTATCTTTCTTGAGAATGGTTTCCATACGTTGACGGTTTATTATAATAATCATTATAACCACCACCGCCACCGCCACCACCACCACCACCTCCACCTCCACCTCCTCTGTTGTACGAGGGTTCGAAATTTTTATAAGTACGATTTGGTCTGTGAGAAGCGAATCCTTTGGAATCGATCGGTTCCATTCCGTAACGTCCGGCATTTATTCCGCACAGCTCCTTAACGATTTCAACGACTTTTCTATCGATGGGAGAAAGTTCTCGAACTTGTGAAGGTTCCTTCGACGCTTTTATTATGAGACTCTCGATCGCGGGGCGAAGGGCAACAATTGCCGATGCTTCTTCCGGTTTCATGTCCAAATGAATCCAACCGTCCAATCTAATTATGTTCTTGACGAATTCGACTTTTCTCGCGCCGAAAAGTAACAAGTGTATGGGAGTGACCATGGTCATTTGTTTGCACGATACAACTTTCGTTCGTATTTTTTCTCTGTATACGAAAAATGGTATTGGAAAAGACTGCTCTAAATTACTACAGTTGACCGATGTTTTATGTATCAAAGCAACTTTGTTACCCGTTGTCAAAACTTTTCTCTTGCTTTGATGATAAGCCACGTTGGGATAAAGTCCCAAGCATAGCAAAGCAATGACAACGTCTAATTTCGGGTCTGGACCGTGATAATTGTAAACTTTCGAAACCAGAGTTTCCTCGGGAAATCCCGTGAACGCCGTCAGTAATTGAATGAGTTGATTTTTCGCTTCCAATGTGATTCTCAATGTTGAATGCGATAATAATTTCGCTTCGCAAAATCTTTCCTCGCTTTCATTTTCACTCATCTTAACTTCTTCCCAAGTTTGAAAAGCATTCAGAGTCGCGATGTGATCGGAAAAACGATTTCCAGAAAAATTCTTTTGGGAAAATGACAAACGTCGCTTTTCGGGAGTTTGAATGAATACTTCCGGTAGAGTAGCCGTGTTGGCAGCTATGGTTGTCAATGCATCACCGCAATCGAAAAGACATCCCAAAATGACCATTTTTCCCATTCGCGGTTCCAAAGGTAATTTTCCTAAAATTCTTCCCAAAGGAGTCAATTCGTCGTTCGAATCCAAACATTTCATTTCTCGTAAAAGGACTTCTGCCTCGATCACAGCATCGATGGGAGGAGGCTCGATTGCTTTTGAAAGAAATTGACCGACCGAACCCAACCGAAGCAATTTAACCGTCAATGCTAATTCGTGAAGGGGAGTGCGAAACATTTCCGGAGTCATATGCTGATCTAATTTTTCGTATCTTGCTTTCGAGCACAAATGAAAACATATACCGGGTCGTACTCTACCCGCTCTTCCTTTCCTCTGTTCAAGATTCGTTTTCGATGCCCAAACGGTGGCGTAATGAGTCATATTGTTGTGCGCTGTAAAAATTTTCATTTTGGCCTTACACGAATCTATTACGAAAACAATGTCGTTAATAGTTATTGAAGACTCAGCTATATTGGTGGCCAATATGACTTTCGTAATGTTGGGGGGATAAACGTGAAACACTCGCTTTTGATCTTCTCGAGGAAGTTGAGAATGAAGAGGTAGTATAACGAAATCATAACCTCCGAAAATGGTGTGCTGTTGAAGGTGTTTCATCAGAGCAAAAATCAAATTCCATCCCGGAAGAAAAATCAAAACTGCTCCGGGAATATTTATCGACTTGATATATTCGAGGAGTTTAACTATTAATTCGAAACAGATTTCTTTTTCGCTCAGTAAAGCCATCGAATGTTTCGTTTCTAAATCGTAATCTTCGGAAATGACCGCATTTAAATTTTCTTCTCCTTCGTCTGCTCCTTGTAAAGCTTCATCGTCATCTTCATCATCTTTGTCGTTTATTTTCCTTTTCCTCTTTTTCGATACAATGGGTGGAATAAATTTTAACATTTGAATGCAATCTTCTAAAAAATATTTTTTTACCGGGAAAGAACAACCAGGAATTTCAATTATGGGACAATTTCCAAAGTAATTATTAAAAAGTGTAGTGTCAATCGTAGCCGACATGAGTACTATCCTTAAATCGGGATAAGTATGAATCATATCTCTTAGGACGACTAAAATAAAATCCGTGTTGACATCTCTTTCGTGAATTTCGTCCACGATAATATGCGATATTCCTCTCAGACCGCTTTCAAGTTTTTTCAAAAGAACGCCGACAGTGCAAAATAAAATACTGCCAAAAGGTCTTGGAAAGCAAGACTCAAACCTTACACTATATCCCACGCTCTGACCCAATGTTTCATTTCTTTCGAAAGCAACTCTGTCGGCTACTGAAACAGCAGAAATTCTGCGAGGTTGAGTAACGATCACATTACAATAAGCTCCTTGACCAGCTTTTATATAATCATCTAAAATAAATTGACAAACTTGAGTAGTTTTACCGCAACCAGTGTTTCCCCTGATTAAAACCACTGCGTTATCATTAATTGTTTGCATTATTTCTTTATTGATTGCAAAAGCTGGAAGTTCTTCTCTTTCCTTAATCATTTTTTGAAGATTTTCATTGGTTTGCAAATTATGTCTATAAGATTGCTCTAAATTCAAACTGATTTCATCCAAACTAATATGGGCTAATGGACCTTCGTCTATGTTGCAATTCGTCCAAGCGTTCCAATTTTGAATTGGAGGACCCCAGGGCACCACGCCAGCTGATTGGGTTTTATTCGTAATAAACTCATCAAGAACTGTTGAATTAATTATCGATAAGCTTTGATTAGAATCTAAATTATCAGGAATTTCAGTTGGTACTATTTTCAAATCGTGTAGAACGTTTCTAACTTTTCTATACAAATCAGGTGAAATAGCAACTGGATACGGTTTCATTTCATTTTCTTTATCCCTATTTTTTTTAAGTGTTCCTGAAAAAGCTTCAATTACCCCAAGATGATATAATTGGCGTACAAGAGATAGAGCACAACTTTTGGATGCTGATGACTTATTCGATGCAGATTCACGGCCTGTCAGAGTACGATTTAGTTTTTTGACATACAGTGTCATTTCAGCAACAAAACATTGAGCTCCTTCGGATCCCATTATGGAATACTTGTAATCGGTTTTAATGTTGTATTGCTGTAAAAATTGATGCAACCTGGATTTACCATTTTCAATAGTCCAATTTCCATGGATTCCAGCATTCATGTCTAAATCTTCTGCTTCTTCAAGTTTTTTTTGATCAGCGAGTCTGTCAATATACGTGTAAGAATTGTTCACCCCATCATTTTTGTATGGGCAATATGCATCACCCATTAAGCCAGGGTTCATCCCAGGCTGAAACACAGTGTTATTTTTATGAAATAACTCTTGATTTTGACAGCTGCCATTAGAACTGTTTGGAAGCCCTACAATTTGATCAACAAAAATTAAAAAATTAAAATTAAAATATTATCATATAAAATGTCAATTTTTTTTTTTTTTTTTTTTTTTTTTTTTTTTTTTACCTTAATGTTCACCATTTAAAATAAATATATTTATCAACAACATTTTACTTACATCTAAATAAAAACTAATTTTTTTCAAAATTCTTAATTTCCATCAATTTTTCTTCTGACAAAAAATAAGATTCAACCAAAACCTAACATAGAATTTGAATAAAAGATTTTAATAAGAAAAAATTTTCTTTATTATACATAATTAATTAAGAATTCAAAAATTATAAAGAAAATTAATGGCTTTGTATAAACTAATTCCGACAGTAGCACGACCGATCCCTAAATAATTAAAAAATTTGCAATTTTACATGTACTACTTTCCATTAAAAAAAAAAAAAATTCGGTTTTGGCTGAATCACATTTTAAGTGCTGGTTGTCGTGAATTTTTATACAACGAACAAAAAAAAAAAAACCTCCATGAAAATACATACCATCTTTGCGAATAGAATCTTGCGGAATTTCGGAACCATCAATGACATTTTGGCGAACTAAGTAATGAACAAAGTCTCTGGCAGCATTAAACTGAGCGTCTTTCTTATTTGTTGAATTACCGCAACCAATATAAGAATATCCATCAACTTTTAATTCACATATAAACCTTTGCCTGTTTTTTAAACCAGCAGCCCTAACATCGAAGGTAGGTGTTCTGCCCGATTTAATACACCACGCGTGAAAATATGATTTTATATCCATTTCATTTAAGAAATTTCTTAAAATAAAAATTCAAGTGATAGTTTTACAGAACATAACAGTATTAAGGCATTTTGTGGCGTAAACATCAAAAACAAATAAAAGTTTCAAAAGATTACATTATATTTTTTAATTCGTTTTAAATTCAATATAGAAAATATTTAAATTATTTATTTTTTTATTTTCAATTTTTTATTACAATAATTGTAATTTTATTATTCAAAATTATTACAAAAATTATACATTAAACATATATAACTTAACATAATTCTTGAAAAATTTTTCAATGCATATATAAATTTAATGAATTTTTTTTTTGTGTTAAAAAAAAAAAAAAAAAAAAATTAAAAATTCTCTTCTGCTTTTCATCAGAAAAAAAGTTTACTTTCATTTTTATGAAAAGTAGTAAAAAAAATAAATCATCATTTAACTTTTTTTATACTCTATTCTGTCAACTTTTACATCATCACCGAGTAACTGATACACATAAGTAACCACAGTAGAACTCTGTATATCCATTAAAACAAAAGATGGAATGACTGATCTGTAATAATATTTTAAAGTATTTTTATTCAAATCCACAATTTTACTTTGAATTTTGAAATTATTCCATTATTGAAAAAACTTACGAATCTAGCGGGTTAAATGCTCCTGTAGCTGAACCGGGGTTAATGTAAAATTTATTATCATGTTCATAAGCTTCAAACTTATGAGTATGACCAGATATTAATATATCAACATCTAACTGTCTTTGAATTAAAGCCAATGATTCTGGATCTCCCCAAGGAACAACTTGGTGACCATGTGACAAGCCAATTCTAAACTGACCCACAGTAACAACTTTTTGCTCGGGATAATTTAGATTCTGAAAATTTGAAAAAAAATTACTTAAATTTGTAGAAAAATTTCTTTTTTTAAATTATATGCTAAAGCTCTTACTTCATCGAAATCACCCCTGACAACATGTACATCACTTGCCAAAGTTTTCAAATAATCATATGATTCTTTGGTGCACAAATTACCAGTACATAGTATATGTTGAATTCTTCCAGGTACCAGTAGTTTTTTAAACTTTGCAGGCAAACTACTACATCTGTGCGGTATATGTAAATCTCCTAATACCAAAACCAACTGAAATAATAATTAATATTTTTTAAAAAATAAAAATAAATTTTTAATTCGATAATCTTTCGAATAAATCTAGTTTTTATTTTACATTATATGCTTAATAAAATAATCTCATTTAATCTTGAAAATTTTGAAGTTTAAACTAAATATATGCGTTTAAAAGATTAAAAACCGCAAAAAAAATTTTTTTACCATTTCTTCAATTTTAGTAATAAGTTTCTAATTCGTATATAAATGTCAAAATTAATATTCATTAACTTTTTTTTATCTTGACCATACTGGAATTTTATAAAATTAATAAGCTTTTTTCAGACTTTGCTCGTACTGTTCATATTTATTCTTAATCTGACATTTATTAAATTAGTAGTAGAGTAATACACTTTGCTGATTTTTGAAAAATGCCTTAAAAGTTTTGAAACAAAGGTATCTCATTATGTAAAATGGCTCCGTAAATATGTAAATATGTCTTTGAACGAGAAATTATTTTTTCGAAGAGCAATACAACATTTAGCTAGATCATTAGCGGCTATTTCAAAAACACCTTGGGAAAAGGTATTAAATAAAAACTTTAAAAAATTTACCCTTGTAAATATTTATGGAACATCTTTGCAATTCTTACTTGGACATTTTACTTGTTTTAGATATTACTTGATCATTTTTTAAATAAAAAATATAAAATTTTAATATTTCTATACTTTGATTCAAATGTCAGTCAAATACTTTTTTTTTAAAGAAGTTTAGAAAAAATATTGCACATTTATTAGAATTAATGTACATAGTAATTATTTTCACTTTGCTGTAGTTAAAATAAATGATTTCCACTTACCTTTTTACAGGTTGAAAAATTGCTACTTTTTTGCCCTAAAAAATATGATTCCGAAGAAATTTATCATATTGATCAAAGAGGACAGGATGCAGTAATTGCTTTAGGGATTTACTTTTTGGAATCCGGTTTTCAACATTCAGATAAAATCCTTCCCTATTTATTAAAATTATTAAAGGCCTTACATTTAGTAAAATGGCTAGATGAAATTCCATTAGGGAAAGATGACAGTAAGTTTTCAATTTTTTTTTTAAATAAAATTTTCTTTACAATAAAAATTTTTTTCTTTTTGATTGAATTTGAAAAAAATCTTTTTTTTTTTTTTTTTTTAATAGGAATTCCAGTAGCGGAAAGATTTAGCTTTTGTCTTAACACATTATTATCAGATATAGCTGCCAGAAATGATTTACTTAGGGAAAGAATCATAACGGCACAGATTAAACAATTGGAAAGTTTATGTCATCTTATTCACAAGCATAAAAGTAATAGCAGTACACATCAAACTGATGATTCAAAGAGTAAGTTTTATTTAAAATAAAAAAATTTTATGTTAACTAAATAGGGTTGTGAAAATATATTTTATTTCTTTGTTTTTGTTACTTTTATTTTCAGTATATTTATGTCGAAATGTTGTACCGGTTTTTTTCGGATTAGCAAGATCTATGGGTAGATTATCTACAACTGATCCTCCACTTATATGTTGTATTTTTCCAAAACCTCTACCTCCCACACAAACAGAAGGAACTTGTTTGAATTTAACGAAAAAAAAAAATTTTTCAACTTTTAGAAATATTATACCACATAGTCTTAGTGCCAACCTTAGCGACTCAACATTTTTAGGACAGCCCAATAAGGGACACCAAATAGAAGCTTTAAGGTTACTTTTAACATTATACCATTAAATTTTTTTTTCGATGCAATTCTTACAGTAAGAAATCATTGTAATGATTGTGTAAAAAGTATTTAAGATGCTTAAACATTAATTGAAATTATAAAACTTTTCTTCTTGTGCAATCCATGACAACAGATCATGGAGTTCAACATCTGCTGGAAACATTTATGATCCAACAATACATTTTTTCTCAAAATATGGTTCAAGTTTTAATCAGTTTTGCAGTGGGAAAATCTCTGATTCTCCGACTAAAAAATCAAATGTAAATTTATCTGTGGCACATTTAAAAGTTAGTATGGTAATAATAATAATACTTTTAAAGAAAATTAATATCCATTTAATAAATTAACTTATATAATTTTTTCTTTTTTTTTTTTTTAGACAATATTAACAGTTGCAGAAAACTTACTAGTTAAAGATGTTTTGAATTATTTGGATGATTGTGCGAGTGAAGTTTATGCAAGCGGCCATATTAAAATTTTTCCATACAATTCGTTTAGAGAAACATTAAATTTGGTTACTGTTACACTTTTACGAGAAGTTTTGCACTACCAAAAAGGTACAGTAAGCTAACATCCTTTTCATTAAAATAAATATCAAAAAATTTTACTAAATTTTAACTTTTAGATCTACCTTCTTCGTTTACAAACGAAGTCCAAGATTTTGTCAAAGATTTATGTTTGTCTGGTCAAACTGAACTTCAAAGTCTTCACCATGACGCGTCTGAACGACAGGATAGAGATACTAATTTTGCTACCGTCAATAAATTTAAACTCAACGTAATGGCGAATGCAGCTTGTGTTGATTTATTAGTTTGGGCAATAGGGGATGAAGCAGGTACACGAACGTTTTTATTCAATCTTAATTTATCTTTGAGTTTTTATCGATTATAAAATTTATTTTTTTGTAGGGGCGGATAGTTTATGCGGTAGACTCACGGAAAAAATCAACAGCAATCAAAATTATAAATTAATTTTAGCACACATGCCATTATTGTTAGTTTGTCTTGAAGGATTGGGAAAATTAGCGGATAAATTTCCCAATATAGCGAGTACATCCATTTATTGTTTACGTGATTTTCTCGTCACGCCATCACCGATTTTACTAAAACTTCACAAGCGTCAAAACGATAAGCAGTCGCATCGAGTTTTAAGTAATTTTTTTCTTACTTGAATGTAAGCGATTATGATTACAGTTGGGAAAAATTCAAAATGAGGTTTTTTAGTTCAAGGGAAAAATCAAGAGGAAACAACTACGAATTATTCCTCTTCCGAAATCGCATTTGAAAAACTAAGGGATGTTGCTATTGAAAATTTATGCATAGCTTTAGAAGCAGCCTTCACCGTCGATCCTTATTGTGTTCCCGCTCTCGTAGCAAGCGTATCTAAAAGACTATTTACTGCCGAAAAATCAAATAGGTAAAGAATAAGAGAGAGCCTGGCTGACCAGCCTCTCTTTCCTTTTTATCAATTATTAATAATAATAATATTTTTCGTTTCAGCGAATCATCTTTAATATCAAACAATAGTATTTATATGTTGGGTCACGTGGCTGTGGCATTAAAAGACACGCCGCGAGCAACGGAAACTATTTTACAATTTTTCCAGCAAAGATTATGTCGCGAACCTTCGGCTTTAGACAATTTAATTATAGATCAATTGGGGTGCATAATAATAGCTAAATGCGAGCCGCATGTTTACGAAGAAATAATGGGCATGTTTACAACCATTACCGTCGAGGCGAGTTCTGCTGCTTATACAAACACGGACGATAGGAAACAACAGTACAGGTGAGAATTTTTTTTTCAAAAAAAAAGAGTACAAAAGTAAAAAATCTTTTGAAAAAAAATTTATATAACATCATGTCATGATTTTCAGGCACGTTTCGGGTTCCGTGATAAACGCATTGGCAAATATAGCGGCTAGTTTACAGGGAGACGAAGCCAGATACGAATTTTTAGTTAAATTATTAGAACTTTTCGTTCAGTTGGGATTGGAGGGAAAGAGAGCATCGGAGAAAGCACCCGTGGCCTCAAAAGCATCCAGTAGTGCAGGGAATTTGGGAGTTTTGATACCCGTATTAGCAGTATTAGTCAAACGGTTACCATTTATTCATAATCCGAAACCAAGACTTCATAAATTATTTCGTGATTTTTGGTTGTATTGCGTCGTTATGGGTTTTACGGCTCACGATTCAGGTTTTAAATGTTTTTTTCACCCGGGGGGTGGGGGGGAGGGGGAGTTTACAGATCTATATTTGTATAATTTTTGTTAACTATAATATTCGAACATTTTCAGGTTTATGGCCTTCTTATTGGTACGACGGCGTTAAAGAAATAGCCGTAAAATCTCCTTATTTGGTTACGAGAACTTCTTCGAAATCTGGAATGAGAGAATTACAATACACGTCTGCTGTTAGAAACGACAGCGTTTCTCTGGTGAGTTTTTTAATTTAAAATTTTAAACGATTATAGGTTTCTAGTCGACGTCAACGTCAGCAGCATTATTTCACCCTCGTAAAATTTTTCCAGACAGAATTACAGGAATTAAAAAATCAAATCTTAAATCTTCTTAATCATCCGGCAGATGTGACGACGTACATTAACAAACTCTCGTTTGCGCAATGTTGTTATTTATTGTCCGTATACTGGCTGGAAATCCTTAGAATACAAAATTCCAAAGAGCCAAGTTTACAACCCATTTTAGAGTACTTGAGCGATACGGCATTGCAAAAGGATAAAGCGGGAATGTGGCAATGCATTTGTTGGTGAGTTTTTTTTTGGTAAAGACAACAAAACAACCGACAAACACAAAAAATTTTCCCAATCAATAATAAATTTTCAGTGTCGGCGATAGAATATTTGCCCAATTCCTCGACGTCATGTCGAATAAACCTAAAAATGAATCGAGAGAGAGAGAATTGGAAAATCACGCTCAATTCCTCCTGGTTTCTTTCAATCACGTACAAAAACAAATACGTAGAGTCGCCGATAAATATTTATCCGGATTGGTCGATAGGTAATTAAATGTTTTTAGCACGGCATCTCCCATGGTATTTTTTTGACCCGATTAAACTCATGGATTTGTTGAAAATATAAATTGTAGGTTTCCGCATTTGCTCTGGAACAGACGAGTTCTTCACACCATGTTAGACATTCTTCAAGTTCTCTCTTTTTCCCTCGAATTTGATCCGAACGAAGAAACGCCCACGCTTAACATACCGGAAACGCCTTTCACGCTACAATTGATGGATACTTTGGAAGCGAGAGAAGTACTCAAGTTCATTTTTTTTAAATTGCGTAAAAAAAATTTTTTTTTTTAAATTGATTTGAAATGGAATATTTTTTTTTTATAAGGGAATCGTGAAAGATTTTGCCGCTCGTTGCAAAGGTATAGTTCAAGAAGCCATGAAATGGACACCTCAAGCCACGAGATCTCATCTTCAAGATTATTTAAATCAATTATCGTCATCGGGTTTGTGGCATCATTCCGGTTTGTCGTTAGCAATTGAAAGTGTTTTACAGTACACGGGACTAAATTCTCAATCTGCACCTCTTAGCGTGGGTTTCGTTTGTTTTCAATCGCTCTCCGATCATTTTATTTTTTTTTTTTTTGTTATCCTTAATCTTTTTCTTTTTTTTCCAATTTCAATAGTCTAGCACTTTGGACAAACGGCCACGTTGCGTCACGAGTGATTCATCGCGTTTCATAACATCTCAAAGCTTACGTTCGAGGTATATGGGCGAAGTGATGGGATTGATGAACGAAGGAGAAAAACATAAATTAATAACTCAATTGGTGGACAAAGTTTGGGAATCGTGTGCGATGAAAGACGATGAAACGCACGGAGCAGCTTTGTGGAGAGTCACCGCTCTATTAATTTTAACACCAGGTTGTCGTGTGATTTCAATCGAAGGAAATTTTCTTTTTTTTTTTTTTTATTAATTTTTTGTTATTATTAAGGTATGGATAGGAGGTTACTTCACGTCGTTGCTTGGTCTCAAGTTGCTTTATTTACCGAAATAGCCGTAGAAACGGCCGTTGAATGTTGGTCGTGGTTAATGACTGCGAGACCGGATTTGGAATTGAGATTTTTACAAGAAATGTTTTCCGCTTGGCAGGTAATTAAAGAAAAAAATGGTTTTTAATAATAATAATAATATTATGATCGATGGTAAATGAATATTTTTTTTTTAGTACACCGTAGACAAAAAATTGGGTTTATTTTCAAAAGAAATAAATGAAATAAGTCCTCTGGCATGTCACGAGGGTTGCGTTTTGGAACCGAAACCGCCATTCGTTAAACCCCACGATATTTGGGTTCAATACCTGGCCGAGATAGTCGAAACTGCAAAATACAACAGTCAGGAAATTGTCGAAATGGTTGTGACGCTTTTGCATCGGAGTTTACCCATAACGGTCGGAGCGACGAATAATCATCCCAACAGGCACGTGTCTGCCGTTGGAGTTCGTTTCAGGTACGCGAATTTTTCAAATTTCCCGAAATTTAAATTTCAAAAGGTTGATTGTGATTTTTGTTTTTTTAAAGGCTTCTATCTTGCGGATTGTCTTTACTACAAGGAGACATTCTTCCAAAATCTTTATCTAAAAATGTTTTACGTCAACGCATATACTGTAATTGTTTAGATTATTTTTGTTCCGTACCTAAATTTCCAACGTTGAAAGGTGCGAAATTGAGAGACGATATTATTTGCCTCGTTAAATTTTGGCAAACGATGAGATCCGATAAAAAACATCTCAAAGCCAGCGTCGTCGGAGGTATTTTTTATTTTTTAATTAATTATTTGTGATTGAATAATTAAAAAATAGCTCTCATGATCGATTTCGAAATTTTCAGATTTAGATCTCTACAGTCAAAATCCGGGTCCGAGTAACAACAGCGAAACGAGATCGACGTCTGGTGAATTTACTCGCGGACCAACAGGATGGATAAATACGGTTCCTCTCTCTACGAGCACGAACACATTGTCGAAAAGAAGTACGAGATCGAAACGAGTAACGAACGGAGATGAATTTATAAAAGATTACATGAGAAAAAGAAGTTTGATCCTTGAACTATTGGTAGGTTTTTGTCTTTCGTTTCGACATTTCGTTTTCCATTTTTTTCGGTCGGATTTTCAAATTTTTCATTTTCAGGCGGTGGAAATTGAATTTTTATTGACGTGGCACAATCCGAGTTCTCGTCCGGATTTGATCGTGGCAAACGAAGAAAACATCGCCGCCTGGAGAAATAAAACGATGACGGAAAAAGTTTGGCGCGATACGGCTCGTTTAGCGTGGGACATAAGTCCGACATTGGCTGTGTTTTTACCGCACCGTTTCAAAAACGAAGAAAATATCATCAAGGAAGTTTCTCGGCAGGTCCGATTGAATCCGATATTGGTTGCTCACATACCTGAAGCGTTAAGATATTTATTGACGACGGATACCATTCTCAACGAAGCCCAAGAGGTATTTCATTAATAATTAAATAATTAATAAGTACGGTATTATTAAAAAAAAAAAATTCTGCGTTTTTTTTCAGTTAGTGTACGCTCTATCTTGGTCCAGAGTTAGTCCCGTACAGGCTTTGTCATATTTCTCCAGGCAATTTCCTCCGCATCCCATTACGGCGCAATATGCGGTTCGAGTTCTCGGCTCTTATCCCGCTGACACGGTTCTCTTTTACATTCCGCAAATTGTTCAAGCCCTTCGACACGATACCGTAAGTCGAACCCCTGAACCCTTCGCGTCACCTTCACTTTATTTAGTTTTGATACATGGTATCGTAATTTCAGATGGGTTACGTGATTGAATTCATAAAATACATTTCAAAAAAATCTCAATTGGTCGGTCACCAGTTGATTTGGAGCATGCAAACGAACATGTACATGGATGAAGATCAACAAATCAAAGATCCTGTTCTATATGACGTTTTGGAATCATTAATGAATTCGATTATCGATTCACTTTCGGGTCAGGCCAAAGAATTCTACAAGAGAGAATTTGATTTTTTCAATAAGATCACTCACATTTCCGGAGAAATCCGACCGTATCCCAAAGGTAAAAATTAATTATAATTTCATCCGCGCGAATTATTTTCAATATCGTTTTTTAAATGTTTCCCCCCTCTCCGTTCCGTTTTCAGGTCCGGAAAGAAAACGTGCGTGTTTGGAAGCGTTGAGCAAAATAAAAGTTCAACCGGGATGCTACCTTCCGTCGAATCCCGAATCAATGGTTTTGGATATAGATTACAAAAGCGGAACCCCCATGCAAAGTGCTGCCAAAGCTCCGTATTTGGCGAGATTTAAAGTTTTGAAATGTGGCATCACTGAATTGGAAAAATTAGCTTTGGAAACGAGCAGTACCGGAAAACAGAATTTCGAAAATAAAGGACCGGAAGTTTGGCAAGCGGCTATATTTAAGGTAGAGTTACCAAAATAATAAAAAAAAAAATATGATTTTTACTTACATGATTGATTTTTTTTTTCGTCAAGGTTGGCGACGATGTTCGACAGGATATGCTCGCTCTTCAAGTCATCGGTTTATTCAAAAATATTTTTCAACTAGTCGGTCTAGATCTTTATTTATTTCCATATCGCGTTGTTGCCACATCTCCCGGCGTGAGTACTCCCAAACCTGAAAAAAATTCATTATTATTATTATTATTATTATTATTATTGCACCTTTAAAATAATTCAAAATTTTTTGTTTTAGTGTGGAGTCATAGAATGCGTACCGAATGCAAAATCCCGGGATCAATTGGGAAGACAAACCGACATCGGATTGTACGAATATTTTATTAAAATGTACGGAGACGAAACAACGAAAGAATTTCAAACGGCTCGTAGAAATTTTATTAAATCAATGGCCGCGTATAGCGTCACGGGATTTCTTTTGCAGATCAAGGATCGTCACAACGGGAATATAATGTTGGATCAAACGGGTCACATAATACACATAGGTAGTGTAGTAATTAATAAGATAAGGTTAAAAAGTTTTTAAATTAAAATTAAAAATGAAATCTTTTGTTTAAAGATTTTGGATTCATGTTCGAAAGTTCTCCCGGTGGGAATTTAGGATTCGAACCCGACATTAAATTAACGGATGAAATGGTCATGATAATGGGTGGAAAAATGGAAGCGCCGCCATTTCGATGGTTTATGGAACTTTGCGTGCAAGCTTATTTAGCTGTGAGGTAACGTAACGGTTCATTTACATAATAATAATAATAATAATGGCGTTCGTTACGAGAGAGAGAGATAGAGAGGGAAAAGTTTAATTTTTTTTATTTCAGACCTTATCAAGAAGCAATAATTTCATTGGTATCCCTCATGTTGGACACGGGACTTCCATGTTTTCGAGGTCAAACAATTAAATTATTACGAGCGAGATTTGCTCCCCAAGCATCGGAAAAGGAAGCCGCGAATTACATGTTGTCCGTTATAAGATCTTCATTTTTAAATTTTCGAACACGAACATACGACATGATACAGTATTATCAAAATCAAATACCTTATTAAATAGTTTTTTTTTTTTTTGTTTCGATTGTATTTTATTCGTGATTCTATTTACCGTTGTTCAATAATTGTTTATTATATTTATAAATAAATAAATATATATATATATTTAATGAAATGTTATAAATTTGAAATTGTTTTTTATTGTTGTTACCTTAATCGTTCCTTAATTTGTCACATGAGATAATTTGGATTATTTGGATTAATTTTTAATTAAGCAATAATTGATAATAGAAAATCTTAAAACGATTTTTGTAATTTTTACGCGATAATAAACACATTTAAATTAAATTTATGTGAAAAAACCGTTAAAATAATAAATATGTGCGTAGAGAAAAAAAAAAATTTTTACAGTTGATTAATAACGTTCAAGAACAAATGAAATACGACCACAGAATACGAAACTCTAAGGAATGAATCATTAGTGACGCGGATTCAACGAAAAAAATTTTTTATATATATATATATTTAATTAATAATTATTATTATCGTCACAGATGGTGACTGTCATTGTATAATAATAATAATAATAAGTGTTTTCAGTGGTTGATTTATCATTATTACATTTCAGTGTTTGTAAAATTTTTTTTGGTTTAAAAAAAAAAAAGAAGTAAATAATGGCTAATTATAAAAGTAATCCATCAAATTCATTTTTTGCTTTCGAAGATGATATAGACGATGAGAAATTTTTAAAAAATTCAAGAAATTTTTCATATACAAATAAATCAGATAATAATACATATTATACGTCACCTCAGGGTAGTTTCGAAGAAAGGAAAGCACAATTGCTTGAAAGGCAAAAAGCAATAGAAGACCAAACCTTAGCATCAACTGAAAGATCATTAAATCTTCTTAAAGAATCTGAAGATACTGGAATTGCAACAGCTGAAGAATTACAAAAGCAAAGGGAACAATTGGAAAGAGCTGATAAAAATTTAGATACTATTAATTCAGCATTAAGGACAACACAGAAAAAAATTGATGGAATTAAAAGTGTATTCGGTTCATTTAAAAATTATTTAACTAAGAAAAGTGATCCATTGGGAGGATCATCAAAATCTTCATCTACTACTACTACTACTACTTCTTCTAATTCCATTACTCCAATCGATAGGAAAACATTTTTTACTGAAAATAATTCATCTGATGTCCCACAATCTACTCATCCAGGTAATACTCATTTTACACAATAATTGATAAGCAATCGATTACATTTTTTTAAAGAAAGATAACATAATAACATGCTGCTGATAAATTATATTAGTTTTTCTAACATTAATTTTAAAATAATTTTTAAAAAGTATTTAAATACAATACCATTATTATAAAATTTAATATGTCTGACAATATGGAGGATAATGTGATAAATGTTAGACATGTTAACCATTATTAAAATTTTCTAGAAAAACCATGCACACTATATATTATTATTATTTTATAAATTCCTGTTTGAAATTAATAGCATTGCAATTTTGTTCAACTTAATATTTACCTCCTTAATTGTAACTCAAATATTATAGTTAATTTACTCGATTTATGTCATCGGTTAAAAAAAGTGTTTCGAATATACACTTCATCGAAAATGCAATATTATTAATACCTATAATTTATTTTTTCAGGTTTAAAAATTAGAGGTTTAGATGAAACACCTGTCAATTCATTATCGATAAATGAAAGAATTGATAAAAATTTAGATCAGATGTATGGAAACTTATCGACATTAAAAAATTTAGCACTCGAATTGGGTACAGAAATAGAATATCAAAATAACTTAATTGAAGATATAACATACAAAGCAGATAAAGCAGACATAACAATCAAAAAACAAACAAAAGAAATGAACAGGCTAATGAAGTAATATTAGAAATATTGTAAAGAGACCAATATTTTTCTATAAGAAACCATTATTTCCATGAGATTTTCAAGTCATTCGCTCAAATTATCTTCTTATATTTGGTTAAACTCATATAAATCATGTTTCATGCAGTGAATTCCGATTAGAATTATTCAATAGTTAAAAATATTTAAAGATTCATCATAGTCTTTTTACAGACCATTTTTACTTTTTTTTTTTTTCCTCGAATGTTTTAGGAGATAAATTATCAAGTACTCCATGTTAAATTTATTATATGGCAAATATAAAATGACTGTATCTATATATGTATGTATGTGCATTACCATACCTTAGAAATTATTATATAAACATTATATAATATCATATTAGTTAAATTTTTACCTCGAATTGAAATTTTTTTTCCCCTCTCCCCGATAAATTCTTATCGAACATTATTTATTATTACATAATTATTATGCATATTAATTATAAAATTTAAAAAAGAAAATTTATTTTTATACTTTTCTATAATTTTTATACATAAATAAAACTTATTAAAGTGTTTATGTGTGACATATTTAAAGTATTATATACATTCCCTTGTTAATTTTGTTTTTATTTTATATTATCAATAATTATTATTATTATTAATTTCTTTTTTGAAGTTTAAAATTTGTTTATTACCTACCAATATATAATTTTGTTATAATATTATTATTATAAATTAATAAAAAAATAAAAATATATTGTAAACTATTATTGTGTGGTTGTTTTATTACAACTTTCCTATACTCAATTAAAGTCCTTTTGTTACTCCTTTTGTTACCACTTTGTAAATTGTTACTCTTGGAACTGTAATTTTGGGTTAATGAGCAAAACATTTTATAAAAAATTAATTTTTTATATTTTATATCATCAGACATTTATAAAACATGGAATCTCAACACGAGAATCATTATTTTCGATTTTGAGAGAGAGACAAGAAAATCCATTTGTCACTGTTAAAATTGAATGTAAATTATGTAATTTACATGGAATTTGATTTAAATCGCCCTTTTTCATTAACACATCATCATGGAAAATAAATAAAAGTCAAATTTGACATGAGGATGTTAATTGAAAACAAATTTTTTAATCGATACATGTCAAATCAAATAATTCCCCAAACTTCTTCGAAAGCCGAACACACTTTACTACATGTCAAAGCAGCAGATAAAGGATAATTTGATATACTATAACTACCTTCTGTATAATCTACTGAAACCTAAAAATTAAATGTTGTTAAGGTTATGTTATGGTAGAAAAAGAAATTAATTAAAGTAAAAAAAAAATTTAAAAAAGTTACTTACCGAACCGTGAGCCATTGCTCCAATAACAATAACGACAGGATCTTTTTCAGGAACTAATTCTCTCGGATTGATTACTTTATCAGCAGTAAAAGACATTGTATATTTTTTACATCCTGCTGGGAAGTGATCTGTTATTGGATTTTTAATAACTTTGAGAAGTTTCATGTTACCATCAGAAGCTCGAACTTTAAATCTGTGAAGAAGTTGAACTGAAAGCAAATACATTAAATTTTTTTTATCAGTTATAGATTAAAAATTGTAAACTAAAATTAAGTATTAGAAAAAATTTAAAAAATTTTGATTACCTACCCATTAATCCAGCAAATCTTTTAAATGTTCTAGGAATTCTCGTCTGAGGATTAACTTCGATTAAAATATTTCTTTCTGTGTGAATGTAAACCTGAAAATAAATTGACGTTTTAATAAAATAATTTAAATTTGCTTTAAAAAAAAAAAAAATTTATTTCAGATTAGACATCACAACCTGTAATAAAGCAGCTCTGTTAAGTGGACTGTCAAGAAGCATCATGAGACACTGATGAACAATATCAGGCCTACAAGAATATGGTTCCCTATTGTGTTTGACAAGTAAAGAAGCATGATCATCGGCATTAATTAATTCAAAACCTCTACCTACCTAAATAAAGTATTTAAAAGAATCAAATAAAAAAAAAAAATTTCATAATGTAGAAAAAATCAAAGTAACTCATGAGGTTATCTTACAGCAATTGATTCTAATTGAGCTCCTTCTAAAATGACAATTAAACGTTTTTCTTGTTCTTTTATATGAGCATCAATTAAATGTCTTGGAGTAGGATCAAATTCAAAATCTTCTTCTCCATCTTTATTTAATTTTCTTTTTTTATTACCCATAATTATATTATTGTTAAAAATTAGCAACCACTTTAGGTTAAATTCGAATGCGCATGCGCAACATGCTTCCAGTGTTTACCGTTAAAAATTAAATCAAACCGCATTTATGTATATATATATAATAATTAATTATTTAACAACCTTAAAAAAAAAACAATTTAAAATAAATTTAGGAAAAATATAATATAATTGATAACGCAGATATATTATGTGCAAAATTAATATAATGCTATTTAACTGCAAATCAATGTAGTATAAAAAAAAAAAAAAAAAAATTGATCCACTATCAACCGCAGTCGGTAGGATTCGAACCTACGCTCCCAGAGGGAATCTGATTTCTAGTCAGACGCCTTAACCACTCGGCCACGACTGCGAATGAATTACAACCGTATATTATGTCAACTTAACAATACTTATAAATTCTAATAAAAACTTTATTCATTTACTTTTATTTGTTTTTATTATTTCCCGTTTGAAAAAAAATGAAAATGTTTTATTATTATTATTATTATTATTATTATTTCATTGTTATTTATAAAAATTAAATGGCAATAATCTTAGTCATGTTTTAAGTATAGGAACTAAAAATATAAGTAATCCAACAGATGCATATAACAATATATATATTAATTAATATTTCTATATTAAAAGTTAATTGTAACTTTTTAAATAATTTTTTTTTATTTATACTCTGATAATGTCCCTATTATCATGATTAATAAGTGTAGAATCAATTTATACTAAAAAAAAAATTTTTTTACACATTTCGCAGTCGGTAGGATTCGAACCTACGCTCCCAGAGGGAATCTGATTTCTAGTCAGACGCCTTAACCACTCGGCCACGACTGCTTGTGACAGTTTCGCGCGCAATCGGTAAAGATCCATTTTCCCATGTGTAAGTAATGTAGCACAAGGTTATTTTACGATACCTGAATCATTCTCTCATGTGATTCTGATCAATTAATAATTACGGCTATAATTTTGTACTTCACGTGTTTTCATATTTAAAAAAAAAAAAACTAAAAGCAGACGATAAAAATCTTTCTTCTTAGTCCATTTGATACGAAAAAAAAAAAAAAAAAAAAAAAAACTTTTCAGGTAACTCTATAATTTTTGTACTTTTATCAAAAGCAAAAATTTAGGGGGTATCTCTCGCAGTCGGTAGGATTCGAACCTACGCTCCCAGAGGGAATCTGATTTCTAGTCAGACGCCTTAACCACTCGGCCACGACTGCTCACGACTACTGGACATGAAAATAATCGTGTTCCCCTTTAATATAATAATCAAATTAAGGTCATCATATATATAAAATTGGTTATTATATTAAATTTAGTTTTAAAATAATCCCAATTTTACTTTTAATTTCATACATAACGTACGTGGTTTATTATTACAAAATAATAATAGTTATGGTATTTGGCGTACTTCAAGTGTGAAAAATTAATGAATGGAATTGTTACATGCATTTTACAATGTAATAATTTTTCATAACCGCAAATTAATTTGAAAAAAAAAAAAAAAAAATTAAATAAAATAAAATGGAAATGACTTGATCGAAAATGTTCGGGAAAAAAAATTGAAAAGCATTTATACAATGATATTTTAAGTATTGTTTTTTTTTAACAAAAAAAAAAATTTTGTAATACCTTTCGCAGTCGGTAGGATTCGAACCTACGCTCCCAGAGGGAATCTGATTTCTAGTCAGACGCCTTAACCACTCGGCCACGACTGCTTATATTATAACATAAATCGAGATAAATTGGTCAGTTATTTTTTTATTAATTTAAATGAGAGCAAGGTGAACTCCCCCTTTAATTCAATATTACTAAATTTAAAGTACCACCGAATACAAAAAACAAAAAAAAAAACAAATAATTGCGTGAAGCTGCCAAACAATCACAAAAGGAAGGAAGCTTTGATTCATTTGTCAAGTACTTTCAAACACTTTCAAATCCATTGACCGAAGAATTTACAAGTGAACACTCAAGCATACACAAAATATTATTAAAATTCATTTCACATTTAATTTTATTTATAGGTTTGTTCTTATCCAACTGACATTTTACGAATAAAAAAAAAAATTCGAATCAATCATTTTTTTAAGTCGCAACCTATTCTCATTACTTTTGTGCTCAAAAATTATTAAAACTAAGCATTTTATAAAATTAGTACGGTATGAAATGTTGTAAAAGCAATTTTTTTAATTAAACAAAAATTTTTTCAATATTTATTGTAGTGCAAATATTAAAGTTGTGTTAAAACTGGCTTTAACTCACTTTCTCTTTATCAATATTAACTGGAACATTTGTTTCCAAATAATATATTGATAACCGCAGTCGTGGCCGAGTGGTTAAGGCGTCTGACTAGAAATCAGATTCCCTCTGGGAGCGTAGGTTCGAATCCTACCGACTGCGAGAGGTACCCCAAAAATTTTTGCTTTTGTTAAAAAAATTTTTTTTGAATAAAGTTTTCTTTTAACATAAAATGCCGAGCTGATACATACACATAAATGCCGAGATTATTCTTTTTTTTGTAATTTCATATACTAAGTTTAATATAATTACCATATTTATATATGATGACCTTAATATGATTATTGTACTAAAGGGGAACACGATTATTTACATGTCCAGTAGTCGTGAGCAGTCGTGGCCGAGTGGTTAAGGCGTCTGACTAGAAATCAGATTCCCTCTGGGAGCGTAGGTTCGAATCCTACCGACTGCGAGAGATACCCCCTAAATTTTTGCTTTTGATAAAAGTACAAAAATTATAGAGTTACCTGAAAAGTTTTTTTTTTTTTTCCACGTATCATCATTCATTTAATTAAAAGTACGGAGAATAATGATTTCATCGTCTGCTTTTAGTTTTTTTTTTTTTAAATATGAAAACACGTGAAGTACAAAATTATAGCCGTAATTATTAATTGATCAGAATCACATGAGAAAACGTTAGATGATTCAGGTATCGTAAAATAACCTTGTGCTACATTACTTACACATGGGAAAATGGATCTTTACCGATTGCGCGCGAAACTGTCACAAGCAGTCGTGGCCGAGTGGTTAAGGCGTCTGACTAGAAATCAGATTCCCTCTGGGAGCGTAGGTTCGAATCCTACCGACTGCGAAATGTGTAGAAATTTTTTTTTTTTCTTAGAAATCATCTTTTGAAACTCCTTTCCACTCAACCATTTTATTCATTTCTATAAGAGAAAAAAAACCAATAAAAACATACCTTAATTAAAATAATAATAATAATAATAAATAATTCGAGGATATAAAATCATTAAACAATTTATAAATGCCATCATTTTTATATTTTTAAATAGTAAAAATAACACCGTTAAAAAAAAAAAAAAAACAATTTTCCAAACAATTTAAAACAGTTTAATCAGGTATAAACAGGTATATATAAATGTATACGACGACGGAAAAATAAAAAAACAAAAAATTAGGACAATCAAAATGGCACCTTGTAGAATCAAAAATACAAAAAAATTTTAAAAAATTTATTAATGCATAAGCTAAGAATAAGATATTTTTGTAAAGTGGCATCGAACTTCCTTGAACCCAAAATTTTGTTTTTGCCCCAGCGGTTTTGTAAACAAAAAACTTAACCCGCGCTAAAAAATAATCCCCCTACCCCCCGTCGGAAAAAAAATAAAAAAGTTTAACAACCCTTAGCACGTATCCAAAAATAATAATAATAATAATAATTTTATTTTGGTTTTTAAACGCGGCACTAAAAATAAAAAAAAAAAAATTTCGACTGGAACCAAACAAACGAAAGAATAGAAAACAAAAGTTTTTTTTTCTTTTTTCATCTCGCCTATATTTACCTTATGAACGAAACCAAAAAAAAATGCATTTTTTGGAGAGAGAGAGAGAGAGAGAGAGAAAAAAAAAGGTGATCTACGTCACAACGTTAAAAAAAAAAAAAACAGGTACGAGGAGCAATGCAATGCAATGGATGATATGGAATAGTGTACTAGTCGAAAAAAAATTCCGTTCGGTTCGTTTGTATTCATAAATAATAATAATAATAATAATAATAATAAAATGAATTTGGGTTTTAAAATTTTAAGAAGCGGATTTAATTTGATCAAAAGAAGAGAAAATCATAGATTGGCACAAAAATTTTTTTTTTCACCAGGCGTTCACCAGGTGAGACAAAAAAACAAAATTTTTTTTTCTGAACGTGTTTATTACGCGTGCACGTACGCGTACGCGTACACGCACACGTGCATAAACACGCCAACGTTTACCCCCCATTTTAATTATAATTAATTTAAAGGGTTTTTTTTTTTCCCGACGTTGTGAAAATAATTTTACTAAAATTTTTGTTTGTTTGTTTGTCGTACAAACAACATCCGTACAAACAAAATCCATTTTTTCACTTAACAAACAACGTTTAACCTACTTGGAAACATTTTTTTTTTTTTTTTTTAGATCAGGAATAAAACAGATAAATTCGTACGACAAATTGCAACGACGAAAAAAAACGAACAAAAATATAGGAAAGCTAAATACGAAGAAGATACGGATTCGGATTCTGACACAGATGATGATGAAAAACATTATTCGAAAGAAAGGGTAACATAAACAAACAAACAAACAAACGACAACAAACAAATTTTTTTTTCGGTTTGGTTGTTTGGCTGGAAATCAATTCAATCTTCATTTTTTTTTCTCCACAGGGCGAATCAGAATTTTGGAAAACGAAAATGAGAACGCTTCACAGGATATTAGACGTAAATAAAGATGGCGTCGTTTCATTCGACGATTTTAAACTTCTCACGGAAAGATTTACGGATTTGGGTCATCTCACTCCCGAACACCACGATGAATTCCAAGAAAAAATAAGGGTAAATTATTAATTATTATCATTATTATTACCATTAAACGAAACCATCGAATGCAACAATAATAATAATAATAATAATAAATGTGTTTACAGGAAGCTTGGGAACTGCAAAGAGGAACGGTCGATCCTTACAACGTTGTCACGACTGAACAATTTTTGGAAGACATGCATCACATATTAAACGATAAAGATTTGCGAAAGAAAATTCACAGTTTTCTACCATTTTTCTTTAAGGTAAGCTTTACACCCCTTCCCCCTTTCCCCGCCTCTCTCTCTCACTCTCAAATCCCGGAAACGGAAATTCCGACGACGACAAAATGAATTCAATTACGTAACGTACTTTTTTTCTCTTTTGTAATGGAAGGCTGTGGATCAAGATCACGATGGGGAAATAACAATCGATGAATATAAAATATTTTTTCAATGTCTCGGACTATCCGAAGCCGTGAGTGTTTTTTAAATTTTTTTATTTATTTACAAAACGTAATCGAATCGAATAAATTTCTCTTTTTTTTTTTTCCTGCAGGATGCCATTTGCTCGTTTCGATCCATAGACGTCAACAACGATGGAAAATTAAGCGTTAAAGAATTCGTAGATTTAGGACGGGAATATTTACTCTCGGAAGATTCTAGAACTCCGAGTAAATTTTTCTGGGGACCTTTGGTCGACGATCATTTTCACAAATCGTAAAAAAAAAAAACTTTAAATCGTTTCATCATCATTACTACTACTACTACTACCTCTACTCCAATTATTATTATTATTGTTGTTGTTTAAATAAATAAATAAATAAATAATTTTTTTCGTAATCACGTAACTGACTTTTCGATATCGAACAAACAACAAACAAACAAACAAACGTTTAACAAAATTATTATTATTGTTTTTATTTATTTTTTCGTACGCGAAACGACGTGTCATTTATTTATTATCGTCACGTGAAAGCAGATTCGCAAAAATTAAAAATGGCGTCGTCGTTTTTTTCTTTCCCCCTACCACGTCACGTCACGTGCATACAACAGATTTTTCAAATTAAAAATGGCGTCGTGACTATTATTATTTTTATTTTTTATTATTTATATTTTTTTTCCTTTTTTTTTTCCTTTTTTTTTTTTTTTCCGAACGATGATGAAAAAATGAAGTTTATTATTATATTTTTTTACGTTAAATTATTTATTTTATTATCGTTTTCGAGTTTGTCGTCGTCAAATGCCGATAAAATCCGCGACGTCGTTCCCGTTTTGTTATGGACGAGCAAAGGTTACGACGATCGAATTCGTTTGAATCGTAATAAAATAATAACGAGAGATTTATTCGAATCTCATTTGATGAAAATCATGTCGATGAAAATCGATATCGAACCTCGACCCCTCGTTCTCGTTTTTCTCGAACAATTTTTAAACCCGGAAGATTTCGAATCGAAAACCGTTAACGGACGTAATTCGTATACGTTTTTAAACGATCTATCCATAAATAACAGTTAATTTACACGCATATTCACCTATACTATTATCATTATTATTTGAGTTTTTTTTTTTTTTATTAAATTTCCCCAATCGAACGTTTCAGGAGTCGATTATTTGAAAAATGTCGAATCGCCCTATCGAGTCATCGCGAATTTAACAAAATGGAATCGATTGAATCACAAATCCGATTTAGATTTACTATCATCATCGAGCGAATCCATTGGAACCAATATATTATTCGAATTCGAAAACGACAACGAAAATGACGATGAGGATGAGGATGAGGATGATGATGATGACGATGATGGCGGCAGAGCGAAATCATTGATGAAACACGATAAAATAATGGAAAAAATTTTCTTGCAATTATTGAAAAAAAGAAAAAATAAAAAAAACGTGGCAAAAGAATGGATTTGCATTTACACTGGAAAATATTCGTTGGATATCCGTTCGGAAGAAAAACGTACGACCGTTCCCCCTTCCCCCTCCCATCCCCTCCCTTTTTTTCCATTACGATTAAAAAGAAAATTTTCATTTTTCCAGCGAGTCCGTGGCACGTGGAAAAATTGTATAAAAGAAAAAAATTTACGTACAATCAACCGACATCATCATCATCATTTACACCCTTTCGAATATTATCACTCTATCAAGATGAATATACGAGATTTACCTTTTTATTACGTAATAAAATTCAATTGTTCCTTCCGGTTTTTCGAAAAGGCGGTGGCGGTAATGGCGGCGGCGGCGGTGGTGGTGGTGAGACGTTGGTGGATCTCGGTAAAGAAATCGGAGTTTCAGAAAAAAGATCTGGAAACGAAATCAATTTCATTATTCGATTTACGGTAATGAAAACTCATAACGATAATAATAATAATAATGATAATAACGCATCCTTTCACGGAATCATTTTAATTTCCAGAATTACACGTTGAATTTTTACCTAAATAAAACGTCACATTCCGACTGGAGAATAGAAAAAATAAAATTAATCAACGAAAATGGCGATTATTTATTTTTAACTGAAAAATCCCAAGATATACGAAATTATTGCGATTCTCGTCGAATCGAATTCAAATGTTTTCATTCCCATCACGAATTCAATAATAATAATAATAATAATAATAATTCAAACGATTACACCGTCAAAATAATCATATCGAAATATAAGGTCAGAGAGAGAGAGAGAGAGAGAGAAAATAGTTTTTCTTTTTCTTTTTCTTTTTATTTACGTAACGATTTCTTTTTTTTTTTTTTTTCCGCAGTTCACGAGACGTCCGCCATTAAACGAAGATCAATGCGACGTTCCATATAATTTTTTCATTATATTTTTCATTATATTATTTTTCATTATTTTCATATTCACCGTTTGGAATTGGTTCGTTAACGATTATAAAATCCAATCGAAAATCAATTCCGTTAAAATCTCATCCGAAAAATTATATTTAACGGAAACAGTATCATAATAATAATAATAATAATAATAATAATAATAATAATAATAATAATAATAATTTTTTTTTCATGCGTGTACTATCATTATTTATATGATAAAAAAAAAAAAAAAAAAAAAAAAAAAAGGTTTTTATACGTTACGTACCCATTAGGAAATTATTGAAACGTTTTCTTGGCAAATTATAATGTAGACAGATTACTTTTTGATAAGAAATTGTTTTTGTTTATCTTTGATAACGCAAAAAAAAACCACGTGGTCGTCGTCGTCATCGATATATCGAACAATTCATTTCGTATCGTATCGATTTTTCCTCCTTCATTTTTTTTAAAACTTATCTGAAACGTAAAATTATTTTATTAAAATAAAAATATTAATTATTATTACCGTAAGAAAAAATTAATAATAATAATAATAATAATAATATTTCGCACTTTTGCAAAAATTTTGTCGTCATATTAACAAATTCATTGATTGATTTGAACTTGAGAAAAATAGTTTACATCGTTTAGTGGATTCATTAAAAAAAAAAAAAAAAAAATTACGGTAAGTACTTTTTTTTAAATTCAAATTATAACAAACGTGATAACCATGTTTTATTATTATTATTATTTTTATTGCGATTAGGTATTGACGTCATCGATCGTCGATTTCAAACGTAATGAACGATATACCTGTTCAACCCAAAGCACCCATACCACGTGAGATATTATGTTCGGGAGAAGAAAACGTGCAATTTATTTATCCCTGCGGTATTAAACAATGCACGTGGTCACCGGGATCCGATTTGAATTCGTCGCCTCACGCGCCTTTTTCACCCCCTCCCGAATCCCAGAAAATTCTACCAAATATTTTACACGCCATCGGAAACACGCCTCTTGTAAGGCTCAACAACATACCTCAAAGTTATGGGATAAAATGTGAAATTTGTAAGGATACTTTTTTTTTAAAATCAATGTTGGATTGGAATTAACACCAAAAAGAAATTTTTTTTTTTTTTTTTTTTTTTTTTCCAGTGGCTAAATGCGAATTTTTCAATCCTACCGGAAGCGTAAAAGACAGGATAGCACTCAATATGATTCTGGATGCGGAACGAAAAAATATTTTAAAACCTGGAGACACACTCATAGAGCCAACAGCAGGAAATACCGGTTGACAAATAGTTTTTTTTTTTTTTAAGGTCTTCCCTTTGTTGAAATCCACAATTTTTTTTTATTATTTATTTTAGGTTTGGGGTTAGCGATAGGAGCCAGGTTAAAAGGTTACAAATGCCTTTGCGTCATGCCCATGAGAATGTCAACAGATAAAGTAGACGCACTCAAAGCACTCGGAGCCAAAGTTTTACGCATACCAAAAGGGGATTTGGGTACGGAAAATTGCATATTTAACGTGTCGCAAAAAGTGTGCAGAGAAACACCCCATTCGATTATTTTAGATCAGGTACAATAATTACGAATGCACATAATTAAAATCGTCAGTCAAAAAAAAAAAAAAAAATTGGAATTATTAATTAAAGTTTAGAAATCCATCCAATCCTCTCGCACATTATGAAAGAACGGCCGAAGAGATATTATACCAATGCGATGGAAAAATCGATGGGATCGTTGCTGCAGCAGGAACGGGTGGAACTCTGACGGGAATCGGAAGAAAAATAAAAGACAAATGTCCCACTTGTAAAATAATAGGTGCGGATCCTTTGGGATCTAAAATGGCGGAACCAAACGAAATCAACGAAACCGACGTTAAAACGTTTGAAATGGAAGGAATCGGTTTCACGTTCGTGCCAACGACTTTAGGTATGGAAAAGGTACAAAGTGTAAAAAAGTAATGAAGGGTAATAAAATTATTATTATTATTATTATTATTATTACAGATAGATCGGTCGTGAGCAAATGGTATAAAGTCAGCGATAAGGATTCCATGTTGATGGCTAGAAGACTGGTTGCAGAAGAGGGAATCCTTTGCGGTAGGTTAATTAAAACTTAAATCTTAATCATCCTAATCAAGCAAATCTTATGAAATGATGTTAGGAGGAAGTTCAGGTACGGCCATGTGTGCAGCGATAGAAGAAGCTAAAACAATGTCTGAAGGAGAAAGGCTCGTCGTCATTCTGCCAGATGGTTTAAGAAATTACATGACCAAATTTGCCAGTGATCCTTGGATGAAAATTAGGGGATACGTGGAGGTTGATGAAGAAAATCATTGGTGGTAAATTCAATGACTTATTACTGAAAAACAAAAATATACATGTGTACAGCTTCGAATAAAAAGCAACCATTGATTACAGGTGGTCTTACATACCAGTAAAAGTCCTCAAACTTAAAAATCCACACATTATAAATTCATCGGCAACTTGTTCACAAGCTATTCGAAACATGACAAAAAATAACATGAACCATATTTTTGTCGAAAAAAATGGGTATTCCACTTATTATTATTATTTTGATTTCACAAAGAAAACTATTTCCCCAAGTGTTTTAAATATTATTTATTTTAAAGGTTGATAATTGGATTTACAACATCGGAAAATATGCTATCAGACCTAATGGAATTCAAATATAAATTTGAAGATGCCATTGAAAATGTGGTTGCTCCTATCAAAACGGTAAATGATGAAACACCTTTGGGTAAAATATGCGCCATTTTACAAGTTGAAAAATTTGTACTCGTCGAAACAGGTAAACATTTGAAATTGTATTGTTTGCATTTTCAAAACATTTTAATGGGTATCATAAAATTTCCTGTAGATAAAATTCAAAATGGACAATGGGAAAAAGAAATAAAATATGTGATGACAAATGACCTACTAGCGTTCATAAGTGAAGATCAAAATTGAAATATACAAATCGAGAACCATAATCAACGAGAAGAGTGACTCAAATTAAATTTTATAGTATTCAATACTCATCTTCAAATTATCTGATATTGTTTTTTTCTTCATTCGTAATCAACAATTACTTTAAGCATTTAATTCAATATGTCATGATGTGAAAATGATTTAAAAATCAAATAAATTACTTTGAACTAACCTTACAATAATAATATTTATAAATTTTGATATCCTGTATCGAAAATCGATATTTACTTCGATTCTGCACTCGCTTCAAAATGTTGCATTTCTAATTGACTTTGTGCAATATCGGCTAATGCACTTTGAATTTGTTCTAATAATAATTCTCCTTTCTTAACAACTTGTTCTAACCTAAAACAGTTAAAACACTTTTAATTAATAATAATAATAATTAGATAGTAAGTTAATTTCTAACTAATAATTAGGTTTAGTACAAAAAAATGCATAAGAAATATGTAATTGAAAAGTAATATTACCTATCAGCTGCTTCTTGATTTTCAGTTTCGAGTCTTCTTAAGCTAGCAACCTGAAGTTCAGTGGATGAATCTTCATTAGGTAAACTTTCGATTAAGACATCAATATCCTTGGCACATCTTGCAATAAGTGTAGCAAATAATTGTGCATAATCTTCTTGAGCTTGTTGATTACCCTGTTGAGGTGTTTGAGAACCACTTCTTTCAAATCCTGAAAATTTTCCAGGTTGAGCAAATTGCTGTAAAATTCCTATACTGTTGCAGAAATTTTCAGCTTGCTATAAAAAAAAAAAAAAAAAAATTACACTCATATTAATAACGTTCTATTAATCAAATCCTTTTTTTTTTTTTAATACAAGAACCAAAAAAAAATTTTTTCTAATGTGTTACGTTTACAGTTAAATGATAAATTTCATTTAGATAAATAACACGCAACGATTTAAAAAAAAATTGCTAAAAACTACAGCATTCTTATTAAATTAAAATAAAAAATATTTAAAACTCTTAATAAATTTAAATATATATTAAAAAACTAATAATAATCTCACCAAATTAATAGTATCTTGAAGTTGAGTTAATCTGTCCGCCATGTTTATTACCGCTTAAATAAAACGCGGTTAAATTTTAATTTTCTAGTAGGCGGTGAAATTTTAAATTTTTTTTCGCGGTATTTTTACTCAATTGAAATTATAAATATTTACCTTATGAGAATTGAAAAAATACAAAATGGCTTCTTTTTTCCACGCGATACATAATCAATAAAGGAAAATTAATAGAAAATTCAAATTTTTATATATAAATACATTTAATTTTTTCATTTAACAAAAAAAAAAAACTTATTAATAATAATAATAATATAAACTCGTAGCGTAAGAAATATTTATATATATATATATATAATTTCACTGAATTTTATCAACATATAAACACGTACACGTAAAAAATAATAATAATAATATATATATAAAGTACTTGTCGTCATTTCTAATATTAAATTAACCTTAAAATTACACTTTTTCTTATTTATTTAACGATAAATTAATTTATTTGGTTTTTATATATATTTATACTGTTCAAAATTGAAGCATTTAACTATAACTTGATTCCTTTTTACTAACTAAATAATCGTAAATAATAATAATAATAATAATAAAAACAACATTTGATAAAAATCAAACGAATCCTTTGTCTTTTGTTTGAATTTCCGGATCCCCCGGGGAGGGGGGAAACGCACCATTTTATTCTCCCCCCTTTTAAAATTACTTTTTAATAATAATAAATTATCTCGGAGTTAAATCCGGAGTTCTCGGACTGTTGTTTCTCGAACTTACAGTGCTGGCAACGTGAGAAATAAGAGAATCGTCTCCGCTATCATCTTCGTCACTGAATGAACAACAACAAAAAAATTTTTTCGCGTTTTATTCAATGTTTCGAAACATTTATTACACAAAATTATCATCATTATTATTATACCTTTCGCTTCTTTCCGAATCGCTTCCGATTTCACCGGATATGGCAGATTGTAAATCTTCGATTCTTTTAACAGCGAGTCTCAAATCAGTTCTTGCGGTGAATGCTTCTTGTTCAGCAGTTTCCAACCTGAAAACAAAAAACAAAAAAAAAAGGTTCAAACCTTTTCCTTCTTTTTTTTCGGGGGGGGGGGGGGCTAAAAAGAGACAAAAGGAAAACTCACCGCTTTTCCAACTCCTTCCTCTTGTGCAAAGCTTCCTGTTCTTTCGCCTGATGTTTAGCCAATTCTTCTTTCGTTTCCCTCAGGGTTCTCTGTAGTTTTCTCGCGGTATCCGTCGCTCCTTGTTCTTTGGTTCTAGCTTGTATGCAGTCCTCATTTAACCTTTCTACGTTTTCTTTAAGTCTTGTGATTTGAACCTTTTTTTAGTGGGGGGGGGGAAGACGAAAAAAATACGTTAAACACGTTTGATCCCAAAAACGAAATTTTAAAAAGTAATAATCTTACCTCCAAACGACCTCTCGTCGTCTGCTCCAAATCTAATCTACTTTCTAATTCTTTTATTCTAATCTCGAGTTTCTTTTGTGCTAATCCGCTTAACGGATCTAATACGGCGTTCGCTTCTAATCTCGCACTAAGTTCGGCTAATTGTTCTTTTAGTGATGCTCTTTCGACTTCCGCTTCCGCCAATGCTCCCGCCGTTTCTTGATTAGCCAATTGTTCCGCGGAAAGTTGCTGAACGATTTGACGATATTTCTTCAACAGCTATTGAAGAAAAAAAAAAAAAACCGTTACAAGCAATACGATAGAAAATCCATTTTACGTTTTTAAATTCAAAAAATTTACTTCTGCTAATTCTTCTTCGTTTTCTTCGACTTGCATTCTTAGTGCGTTCGTTTCACGTAATGCGGCTTGACAACGATTTTCAGCATCACCCTTGGCTCTGATGGCTTCCTCTAGCAAACCGTTAACTTCGTTTAATTCCGAATCCAGAGATTGTTTGGCTTTGACCGCGGATGCTCGAGCTAATTCAACATCTTCCAACTGTTACAAAAAAAAAAAAAAAATGTCGTCAATTTTCCACTCCCCTCTTCCCCCCATCCTTCCTTCCTTCCTTCTCCCGTTCCCTACCTGATTTTTCAACGCGCGAAGTGCGGCCTTGCTCGGCGAATCCTGTTTCGCTCTCTCCAACATTATTTGCGCATCCCTCAGGAGCGCTTTTGTCTTTTTCAAATCTCTTCTCGCTCTCAGCAAAGCATCTTCGTCTGCGGCTTTGTTGTGTCTTCCTCTCTCCTCGGCATCAGCCAACCTCCTTTCGAGCTCGTGTTTTTCACGTACGAGAAGCGTTCTTTCCTCGTGTTCGCTCTCCAATTGAGCTTCTAAAACTGCAATTCTCAATGTATTAGACAAAGATAAAAAAAGGGAAAAATCCACGTGTTAGAAAGAGAAAGAAAAAAAAAAACCTTTGATTTTTTTTTGAGTGTTCGATCGGGATTCGTCGAGTTCGTCATCTCTCTGAGCTATTTCCCGCCTGTGTTCCTTTCGCAGGGATTCCAGAGACATTTCCAGTCGGAGTTTGTTACCTTCGAGCATGGATACCTGACCCGCCAATTCGTCCAATTCTTCCTCCTGTTCTTTCAATTTGATTTCCAAATCGTGTTTGGCTTTACGAAGTTGTGTTATTTCTTGTTCGCTACCGCCGCCCCGGGAAAATTCTTCCAGTTCTTGCGTCAGGGAAAGCAGTTTTTCATCTTTGAGCTCCAGTTCCAATCGAAACGACTGAAAATGATACATCATTATTATTATTATTATTATTATCATCGACCACGCGATCGCAATTTCTATTAACTCACGCTAAGATTTTGTTCCATCGAATATTTTTCCGCGTACGCCATTTCTTTTTCCCTCGATAACCTTTCTTTTTGATTTTTCTCCGACCTTAATTCTTCTTGTAACAATTGAATTTCAGAATCGAACCTTACCAAAAAAAATAAAATAAACTCGTTGTTCCCTTAACAAACAAACAAACAAACAAACAATGTTCGACTCACTTTCTTTGTTTTTTTTCCAATAGATTGTTCCTCGAACTTTGCTCTTCCAACAACAACCTCAAATCGTTCATTTCCGATTGAAGTTTTTGTACTTTTCTCTTCCACTGACCGGCAACCTGTCGCTGTTCTTCGACTTCTTCGTAAGCATCCGCCAACTGGAATCAAATCAACGTTTTCATAATTGTTGCGAATCAACGTATTCTAAGAAGAACCTTGTCTCGTCTTCTTAGAATCGTTTAAAAACAATTTTCTAACCTTTTTCTCCAATTGTTTTTTCAGCCCCACCAATTGTTCCAAATCATCTTCGTGCTGTTGCTGGAGTCTCCTCCTCGTAAATTCTAATTCTCTCATTGTTCTTTCGCATTTATTTTTATAGAGTGCAGCATCGCCGCCGCCATCTTCCAAATCTCCCTCGCTGCATAGTGATAATAATAATGATGATGATTATGGTAATCAAAAATAACTTTATTTAAATAAACGAGTGATATTTACCTTTCGGACAAACCGTTAACATCCGCTCGAGCGTAAAAAAGTTCCATTTCCAGTCTTTCCGACGCTTGCTGTAGATTTTTCTTTTCGTTTTGTATCTGAGACAATTCTTGTTCCAGTCGAACCCTTTCCGCCGTTTCCGCTTCCAATCTTTCTGCTTGCAAGGCTCCAGCTGTGCGTTCTTCTGATAAATCCATCGTCATTTCGCTTAACTGAAAATTATAAAATTTATGTCACTTTGATTTCTCATTTTAAAATCGGCATACCGGGTGTGTGTCCCCCCCCTCATCTTCTGCTTTTCTTTTTAACATGTTTAACAAATACAATTTAAAATTTTATTGGTGTTGTTTGAAACCATTGGTCATTATTACCAACCTCATCCACGTCAGAAATGGTTCTGTCGGACATTTCTGACGTTCTACCGGTACACGAACGACTCCTAAACATTCTCGGATTTTTCCTATTTCCCTTTGTAAAATTCAACAATCCTTTTATCATTATGTTCGTCGCGCTTTTCCGTTTCGATTCCGAAATTTCAGACACGTTATTACGCGGCAACCTGACCAATGATTCCAAATCGTTTTTTTCCTTTCCTAAATGTCTCCATTCTTCCATTATGTGATCCGTACGATGTAAAAATTCCGTTATTTTCGCACTCAACGAATTCGAATTAGTATTTTCATCTTTGAACGCGGGCCTGGGTTTGAACTGATGTCTCAGAGACGTTCGATTCGGTGACAAATCGAAACTCATGGAAGCATCGAAAACGACGGACGATTCTTCGTCGTTTTTACCGTTCGACCGATTTTTCATTTTTCTATTACTCCACATCGAAGTTTGCGGAAATATCCGGCGGGGAATGGACGAGCTTCGAGATGATCGATCTCGCGATCGATTCACGAGAGATGTACTAACGGAAGTTGTTGCATCGGAAGTGAGGTAATGATCGAAAGATTCGTCGCTGAAATCCGAGAGGGGTGATAGAGTGTTACGATCCCTGTTGATGAAAGAATTCCTCTCGTAATCCTCCTCGCAAATTATGGCCTTGTCGTTATCCGCCCCTCCCGGAAAATTTCCAACGTTGAGAATGTCCAACGGAGACTTGGTTTTATCCAGAATTTGATTCGGGTTCGATAATAATATCGTGGATAAACGATTTGATGGATATTTAAATGATCCGGATATGATTTCTCCTTTCGATGAATAATATTTAACTTCTTCCGTTTGATTCACGTTCGGAAAACAATTTTTTCCTTTCTCAATCTTATCATCCGTTTCCGTTTTCTTTCTCTCTGTCGTTTCCGTCGTGGCGGAAACTTTGCGCGCGTTATTCGTTACGGTTTCCCTATTTGAATAATTGAGCGAAACGGTTTCATCAACGTTCGATTCTTTCGCGAAACGTTTGCCGACATTTTTCGAATGATTCGAAACATCGTCGGATAGTTTTTCCGTTAACATGTTCAAACCCTCCCGAACGTTTTTCAATTCTTTGGCTAATTTTTTTTTTATGTCGGTTTCATCGTCGTTTACTAATATCGATTGCTTCGATTTTTTACTCTCGTCGAACGTTCGCGCCACGATTTTTTGACTGAATTTCGAAGACGAATTTAATTTCGCATCGGCTTGGGTTGAACATTCTTCCGCCCTTGTCGACTCCTTACCATCATCATCCCTTTTCACGTTTTTCGTATTATTATTATTATTATTCAAATCAATAAAATTTATCCGTTCGGTGAGTGATGATTGACATTTCGGCTCCGTTTCATTTTGACCTTTTTCCGTTTTTTTCGTATCGCGAATTGATTTGATAGAATTTTTTTCGATTCGTTTTTCCGATTCGCTGTTTTTCCCGCCGCCGCCGCCATTGTCACCGCCGCCGCACATTTCAAAAATTTCACTTTCCTTTTTCTCAATGGAATTTTTCCTTTTCTCCGAACAATTATCATCTTTCTGTCGTTTGATTTCATTTTGAAAATTTTCAATCGATTCGATTTGTTTCTTATCAAATTTCATTTCATTTTTTTCCTTTGAAACGTTCGAATCGTCCATTTTCTCGCTCACCACAGAATTTTCCGACGATTTCAAAGCGTTTTTCTTACAACAACTCGACACATTAATTATTTCCCGTTTTTCATTCGCTTTCCCCCCATTATCAACCGTCACGTCGCGAATTCCGCTTCCTTCATCGTTTTTCTTTCCGATTCCGTTTTCACCAATTTCCGGTTTTTTCGAAAATTTTCTCGTCGCGACGCTCACGCTCGCCGTCGACGTTTCACCAAATTTTTTCAATCTCGATTCGATTAAATTATTCGAATCCATTTTCGACGGCGGGTTTTTCACGGGGAATTTCTCAACAGGTTTAAAAATCAATCCTTCGTTCGTCAATTTATTGATTTTGGGTAATTTTTTTGACGTCGATAAATCGTTTTGTGATTGATCGCGAGAGAGCGCTTCAATTTTCTCTTGAATACTCGAAAACGAATTCAGATGATGAGATCCTGCGATGAGTGACGTGCGACGGGATGCAGAATCCGAACTCCTACGACTTTCTCCCGGAGAATCGACTTTACGGGAATTTATTAATTTTTTCGTCACTTTCGGCTTGTTCGTTTTCGAAATTTTATCATTATCCCCATCGTTATTTTTATCGTCTTTTCCAACACCGGAAGAACCATCGACATTTTCTTTCTTACCCATATCCCCGCACTTTTCTTCCATTTTTTTTTCATTCGTCATTTCTTCATTGCTACCACTTTTTTTTTCATCCGTCATTTCTCCACTGCTACCACTTTTTTTTTCATCCGTCATTTTACCTTATTATATTTTAATCAAACATTTTTCACAAACAGAAAAACACCACACCGTGATACCAAATATTAACAAACACTTTTCCGACGGGAAAATCCAGGTTTCCATTTACAAAAAAAAAAAAAAACACTATTCGGCCTATTACGAACGATCGAACAAGAAGAACAAGAAGAAGAAGAAAAAGAAGAAGAAAGATTAAGAAACAACATTCAAACTCAAAATTTTTTTTATACAATTTCAAAACGTTTTTTAAATTTTAAATTAATAATAATAATAATAATAATAATAATAATAATAATAATAATAATAATAATAATAATAATAATGATAGTTTTAAATGATGAATTAACTAAAATTCGCGAGAGAGAGAGAGAGAGAGAGAGAGAGAGAGAGAGAGAGAGAGAAAAAACGTTTTAAAAATTATCCATGTCTCTCTTCTTCTTCTTCTACAAACTAATAATTCAAGAGTTTGCCGGATTTAAATCTTTTGCCAAATGTACACTCGCCTCCATATTTAAACAACAACAACAACAAATTTAAAATAAATTTATACGTACATATATAATTACAGCCAAGTAAATAAATAAATTCAAATTCAAATTTAACCAAACGTTCCGTTAACATTTTTACACATTTTTTAATACGTGTAATCTTTTATTTAAAAAAAAAAAAAAACTATTATTATTATTATTATTATTATTATTATTACGTTCGTAAAACCAAACCAAATGGTAGAATCGTAATAAATTTAAAAAAAAAAAATTATGTGAGAATAATAATGATAAAACAAGAACGCAACCTCGAATAAATTAAAAAAAAAAAAAAAATCAGGTGACGAAACAAACACGCACAGAGAGAGAGAAAGAGATAGAGAAAGAGAGAGAGAGAGAAAGACTTTGATATTTTTCAGGTACCTTCCTCGAAGCAATTAAAAAATTTCAGTGTGACGAATTCGCATAAAAAAAAAAAAAAAAATTTAATTAGACTTTGATTTTCGTACCTAACCCTAACCCTCTCATTATCCTCTTGTTTGTTTTTTTCGCCATCGCGCTTTTTGACGAACGCGAACGAAAAATGAAAAATGGCGGCGGCGACGATTGATTGCTTGTTTGTTTGTTGGGTAACGAAAAAGATTTAAATTAAATACTTGTTGTTTGTAGTACAACAAACTCTCGATTGTTTTTCATGTCGGGATTTTAAAATTATTATTACTTGGCAAACAAATCGAAAAAAAAAAAAAAAAAAAAAATTGGCGATGAAAAAAAAAAAGTCGGCGGGGCATTCGGCCAAAAAACTACAACGACGACGACCAGTTGTTTAAACGGCTCCCCAAAAAAAAAAAAAAAATCAAAAACCGGCTGCTATCCCCGGGAATCCGGCGAACGAAATCAAACATCGATGCAAACAAACACGCATTTGCACAATTAATAATAATAATAATTTTCTCTCATCGTTCCTACCTTTGTTTCCAACTTGTCATTTTCCAATTTGAGTTGATTTCTTTCCGATTCGACTTTTTCCAAAAGACTTTTGACCGTTTCGAGTTCTTGAACTTTGGCCGTTAGCTCTTCTTCCGTTCTGTGAACGTTTAATATCGGCGTGACCTTGACGTAAAGTCTCCACCAGGGCCATTCTCTCACTTGCATGAGTTTTCTAACGTTTCTCTGAATGCATCTAACGGCTAAATCTTGAATCTGAAAAAAACAAAATAATGGACGAATATGAATGAATGAATGAATGAATGAATGAATGAAATAAAACCCTACTAATCCTAATGATAATTTATGACAGTTTTATCTCTCTCTCTCTCTCTCTCTCTCTCTCTCTCTCTCTCACTCACCTTTAATTTTGCTAATTTTTTTCTCGCTATGTAACCACGGCATCGCGATTGAAATCTTATTATTAAATCCGCGAGTTTTTCATCTCTTTGCGATTCCAATTGTGCCAAAACACCCGCTCGAAAAAATACCTGGAAAAAAAAACAAAAAAAAACTTTTATACATTTTAATTATTATTATTATTTACAACAATAAGTTTTTCCGGTATATACATATTCGATATCGGTAAAAAAAAAAAATCGCTGTTGTTACATTTGTAAAGTTGGCGACAATGCAACAACAACAACAACAAAATGGAAGGTAAGGTTAAAAGAAAAAAATGTAAATAACCTCTGGAGATTCTGCGACAAAATTCCCTTCTTCGTATCCAGACGTCGAAGAACTGCTGCCACTTTCATCCGATTCCTTCTTACCATTATTATTATCATTATTATTATGAATTATCCAATGAGTTTTAAGGTTGATGGTCGAAGGGGAGCCATAATTTATTTCCCCTCCGGTAACTCCTCTGTTCGTTTTACACTCAACGAAACCGTTAGTAGGAATCCTTTCATTTTTCCTAACATCTTTTTCTATTTGTTCGAAATTGTTCACCAAATTGCTCACGTTTATTTTACACTTTTTCAAAGTTTCCAAATCGAAACTCTCGAATTTTTTTTCACATTTTTTTTCAATCATTTCCTCTACGAGTTTTGGAATTTTCGATGATTTTCCATTGACTCCGTTCAGGAGTTTAAAAAATTTCGGTTTCGTTTCTTCGACGGTGAAAGATTTCGGAGCGGAAACTTGAAAAACATTTTCCTTGCAATCTTTTTTCGTAATTTCCGGTTTGAACGTGGTGAAAGACATAGGCACGGTCGTCGTCGGAATGTCATCTTGACGCGCCACCTGATCGCTTTTTATTCTTGACAAAAAGTCGACAGGTTCCGTTTGTTCGAAGGGGAAAAAAACTTCCGTTTTGATTTTTCCTTCTTCTTCTTCTTCTTCGTCGGTCAACGTTTTTGAATTTTCCAAAAACGGTAAAAAACCGTTGTTGACCGATGATTCGACGACGATGGGGGATTGTTCGATTTCAGATTTGAATTTTTTCAAATCTCTTCGAATTACTGGAGGTTCGGGTTCTGCAACACTCTTTGGCGGCAAAGGGGGTGGAACCGAAGGCCTCGTTTTAAAATTATATTTTTGATGTAGTTTCGGCGGTAATGGCGGAGGTTCACTCGCCACACAATTCAAACCCATAAAATTTTTTATTACGACGTCATTCACTTGAACGCTCTCACTTTTCCATAATTCGAGATTTGTATAATTTGACGAGTTGTTTGAATTAAAATTTTCATCGTCTTCGTGAAAAATTAAATTTTTAATATCGTTCTTCTTTTCCTCCATTCTCGTACCATCCAATTTATCAACTTCCGGTTCATCTTCTTCTTCGCAAAACGACGTCGTCGTTTCGAAATCGCACGTCGTCGTCGTCGTCGTGATTTCATCGATGACTTCGTCACGATCCGCAAATGTCACGCTTTTTTTTCCCGCGTTGTTACCGTGGAAAATTTTCATAACTTTTTTAATATCGAATTCGTCGGTTTCTAATTTTTCCTTTTGTTTCAATGTTTTCCCGAAAACGTTTTTCACTCTCTCGACGACAATTTTCCGATTGAGGAATCCGTTATTCACGTCGTCATTTTCCGACACTTCTCCTCCTCCTCCATTTTCTTTGGGTTTTTGACCGAATGTGAGACTTCGAAATGATGGCATGTTTAACGTGTTTATTTTTTGTCCGAAAAAAACGACGAAACCGACGAAGAAAGCCAATATCAACCAGAGCAATGACAACAATTCCCCAATTATTTCTTTTATAATTTTTATCCAAGTCTCTGTCATGGCGGAAGAAGTATTCGTTTGTAATTATTTTCTTTAAACATTTTTCCTATTTTCTTCTTTCTTCTAGTATTCACAACGACAACAACAACAACAACAACACTTTAGGTTTTCTTTCTTTCTTTTTTTTTTTTAGTTTTTTTTTTTCCAAATTCGGTAACGAGAAAAAACATTTAATCCGAATCGTACGTAAAGTTTATTATTAATTAATTATCAATCATTCGCATTTTCATACCTAAATACGCCATCGTCATTTCCGTCAAACGAATAAATAAAAAATAAAAAAAAATTTTTTTGTTATTATGAAAAATGTTGCCAACGTTTGAAAAAAAAAAAAAAAAAACCCTACGTCAAGATGAAAGCAGACGATAATTTTACATTTTATAACATTTATTTAAAAAAAAAAAAAATTATTATTATTAATCTAATACGCGCCATTTTAAAAATCCGAGTAATCCCAGGTTGGAATGAATGTTTCAGGTTTTAATTTAACGACTTTTAGGTTTGAATTTCTTTTTAATCATCCGATTACAAAAAATCATTATTATTATTATTGTCATTTTGTGTGAAGTTTAAAAGAGTGAGGGGAAAAAAAAAAATGCCAACCGCAGAAAACAAAAAAAACGAGAAATTTTGGTAGATTCCCTCCCTCCGCCTCCCCCCGTCCCCCACCACGGCCCCTAAGGCGGCAACCATTTTAATTTTAATTAAATAATTATTATTATTATTATTATTATTAATGTCCGTTACGCACTCGACCGAAGGTTTTCGCGTTCAATGAAAAAATTTTCTTTAATAATTAAAAAAAAAAAAACTAGAACGCGCGATCAATGAAATACTTTAAAAAATTTTTTAAATTTAATAAACAAGGTTCGAGAATCTCGATTCGATCGACGAATCGATAATCGATTCAAATATCGAGAAAAAAAATTCCAATTCCGATTCGATAATCGATTCATATATCGAAAAAAAAAAAAAATTCCAATTCCGATTCCGATTCGAATAAATCCGAAATAAATCCAATCGTTTTAAAGTTCCGTAATAATAAAAGGATTTAAAAAGTAGTTTTGATTTCATTTTCAGGTATGCGTACCTAATGAGAAAAGAAAACCTTTTTTTTTCGTTTTGCCTTCTTTTGAAAAACGTAAATAATGACCGAAAAACCGAAAGGGGGAGGGGGTAAATCATTTAAAATAAATCGTGATGAGGGAGGTTGAAATTTTTTTAATGCACGCACACGCACACACACGCATCACGACCACCCTAAAAGCCTCGTCATTAATTTACCAAAAAAAAAAAAAAAGAAAAAAAAAGAAAAAAAAACATTTACGACGTTTCTTTTAAGTTTTTCGCAGGTTTTAAATATTTTAAAACGTTCAAATTGCACGTGTAATATAACGTGTCAGTCACCATTAAATAAAAATTAAAATTTTACGTTAAAAATCAAAAAAAAAAAAAAAACGCATAAAAGTCAAATAAATAAATAAATAAATTTATATTGGGATCAACCGTGTGCAAAATTTTTTACGACCTCACATCCATCCCAACTTTGACACTTTTTTTTTAAACTTTAACTAAACTACCCTATTTATTATTTAAAAAAAAAAAAAAAAAAATGGAAACGTTTTGAACCTTTTTCCCGTCAAAAAAACAAAAAAAATTAAACGAAATTTAAATCGCGATAAATTAACTAACAAACACACGCACTCCACTCACTCACTCACGCACAAACAAACAACAACCACGACGACGATAACAACAACACAACATTCGATTCGTCGGCGGTCACATTGTTTACTGATTACTACGACGAGTAACTGTTTTTAACATGTTTTCCAAGATTCAAGTCCAGTTCTCCAGGTGCCACACACACACACATACACAAGGTTGACTCGTTCGTTCCGCGCTCTCGTATTATTTAAAAACTCATTTCATGACATTATTATTATTATTATTTTCCCATATAAAAAAAAAAAAAAAAGAAACGTCATATCCGAGAGAGAGAGAGAAAGACGTGTTATGAAAAGTCTCACGGGTTAAAATAAAACCGAAACGTCCGTTAAAGAAAAAAAAGCTCAAAATCAGGTTCGAATTCCCGATAGGTGAATGCCTACCTACTACCAAAATACGAAGGTGAAAAAAACCGCAAGAAACCATTACGACCTACGTGACTGTCACGTAAATCAAACTCTAGGATTGTATACCCGATCAGGATTCCACTGGAATTCAAACTAACCCACCTTAAAAACGTTGCCGACGAAAACACGCGAGATCAATACGACGACGGAGGAGGAGAAAACCCCACCCCCCACCCCCGGGGTAAACCTAATCTTCCATTCACCCGTTTTGTGAGATTTTTTTTTTATTCAAAGATCATCGGGTCACAAATGTTATTATTATTATCATAATTTCACGGCAAGTGAGAGTTCAAAAAAAAAAAAAAAAAATGGCAAACAAACATATTTCGTAATATAATAATTTTCCCACCCTCCCCCTCCCCCACCTCCCCGTGGGATCGGAATCATCATCATCTTGGATAATTAATGGAATGGCAAAACCGGAAATCAAACCGATAAATTTTTTTTATTCATCGTTATTACGTACCAAGTGAAATAACAACAACAACAACCATTTCTCATACAAACAAACAAACAAACAATACAAACGCAAACATTTTAAAAACCGCAAATCGATGCCAAAAACGGATTTTTAACTAAATACTCGATACGAACAAAATTCAAAAACGTGTTGTTTACTGGAAATGGAGGAGAGAGAGAGAGAGAGAGAAGAGAAATACGCACAAAAGTAGTCAACGAAAACGAGTTTACGCACGCACGCACGTATGCGTATATACGCGCATATACAAACATACGTGTTTGCATATATATATATATATATATATATATATATATATATATATATATTGAAAAGAGTAAAAAAAAAATTATTTTCATCTGGAGGCGATGAACTCTCGTATGCAACCAACAAATGCCAAAGATCGGTTTCGCCGTCCTCAAGATTAGAAAAAAAAAAAATAATTTTTTTTTTTTTTTTCCCCTTCTTTCGTTAACTTAATAAAAAACAAACGGTCGAATGCGATTTAAATCATAATAATAATAATTATTATTATTATCATTAGGGTAATAATAATGATAATGATAATGATGATAATAAGTTAAATATCGGTACGATAATTAAATTACGCGATTTGATAAAAAACGGGATAATTTATTATAATAATAAAACGTTTTAAATTCTGCGTAGCTGAATGATTGACTGACTGATTGAACGACTGAATGACTGATTCGCGACGACGATAATAATAATAATAATAAAATAATTAATAATATTATTACCTTTAATGATATTTAATAAAAGTTATAGTATAAAATACGATGGAATTATATATCATCATCATCATCATCATTACTTATGTCGAAAGAAAGAGAGGGGGAGAGGGGGGGAGAACTCGGGGAATTTATAAATACTTTTCGTACCACGGTTACAAAAAAAAAAAAAAAACCAAAATATTGAAAATTATGTGAATAAATTTCGAAATTTCAAAAGCGTTAAAGGCTGTCAACATTGCCAGAATATTTAAATAATAATAATAATAATGATGATGATGATGACCTTGCAAATGACCAGAGGTAATAACCTGACCGAAAACTAAAAAAAAAAAAAAAAACAAAAACAGGTACAAAATCGAACCGGGATATTCGTGCACACCAAAGAAAGAGAGAGAGAGAGAGAGAAACGACGACGACGACTCTATCCCGACTCATCAAGACCGGTTCTCTCAGCATCCGAATATCCAGATGATAGAGAGAAGAACCATCGCAACAAAAGCGCAAATAATAATAATAATAATAATAATAATAATAATAATAATAATAATAATAATAATAATAATAATAATAATAATAATATAATCGAGTTTTTAAATAAGACGTAAACAATAACAACAACAACGACGACGTGTCACTAGACACAATTACAAACATAAAATTAAAATTAGTCAAAAAAAAAAAATGAAATAATTGTTTTACTAATGATAATGATAATGATAATGATAATGATAATTTACGGAGAAAAAAATGGAGTCTGTAGGACGGCCTACATTCTTGTAAAGATTTTTTTTTTTTATAAATAACGATACCACCGATATTCAACCGTTTATATAAATATATAACGAGTATAAACCTGGAATAATTTTTTAACCCGTACGTGGAACTAGACACGATCAAAAGTAAAAATGATGATAATAATAATAATAATAATAATAATAATAAACCACTTATTAAAATAACAGTAAAAAAAAAATAAAAAATAAAAATAAATCAGATTTGGTTACGACTTTTTTTTTTTTTTAAAAACTAAAAATATATCGGGATAAGAAAATTGAAAACTGTCAATCATTTATAATTAAATATTGGCAACAGCAGCAACAGCAACAGCAGCAGAAGAAGAAAAAACGCGAAAAATTCATTCACAACCCGAAAGGGGAAATAATATTATATTTGCCAAGCAAAAGGTTTCGATCATTATTATTATTATTTAACCCAAAACAATTGATGAAAAAAATTTTTATTGTGATCTAACGGTAATTTTTTTTTTAAATAAAAAACGAAAGACCGTGGGGGGAGGGGGAGGGGGAAAGGGGGACACTCCTCCTCGACTTTAAATGCGACTTGAACCGTCGGCGAGTCGAAACAACTCGAAGAATGCAAAAGAACTGTTAACGTAAGTGAAAGCTGTCGAATTTTATGTCACGTTCGTTGTCACGATTCACCATCAGACATTTTTTTTTTTTTTTTTTTTACAATTAAATTTTTAACGATTTTACTACGTTCGTTTTTAGAGTCAAAAATGTACCCGTCACCCCAATTTCAAATATACCAACTTATGAAAAAAAAAAAAAAAAAATTGATCGTCTTACCTGAGTGACGCCTATCCGATAACTCGTTACATCGACGTCCATAAGCATGAGCATTTCTTCGACGGCGTGTCCTTCGTCGAGAGCTTCCGCAGATGGAGACGACGAACCATTTATTGTTATTTTAACTCCCGAAGAATTACCGGAGTCGTGACTCGCACCGGAAGATCCTCCGCATCCGGGTGCAAGGAGACGAAATCGTCTTTTGAATTCTCCGTGTGGAAAATATTCTGGAAATCCTAATTTAAATATTCTAACGACGGGAAGTATTTCGCATCCCCTGATCTGTGAACGATACGCACAAATTATTATTTTTTTCTTTCGGATTTCCCAAAAACTTTTCCTTCTTTCCGGTTAAATTCCCGTTTTTTTTTTTACCTGCGATCGAAGAAGGGGAACGTTTAAAATATTTTCTCCTGTCGATGCCGAACCCGGAATAATTTCTGTGTTGCCAGCATTATGTTGAGGCAGCAAGCAGAATACGAACCTAGGCCGAGTTCTTCGTAAAGTTTCTATAAGACCATCCTGGAGGGAAAAAAAAGTTTTCAACGGTTTTTTTTTAAAAGCATTTTTGGAATTTACTTCTCAAGTACCACTGCTTCTGCTGCCACTACTACTACTACTACTGATAAACTCATTTTTGATTTTAACAAATAATTACACTTACGGCTGTGAATTTGACTTGAAGACTGATGGATTTTCTTTTAACGGCCACCGAACAAGTTCGCCTGATGCTCGACATTCTTCTCAACGATTGAGAACCCTCAACACCACTGCTTAGGAGTCCATTTTTTCCTTTTACAAAAACTTCACTGATGTCTTCCCTTGGAAAAAAAAAAAAAAAAAAAAAATTACATTGATGATAATAATATTATATTCAATGTATTAATATCATTGAAATCGTACTTGGTTGATTCTTGAAGAAAACCATTTGCAGATCGCGTTAGAGGATTCTCTTTTGCTGCTTTTACGAAACCGTTTACGTTATACGTCACAGGATTTGTTCCCTGAAGATGATGAATAACAAAATGTCCCGGTCCAGATTTGCGAAGGAGTAATTGGTGATCTGAAAATAAAAAAAAATTTTTCGTTCAATTTTCATTCAAATTTTTTTTTTTTTTCTTCTAGTGCCACGAAATCCGACCTTTTTCACCGTGATGCATAAACAGTCTTTCGAGAAAAGTTTCGTCTGTGCTATTTGGATATAAGCTTTCTTCTTCCAGTAACCATAACAAACCGCGTCGGTCGACCTCCCGAAGATCCGTTTGGGAAGTTTTAAGGACACCAGTGGGTGACGATTTATCCAACATTGAAATCAATTGGCTGGGAGAATTAACCTCTGAATAAATTTCATCCGTGTTTACGTCTATGTGTTCCTAAAATTCAAATTCCCGCCTTTTTTTTTATCAACACGTTTATTATTAACGTGTAATTAAAAAAGTTTTAAAATATTTTTTTATCAACCTGAACGTATCTATCGCGGGGAGCAATTATATTGAAATTGTGATACAAAAGATGAAGACGTTCTTGAACGTAATTGTGACACAGATCGCTGAAAGTCGCACCGGATTGTTGACCGCAACTTCCCGGATTTTGAAATCCGGGAGAATCGACGACGATCAATGACATCGTGCTATGAATATTCGTTGTCAGAGACCTGGAAAATATAAAATAATATTATCGCAATCCTCAATCGACATTTTATGTTAAATAAAAATTTTAAAAACCGACCGATTGATCAAAGTGTTCACGACGCTAACGATTTCGGAATATAGACCGATGACGAAGCCTTCCAATGCATCCACTCCGGCAATTAATTTATCTTTATCGGATGGTGAAGAAGGTGCTCTGGCGGGTGACAAAGGATTGTTCCATAAGACTTGACAAAGTTCTTCGGACGTGGTACCCAAAAGGCGGCAAGCACGAGAAGAATGCGTGGGATCCGCGAATTGCCATTTGTTTGTTCCCACTTAAAAAAAATATGTATTAGTCGGTGCATCCTGGTCATCCGAAGAAATGAGTGAGTGAATGAAACGCCATTTTTAAATACCTCTGACTGCTCCGGCATTGCCCAAATGATAAATGGCCGCTAAAACGGACCAAATAACAAAACATTCTTTTTCGTTGATTCCAAGAGTATTCATTGCCAATGTGAGTTTGTTCAATTCCATGACGGCTCTTTGACGATCTTCGTTCTTGGAAAAAAAAAAAAAAATTGTTTTCATTTCATCACGCGAAACAATTATTTCGCTTTTCCCTTACCTTGTATATGGAAGTCATGAACAAATTTGAATTTTGCGATGCGTTCGTATCCAAAAGTAATTTTTTCGCCAGCGAACTTTCCGCGCCGGCCAACAGCCAATAGAAAACGTTGAAAATCCCTTCTCCGTTGGGTCTTTTAGCAACCCTTTGCTTTTCCAACATGAGCATCTGCAAAAAAAAAAAAAATAATAAATAATAATAATGATAACATTCACGTAACCGTTCCCTGGGATTTTTAAAACAATTACGTAAACTAACTCGATTAAATAATAATAATAATAATAATAATAATTAACAAAAACTATTACCTGTACGCAAACGGATGCGATTTGTCCCGTTTGATCGAAATCGAGAGTTATTAAATTTGTACATCTCGTAGCATTGATGCTTAAACAAGTTCTGGCATTTCCAAAAGCTTCCAATATCGTATGCAAAGCGTTTAATTTTTCCACATTCAATACCTGGCAATGAAAATAATAAATTTCATTTACGAATTGAAAAAACACACAATTTCATTATTATTATTATTATTATGTAAAAGAAAAAATTTACTTTGTTTACTGAGCCGGCAGAATGTAAAAGATAATTTAAAATATGACGAAAATTGTGAGTTTTCCCAGATCCGCTCCTTCCCAACAATACAATGCTTTGATCTTTTCTCGATGAAAGCATTGAACGATACGAACTTTGTGCCATCGCATAAATGTGAGGAGGCATGTCTTCGGATTTGCATCCTCGAAAAAGTGCAGCCACCTGAAAGTAGAGGGAAAAAAGTTACGTCACAAAAAAAAAAAAATTTTTTTTGTTAGATGTATTAAAAATGTGAATAAAACGTTAAATGTTTTTTTTTTAAATATAAGAGAAAGTCGTATTTATAATAATAATAATAATAATAATAATAATAATAATATTTTTCTTTTGTAAAATAACGATTAAAACAGTCATCATCATCCCCTTTTCCCTCACTTATGAGAAAGTTTAATAAAATGGCTTCGGGCAAACTTACGTAAAAAAAAAAAAAAAAAAAAAAAAAAAAAAAAAAAACCGAAGAATAATAATCCATCTTTAACACATATTTAACTCCTAATAATCATAGTAATCGATAAATTAATACTATAATAATGGCCTAACCTTACACTTTAAATTACTTCCCTTTGAATTAAAAAAAAAAAAAAACAAATTATCGTTATTAAATTTCAATTATAAATTTTAAAATACCCAAGCATGCACTCGCGCACTCACTCGCAATGTATCGATCGATATATCGATAAATCGATTTTTTTGTCGGAAAATACAAAAGATTATGCAAACCTTTTCATTGTAAATGGATAGAGTGCACTGTGGATTGATGACGAGTAAATTTCCAGCGGCGTACGTGTGTATCAAATTATTTCCAAATCTCTGCCTAAGAATGTACAGTACGCTGCTTTCGTTTATGTAACGCAAATGACACACATCTTCTATTTTATCCAGTTGACTCGGATTCGCTTTTTCCAAATCATCTTCATCGACTTCGAGTATTTCGTTTGTATTATCGATTTTTATTTTGACTTTTCCAGTATCTAATTGTTTAAAAAAAAAAAAAAAAAAAAAAAAAAAAAAATTAAAAACCATTAAAGAGAGAGAGAGAGAGAAATTAGGGTGGTGTTAATCACAATAAAAATACTCATATATATATAAATAATATGAAATTTTCAAGATGTTATACCGTGTGAAATAAAAACAAAAAAAAAAAAAAAAGAGAAAGTTAAACCATAAGAGAGAGAGAGAGAGAAAAAACATACGATGAGTTTTTTTTTTTGATAAATTTTTACACTTACTTACCCGTCGATTGATTGGATGAATTTGATAAAATTTTCACGGGAGTAAAACCACCCCTGTGTACCAACCATAATTTTTCCGTATCCAACCAAGCTCTCTCATTGGCTAAATCCTCTTCCGTTTTGGCCTGTGCAAAACAAAAAACAAAATTACCGTTAAAAATAATAATGCAATTTTCATTTAAAAAAGGGGGCGGGGGGTGGAAACTATCCAACAGGTAGTGGTTGGTGTAATTATTATATCATACTATTACATATAATTTTTTTTTTTTTTTTCGAACGTTTATGAAAATTTAAATAAGAACACATGAATATTATTACACTGTCAAGGTTTACAACCGGCACTCCTCCTACGGGTTCACCCACGCGGATTTTTTTCCCTTCATTTCAATTGCATATATATATATGTGTATAGACACTTGCATAAAACGGCAACAAGTATGATTGTTAGATACAAAACTTTGATTTTTCAGTAGTAGAAGAAAACAAACACGTGGGACAAGACAACACAACACAACAACAATCGGGTAGAAGTTTTTAGAATAAAAAAATTCATTCATGGATTTCGATAGGGGAAGGAGAGGGAGGTGGAGATGGGGGGCGAGGTGGAGGGGAAGGGAATCACCGTTGTATCGATATTCAATGTCATCCGGTCTTTAAAAAAAAAAATCGAGACCCTATCGTGGGTAAATGAATGTAAAGTTATCCCCAGGTAGGTTCCATTCCATTTTCGATTTATCGGTACCTTTTTATCAGGTGGTTCCTTTTTTTTCCATTTTCGACCCAACGACAAGAAATTATCGAAAAAAAAAAAAAACTTTAAAAGGATCGAAGAGGCAGACGGAGAGACAAAAAAAAAAAAAAAAAAAATTTTTTTTTCGTTTTTTTAAATTAATAATAATAAACAAGGCGGTGATTGCGTAACGATTTTCAAGACGCAACGATGAAACGCGACATTTTTCCCTTCGAGCGATTTTTAAAACCATTTAATGTTATAATATATTATTTGTTTATGTGTGTGTGTGTGTGTGTGTTTTACGACAAACGGTGATAAAATAAAAAGAAAATAATAATAATAATAATTAAAACGATAATAAAAACAACCGATCGGTAAATAACAATCAATAAATAAAAATTTAAAAAAAAAAAAAATAGGTACAAGTTCGTTTAAACCTTTGGAACGAGGAAAAACCTGGAAAATACCTTTTCTCTCTCTCTCTCTCTCTCTCTCTCTCTCTCGACATTCCTCACCTTATTATTATTATTATTCGAATCGTCGGATTTTAAATTTTTATTTTTATTCGTTTCCGGTTGTAAATCATCGAATCGAATCGAACTTTCAAAATTCGATATCAATTTTTTAACTTTTCCCATTTTCTCATTTGTTTTTGATTCATCATCCGTTTCCGGTTTCCCTCCTCCCGGATGTTTGGAAAATTCCACACATTCTTTCAATCCGTTCGTAAAATTTTCTTCGATTCTCAAATGAATTTTTTCCTTTTCCGAACTCGGTTTTAAACCTTTCAATATTGTTCTGTTGTTGTTGTGACTGCTGCCGCCGCCATTTTTATTTCCGCAATTTGACGTTTTATTTTTTCCAACGAAATCATTTTCCGACGAAAATCTATTCAATTTTTCTTTTAGTTTATTTGTCGTTTTTAAATTATCGACTTTAGACGATGATTTTTTATTATTTTGGTCGTTTGATTTTTCAGGTACGTCAACTTTTTCATTCGAATCGACGATTTTCATTTCCGAACCTTTGTCCTTCCACGACTTCGCATTATGTTCGACAAATTCTTTTTTTTTAATCTCTGATTTTTCCTGCGAACATTTTGCCCTTTTATCCGGCTCGGATAATTTTCCCGAAGGTGTTCCATCCGCGGGAAACTTGTGCGTTTCCGGTTTCGACAAAACGTTGGCGGGATTTTGATTGGTCAAAGGTTTACTCCCCGATTTGATGGTTTCCATCGTTTCTAAAACGGGTAACCTTTTCGAAATTCCACCCGGAATCCATTTTCTTTCCAATTCTGCCGTTTTCTTAGATTTTTTTATCATTATCATCTCCTTTTTGTTGGGTAAAATATTTTTAATGATTTCTTCATCTTTCAAATGACTCCTGCACAATCTCGATATGACTTCTGCATCCGTACAATTTTTCTTCTTATCTTTTATCGATATTTTACTACCCTTTCGATTTTTCATCGTCGTCGGAATTTTCCGCGAATCCAAACAATTGAGACTCTCGATTAAATCTTCAATCGCTTCTCTCGAGTCTATTTTTTCCCCATCTTTCACGTTTTCGAAATATTTCTCGAACAATTTCGATACTTCCTCATTTTCAAATTCTTCCAATTGTAAATTTTCGAAAGCATCCCGACGAGCGTGAACGGTGTCGCACATTCTCTTCGACAACGTGTCGATGGCATCGAATAATTTTTCATCCGTTTTACCCTCGTCTTGTGTTTTTTTTCTTTTGAAAACTTCACTCGCGTCAGACAATTCTTTGACCACGACTTTGACAATCGGACAATTCGATTGTTCGACAATCGATTTTAAATCTAATAACGAATCGGACGGACTACTACCACGACCATCGAGTGTAGTAGACTTTGATAAATCGACTAGAGAGCCTAAAGGACCCCGAATTTTTAATGTTTTACGAGTTTTCATATCGTTCGACGAAATTCCGTTCCAACTCCGACTTCTAACTAATTTAACCCTTTTTTGTAAAACATTTTCAAAGGATGTAATCAATTTATTATCACCGTTCCGACGTTTTTTTCTCGTGCTATCATAATTATCACAATCAACGATTCTTAATTTTTCATTATCGGATTCGCTCAATCCCGTCGAACCGTCATCGACCGAAGTTTCTCGACTAGATTCCCGAGGAACGTGATCCGAAATTTCTACAGCAGAATCCGTCAAAGATTCGTCGCTTTTGAGAACGCTTTCACTCCGAACCTTTTTCTTTTTGTTCGAATCCTTTTTATTGCTTTTATCCGTTTCCTCGCACCTTTTGTTCGGTCCTTTGCACTCGTAATATTTCGTTTTCGTTTCCTTTCGCTTTTTCATCGAATATTTTTTTCCACCATCGCTGTTTCTTAATGAACTTTCGAATGATCCCAAATGAAACATTTTTCACGTACGAAATTAGATAAAATAAAATGAAATAAAAAAATTTAATCCATCGCTTTCGTTTTTTTTTTTTCTAAACCGACGCTTCAAAAAAGGAACGTAATAAAAAATAAAAAATAAAAACGGTCCGAAGGAATGGCATCGAATTTCCAAAATGTACGACACGAACTCATAGAAAATTTCTTTTATGGTTTTGAATGAATATATATAAAAAACGCGGGGAAACGCGATTCGAATGTAAATTATTATAAAAAAAAAACTGGCACGACCATCACTGGCGAAGCAACTCCAGCAACTGGAGTCGGTTCAAATGCATGTACGCACACACACTCAGACCAAAATTTAAAAAAAAAAAAAAAAAAAAAAAGGAGTATCAAGTTCAATTTTTAATTTAAATATTTTCAAGACTTTTCTATTATTATTATTATTATTATTATTATATTTTTAATCAGTCTTACGTTGGTACTTTTGTCCTAAGTTTTAAACAAAAATTTTACTTGATAATTTCCGATCGAAAGAATCGTTTTAAAAAAAAAAAAAAACTTTCGACAAAACTTGTCGTTGAATAAACGAGGAAGCAAAATGCTAAATCGAAATAATAATAATAATCAATAATAATAATAATAATAATAAGTCATTGTTCTGATAAATATTTTCAGGTGTACCACCGACTAAACTGTCGTTTTGTCGACCCGTAAAAGGTACGTTGTAAACAAAAGAAAAAAAATCGAGTCTCGTGACACGTTAAATTCAAATCATGTTTTGCAATATTGTTTTATATCCATCTTTTTTTTATTCCTCCCCCGTCTCTTTTGTACTTTTAACAGTGGAAATAGAAAACGTGTCAGAAGTAAACATACGTTCGACTCAAAAGTAAAAAACAATGAATTATCCTACGAACAGCACCCTCGAATCGGAGGGAGGGGTATTTATCGTCCCTCCCTCTCTCCCCATCACCCTCGGACATTATTATCATTATTATTATTTTTACGTATTAATTTGTTTCCAATGAATACGAAACAAACGCGTCCTTCGTTCGCGCTAACATTCCACGATCCCTACAAAAATTCTTTTTACGGCCATATGGTTAATAGAACGTAATAATCTATTTAATTATTCCAACGGGGGTTGACACACGGTGGGACGTTATCAAGTGGGTTGTTGTTGTTGTTGTCGATATTCAATGCCATAATTTTTATAAACCTTTGTCTCCAAAGTAGGTGTCTTTGGACAGGAAACAACAAAAAAAAATCAGCCATTACATTAATTACTCTTTCGCCATATTCAATTTAATTTTAGGTTCAGAACCTAGAAAACCCGAAAAAAAAGGTACAAAATTAATAATAATAATGCCATCGTTATGGAAAATACTCTCTCGAGAAGAAGAAGAAAAAATAATACTTTTTTTTTTAAAAAACTATTATAAATTATTTTTTTAAAAAATTTAACGAGTCTCGAATAATAAATCAGTTCGATAAATTCAATCTATCTATCTATCTATATTTCGATATATCGAATCGATTCTTCTACGTGTAAGTCATCCAGCAAAAAAAAATCTATTTCCAAGGCCTTAAACTGTCGTAATCAAATACGATTTGAATCTCGTGCAAACTTTTTTTTAAAAACCGCGTGGGCCCCGCGAAAAAAAAAAACCCTAAGAATTATTTATTATTATTATTATTATTTCTTAAACATCGTTATTGCTACTCGAACGCCATAAACGGACACCTTTAAAGTAAAATTTGCTACGAGAAAAAAATTGCTACAAGAAAAAAATTTGCTATGAAAAATTTTACACTGCGATAACATAACGATATTTTCCATCGGCGTGAATCACATTGTAAACAATAATAAAAACGACAGCTTTAGTGGGGAGAAACAAAACAAAACAAAACAATTTTACGACAGAAAAAAATTTGAATGAAATACAATTAATTAATTACGACGATGATATGGTTTTTTTTAGTAAAATTAAATTAAAATGAAATTTTTAGAAAAAAATTATTTAAAAATGATTTTGTTCGGGCCAAAAATAAATAAGGTGAAAACGTAAAAAAACGGGTAACAATTTCTCACACACACACAAATCCACTTTTCCTTTCCCCCCCCAAAACAAACGCGCGCGTGCTAGAAAGTTTGTTTACAAAAATTTTTATGTAAATAAATTTTGTACGAAACACATGTAAAAAAAAAAAAAAAAAACGAAATTTTTTCCTTTTTTTTAAGGGGGGCAGTAATAATAATAATAATAATAGACAAATTATACGTTTAGATATTTGTTTTTTATCAGTCAAAAAAAAAAAAAAAAAAAAAAAATTCCAATATCTTTTCCCTTGTTCATTCATAATTTTTTATTTAAAACATTTAACGGTACTACAAACAAGTTTCCCCACTCCCCTTTCCTCCCTACCTCCTCCTCCTCTTAACTCCAAGTAGATTTTTTACAATTATACTTTTAATTTCAATGAAACTATTTACAAGTACAAATACGCGCGCACACACACACACACACACACCTAAACATTTCGTTTCGATTTGATTAAAATTTATCTCCCCTTTACAGCGTTGCAATTTTCTCATACAAATCCCGAAAAACAAAAATTTTACCGTTAAAAAAAAAAAAAAAAAAAAAAAAAAAATTTCGTTTCTTTATCATTTGGGATCCAATCCAGGAATCTCTTAAAGTTGGGGGCGTTAACTCGAAAAAAAAAAAAAAAAAAAAAAAAAAAAAAAAATTGATTCACTTAAAATAATAATAATGTTTTGATTACAACACACAACGTGGGAGAAAAAAAAACATGACATTTTTTATTATGTGTGCTTTTAATAGAATGTTTTGAACTTTAAAAACCAAAACAAAAAAAAAAATGGAAAAAACAATAAAAACCGACAATACCCCCCCAAAAAAAAAAAAAAAAATAAAAAATAAAAAGAAAATTTTTTTTTCTAAAATTCCGTATTTTTTTAAAAAAAAAAAAAAAAAAAAAAAAAACGCCTTCAAATTTACAATCATATTCAAATATCACGCAAGCGCTACAAGTTGCCTAATCGATAATTCGCAGGAAATCTTTTTTTTTTGTTTTTTGGGGAGAAAAAACAATGAATGAGTGAATGAATGAATGAATGAATCAAAAAGCAATTGAAATTGCAGTTTTTAAAATTAATTTCAATTTTACACACGTGTCACAAATCATTTCAACGATACAATAATAGTAAACATACATACATATCATTTAACATTCTCGCCCTCTTACACAAACATGTTTATAATTTTCGTAATAATCCGTTAAAAAAAAAAACCAAACGATAATAATAATAATAACGAAAGGTAATTTATTAGCGAATAAAAAAAAAAGAAAAAAAATGTGCACGTCGGGCCCCCCCCCACCACCACCATTTCTTGGTCATTCAACCCAAAAAAAAAAAAAAATTTTTCACAATAAAAATAAATTACCATTGATAATAAAAGATGTTTAAAGGGCTTGACATTAGATTCTGTGAGAAAGAACAAGTGAAAGGGTTTTTTTTTTTTTTTTTTTACGTTTCTAATAAAACCGATATACCTTGAAGAATTTTTTTTTTTTAAAAATGGCGGATTTCCGAGGATATTTTCGACGAATCAAAAATTAAAAGACATCGCGAAGAAGAAAAAAGAGTACAACCGTTTGCAAAATAATCTTTTAATTCACGTTTATTTTTTTTTCCCCCCCCCCCTCTGACATGTCGGGTTAACATCAATTACTATTAGAATTAATAACGATAATAATAATAATAATAATGATTTTTAACCATAGTTTAAAATAATATCTGTCGAAATATTAATAATAATAATAATAACGATTAGATAACACAAATTTAATATCATCGTGACTAATAATAATAATAAACGATTAAAAAAAAATTTTCACTCGAATTAAGGTCAGATTTACGAGAAATTTCCCTGTTTGTTTGTTTGTTTGTTTATTATTATTATTATTTTGTTTTTAAATGTTAATTTTAATTTAGTAATGTGCAACAACAACAACAACAACAACAAAAAAGTTTTTACTCCTTTGTTATTAATAAAATTTATTTATTTATTTATAACAATATGAAGAGATTGCATTTAAAGAGATGACGACGACGACGACAACATCATCATCATCATCATTCAAACACGAAAAATTTTTTACTTTTTTAAATAAAAAAAAAAAAAACCGTTAAAATAAATTTAAGAAAAATTTTATTTATAGATTTTAATACCTTAGAAACGAAAGAATTTCAAATTTGACTCGATAAAAAAATTTGGCTCGAATACAAACAATTCAATAAAAAAAAAATCAAATCAAATACGAAAAAAAATTTTTAAGGAGAAATTTCGTATTTTCCTTCTTTCTCTCCCCCCTCTCTCTCTCTCTCTCTCTTTTACTCTTTTAATTATTATTATTTTTCATTAATAAATATGAGATTTGAAACAAAAAAAAAAAAAACAAATTATCGAAACAAGTTTTTTTTTTTTGTTTTTTCTTTCTTAAAGATATTTCGATTCGATAATCGAATTCTGCGATTTTTATTATTATTATTATTATTATTATTTTTCTCATTATTATTTAAATATCATTTTTCGAAAAAAGGAAAAAAATTTACACGCGAAAAAACTAGCAGAAGATAAAATTTTTATTGCAATGTTCACGATGACCCAATGACTGACTGACTTAATGAGAGAGAGAGAGAGAGAGAGAAAAGAGAAATTCTTATTAATAAAGAAAAAGTAAAAAATAAAATAAAATCTTTATTGTTGTTGTTGTTGTTGTTGTTGTTGCCTTTAAAAAAAATTTTTTTATTTTGTATATAATTTTTTTCACTTTGTACTCCATAATTGAACTTGAAGATTTTTACATCTTCAACTTTTTAAATAATAATAATAATAATAATAATAATAATAATAATAATAATAATAATAGTAATACAAACAACTTAAATTCCCTCGAATTTAAAAAAAAACCTAATTGTAGAAACAATTCGATCGTTGCGCGTGAGAGCGCAAAAAAAATTTTTTTCAAAAAGATACCGGGAAGGAAGTTCAAATCTAAACCTAACACCTCATACTCCACAAAAACAAACAAACAACAACCTAAACGAATAATAAACAAACGGACAAATTTATTTTTAAATAATATTAATTTTCTAGGCTTTCAATTTAAACCATCACAAAATCTTTCACAATTAATTAATAATAATAACAACAACAACAAAAACGACGACGATGATGAATTTAAATTAATAAGTTTTGAAAAACAAACAAACGAAATAAACAACTTAAACGATTTGTAATTTAAATAAATTCCGCCTAAAAAAAAAAATTAAATTTATTCACAAATAATAAATTATTTAATTAATTAATTAAATTAACCGTGTTAATTAATAATAATAAACCATTTAAATTCATAAATAAGACTCGAATTCGTTGCAATTTAAAATAATAATAATAATAATAATAATAATAATAATGGTAACATGATATATTATTTGGAATAATCGATGAAACCTTGAATCGAATTAGGCATTGAACATACATAAAATCAATAATTGGCAAATTTTTTTTCCCCGATTGTAAATTGTAAAATAATTAAAGAATAAAAAAAAGAACCGCTTGCAAATAATAATAATAATAATAATAATAATAATAATAATAATAATAATAATAATAATAATAATAATAATAATAACCATGCCACATTCAATGAAAGGAAATTTAAAGAAGATTATGAAGAACCTAAAAGAAGAAGAAACCATCCAGGAAATCGCACTATGTGGGACGGCCTACATTCTTCGGAAAATATTGTATAAATAGCACAAACGAAATTCGAGTATTTGTCCCTAAGGAATCGGGAAGAAACCTGGGATAAATGAACTTGAAAACCCTTAAAAAAAAAAAAACTTACGGTAACTTTTTTAAATCTTAAACTTCCGCTTCTTTTCAACGTTCCATCCCTTATATTGCTGTCGTTTAATACGACGTAATGACCATCTAAACCGGATCTTCGAGTCAATTCGCATAATTCAGGTATGGGTTGAACCTAATAAAAAAAAAAAATAATAATAATAATAATAAAAATCAAAACAACGTCGTACGTGCATTTACATTTAATTATAAACGAATGTACAAGCTATTAAAAAAAAAAAAAAAAAAAAAAAGATGCATTTTACATTTTAACCGACATTTTGATGACGTCAAGGCGACATTTTTTTTTAAATAGGATTTCTCCATAAAGTTTCCAGTTTAAAATTTAAAATTTTTTTTCCTTCTTTTTTGTCGATACATCCTTTCATTTATTAATTTTAAATATTACACAACAAATATTCTCGCTCTAATTAAATAAAACAATAAATTACAATTATCTATTATTATGATTTCCTCCCCCCTTTCTCTCCCCAACTCCCCAATCCCCCCAATTTAATCGTTCTTTCTTTTTTTCTTTCTTTCATAGATAGACTAATTTTATTTTAAAAAAACAACTTTCAATTTTTTTTTTTTTTTTTTCAAACTACAATCAATTGAAATAACGTTACAACGACACAATTTTTTTCTTTTTTCTTAACCGTTTCTTATTACATTACGTACGTTTTTTTATATACAAAATTTAATACATTGTAACGCACGCCATTTAATTTTATTTATACATAAAAAAAAAAAAAAAAAATTAATAACTTTCTAGAAATTCTAATAAATGATTTATATAAGGTTGGTGACCTTTCAATAAAAAATAGTATATCATTGTCACCGTAGCAAAAAAAAATTTAACGCCAAACCGCGGGGTAATGTAAATTTTTTTTTTATTGCAAAATATTATATAATTATTATTATTATTATTATTAGTTTTTTTTTTTTATTTAATAAAACGCTAAATGGAACGGACGAGTGAATTTAACATAAACAACAACAAAAAATAAAGAAAGAAAGAAAGAAACATTCTTCCCGTTAATAACCGTTATGCCACACCACATTCCGGAAAAATAGATACCATTGAGACACCAACCGTTAAGAGTCCAACATAACATATTAGTGAGTGGCATGCCAGCCACCTCGCGACCTGAATTACTTAATTTTATATTATCATATTATTATATACTTTCGTATTCGATAATAATAATAATAATAATTAACTTTTTTTTTTTTTTTTAAATTCGGAAAATTGTAAGGAAGAAATAAGAATGAATCCCACAAGAACATTCTAAAAGATTTAGGATAATAATATTATATTTTTATCGTTAGGGAAGAGGGGGTAGTTTTTTTTTTTTTCCAAACGAAATCCCCAAAGGGGAAGAAATAAACGATATTTATGTGACGAACAACGAACCGTTTCATTCATCCTAAAAACAGAGAAGGCTGACAGATTTTGGGGTAATTAAAGAAAAGAAAGGGAGAAGACGACTGACTACGCCTAACCATCATATAAATAACGCCATTGTCGAAAAATATTTAATTTCTCATTAAGAACACACACCGCCCCCTTCCCCCCCCCCCACACACACACACACACAAATTCTAAACCGAAAATGATGAGGGGAAAAAGGGTTATTCGGGAAGAATTAAACTTCAAATCCGAATGTACTTCAGAGGGTTTGTCTTCTGCTTTTTTTCCGACAGCAGACAAACGAATCATCATTATCAGATAATTTTTTTTTTATTAATACTTCCCCCCCCCGAAACGTTATTGTAAAAAAAAAAAAAGTAGAATAAATACAAATCGCTTTTGTTATTGTTTTCATTTAACAAAAAAAAAAAAAAAAAAAATCATCTAATCATAGAGTGTGATAATGTGCAAACTATATTACTCGGTCATAGAGTAAAAAAAAAAAAAATAAAACAATTCAAATAAACAATCAAAACAAACACAATACTACAATTAACTTTTCAAACTCGTATAGAATTAATTATCAGAAAGGAAAAAAAACGGTTTTTTTTTAAATAATTGATTGGATTTGACATTTATTCTTATCAATTTTCTTTCCTTTTTTTCCTTTTTTTTCTAATTAGTAAAATTACCGAATAATTACTTTTTTTTTTAAAAAACGTTTAAAAAAATAAATAAATAAATGATTACGTGACAAAATTTTTGTTATTAAGCGGTTTTTTTTTTTTTTTTAAACGCTTTTCTACTTTAAATTTGTTTCAGTTATGACAAAATCAATTAAAAAAAACAGTTTTAATAAAAAAATTTTTAAATTGCCCTTTTGCTAAATTATATTACTTAGTAAAAAAAAAAAAAAAAAAAGTAGGGCAAGCGTTATTCTTTCACAGGAAAAAAGTCATTACCTTATACGTGATTAAGGAAAAAAAATTGCTGATTTAAATGATTTTTTTACAGTAAATTCACAATTTCTTTTCGCGATTGTCTTTAAAATTATTTACATAAAAAAATAAAATACAATCATCGTAATTTCCACGGAATAATTTAAATACCGTTTGTCCTGTTGTTGTCTTTAAAAAAAAACTTTTTTGTTTACATTTTTCAAATAGCATATTTCGCGTATAAAAAAAAGGATACGGGTTATTAATAATTTTAAAATAAATTTTGACACCCCCCTTCCCTCCCTCCCTTCCCCTTCTCGTCCACCATTAATCCATTAATTTTTCAATTAATTAAAACATACAATTACAAAACAACAGCAACAACAATTTAATAATATGTTTATTTAAAATAAAATATCAATAAAAAGTTAACGTATATAAAATTTAAATGGTTATTATTATTATTATTATTATTATTATTATTATTATTTTCCATCATTAAGTACAACGATATTAAATAAATTATTTAAAAAAAAAAAAATGGCGATTGTGATAATGTAGAGAAAAATTCTGTTATCTTAGTCAGTTATTTAAATATTGATTATTTGCCTCACGATCAACTAACGGTTATTAAAGTTATTGGCATGACAGGTATTTGAAAAAAAAAGGTAAATTTTTTTTAAAGAGTTTAAAGGGATTATTTAAATTTTTAGCAAATTTTTTTTTTTACTTTGAATAAGCTTTAGGCATAATTTAAAGCAAAACTTGTATAAGAAGAAATTGAAACGCCATTTTTTTTATAGCGTTGTACCTTTAATTTATTCAAATTTTTACAATTTTTTTTACACTTTTAAATGTTATGCTTAAAAAAAAAAAAAAAAAAAAAAAAAACAAAGAAAAGGCCAAGAAAGAACTCATGACTAATTAAATTATAAACTAACATACTTTTAAAATACTACATATATACAATATAATTTATTTTAAACACATTTTTTTGTTCCCTCAATTAAAATACGTGATTAGGTTGATTGATTTGACGTGGAATTTATAAATATATATATAATTATATATTTTTTAATCGATTAGTCATTTAAACCACAGTAATAATAATAATAATTTTTTAGGAAACCTAATACTAAAGGATTCTTGTCGTTGAATTAATATAAAAAAATTTTTTATTGCAAATATATAGGTCAACAGGTCTAGATAGAAAAAAAGTAAGTTCAATAAATTCTGATGAATGATACTCAATACCAGTCTACCTTGTGTGAAAAAATGTAAATTATGAATTTTCATATTTAATAAATTATATTTTTGTGTTGCAAAATGAATTGAGAAAAAGCATTCCTTTAATAATATTTAAAATGTAACTTACCTTGACTGATACACTTGAGCCACTACTTTTTATTAAATCAATAATCTCTTCCCTTGACTTATCATGAACTTGAATACCGTTTACTTCTAACAAAATATCTCCAGGCAATAAACCAGTTTCATTTTTATTTTCTATTATCGCACCAGGTTCGGCAAAAATTACAGTTTTTTTTTTAACACTACTTAATTTATCAGTGATTATGGCTCTTCTTAATTGAAATCCAAAATCACCTTTTGAAGTTCTGTGTATTGTCAAATCCCTAGGTTTGGGTAACTGTATGGGAATAATATCGGGCAGTGGTAAATCAGCATATTTACTGTCTATATTGGAATGAATTTTACCAAAACCTTGATTTTCTCCAGTCGGTGATAATGAAAAAGGAGGTGTAGCAAAACTACTGTTTGTAGTATCAGTTAAACTTTCAGCACTCGGACTTGTTGATGCAACACTGAGTAAATTATTTTGTTCATTCTGTAAATGATTGTTACCTAGCACTGTGTGATTTCTTAAATGTTCAGGTGACACATTTAACTTATTTTTTGAATGAGATAAACAGTTTTTAGGAGGTACATTTTGATAAGTGATAACTTCATTTTGTAATGTATTTCGAGCCAATACACTACTGTTGTTAGGATCTTGAATTTCATAAATATCGGAACTGTTAATACTCGATCTTGATCCTTTTAATATTCCTCTTTTAGGAGGCCTAGGTGGGAGTGGTGGTAAAACTTTTTTTGATACTTGATTATGAAGAGAATTTAAACTTGTCTCACTAGAGTCACTTAGTGCTAAAATTTCTCTATTTAAAAACTGCGAATGTTTAGCATTGGTATGCCCAGGCAAACTTCCTGACCTATTGAATTCTGGACGGCGCTCTAAATCCGCAAAAAAATTTTCACTATAATCAGCAGTTATGCCACTGGGTAATTTTTCTTTTTCTTTTTTTTTCGTTCTTATTTTAAGAGATCTTCTAACTTCATCTAATCTCAAAAGCTCTTCAGCAGTCATACCACTCCTTTCTCTTTTTTTTTTACTTTCTTTTTCCTTTTTACGTTTTTCTTTATCATCCTTTTCGACATAGTTTTTTTTCATAAAATTAAACATTTCGCCTTATGAATAAATTAATTCTTAATACACAAAACTACAAACGATAAATATCCACTAAATATTACACATATCATACATTTATTTTATCATAAAACAATAACCGATAACAAATGTCAACAAAAAAAAAAAAAAAAAATAAACCCGCAAAATATCTTTAATACGTTAATAACCTATTAAATAAAATTTTAAAAAATTCATAAATTAACTGATAGTAACGCGTATACTGTTTTTTAATACTTGCAAATTTAAAACTCAATTATAGCGAGCAATACAAGTTTAAATAAGTTACTACTCCCCCACCAGCACCCGAATACGAAAATCGTTTTCTGTACAAACAGTTTATTATATTTGACTGGTTGAAAACATAAAATACGCTATAAAAGTAAAAAAAATTGTTTCAAAACCATTTTAGTTTTCAAACAATACCATAGAAGTCATAGAAGTAGTCAAGTAAAAAAAAATTTTGGCGCAATACATGCAATACATTGCATTTGTCATTTAATGAATTTTTCATTTTCATTTTAATTTTAAATGAAATTCTCAATTTAATTTAACTCACCAACCCTTATTTTTGCATTAGAAGATATTTCTTTACCTAAACTTTATAATTCTAGATACAAATATTGTATTTGATTGATTTAAAAATAAAAAACTTTTTAAGGTTAAAATAATTGGGATTGATTTACAAAAGCAATAATTAAACATTTGTCTTTGAATTAATTAATTATTCTTTTTATGTAAGCTATATTGAATAAACACTTTTCACCCTATCACAGTGATAAATTAGTTAAATGCTAAAATATTATTTGCTATATTCATCTGTCACAAATATCTTTACCTTAAGTATCTGTAAAACATGATGAAATGTATAGGGAATTCATTTTTTACTAAATCTAATTCTTTCAAACTATTATTCATCTGAAACTTTTTTATATTATTGATTTGAATACCATTAACTGAATTATACAATATGGTTTTAAAGAAATTTTGTATCTTTAGTTTTGTAAAACTGTACCCTGTGTCAAATTGTTCACACTATTTAACATTATAACAACTCCTATCAAATTTTTATACTTAAAAATCTTTTTAGGCATGAATAAATAAATAAAATATGTTTCTCAACTCTCTACATACCGCAAATTAATCGTTGAAATCAAGATTAATTATCAACCAAGCTGATGTTGGTTTTGGCCAATAAAACCATTATGGCTGACCGTTTCAAAAGTATTAATGTTAAAAATTTAATGGTTTTTTTTTTAGATAACAATTTTGTCCCAACGAATATTGTGAATGGGATAAAAGTCACAAAATGTAAATTGAAAAAATAAAATTGTATAAGAAAAATTAAATTACCTTAAATTCTCTCACGACGTCCAAAAAAAAAGTGATGAAAAATGAAACGAGAACCTTTACTTCACCTTACTGTACGTTTTGAAAATTTCATAGAGTGTTTAAACATCACTTCTTTAAATGGCGCCCAATTGAAACTTTTCTATATTGTAAATGATAAAAAATAACTTTTCACTCACTACAAACACTTACAACGCTTTATTTTTAACAATTTTCGTTTTATTATGACGAAATTAATAAAAAATGGAGGGAAAGGGTGTAAATAAAAAATAAATTGCCTTAATATCTATAACTAAATAAAATCAACAGCAGCAGTAAGGGATGAAAAAAATTAATTATTTATTTATTTAACAATTTATTTGTTCATCGTCACTACATTTACCTTTGATAAAAATAATAATAATAATATTTTAAAAATGAATTTAAATTTTTTTTACACAAGAAAAAAATTATAAAAAAAAAAAAATTAAAAATCTCAGTGTAGTTTGTAAAGGAGATCTACTTAACAATTTTTTATTATTATTATTTTTTTTATTATTCTAATAATAATGATAATAATTTTCTTATAAAAATATGAAAACGCCTACTTTTTATTATTATTATTATTAATTATTATTTCATCATGCATAATTTAATTTTACAAATATTAATTAATTAATTAATTATATTAAGTATAGTAAAATTAGAGAGATATTTTTTTTTTTTTAAATAGTAAAGAATATGAAGAAGAAGTTGAAAAGTTATTAAAAAAATTTTTTTTTTATTAAATGTGGCACAAAAAAAATAAAATAAAAACACATAAAAAAAAAAATGTGAATTAAAAATTTTCTTTCCCCCATGTCAGTCTATTTAAGTTTGAAAATTAATAAAAAATAAAAACAACCAAATTTAATAATTAAGGAACTAAAATTATTATTATTATTATTATTATTATTATTAAATTAACCGATCGATGACAAAAATAAATCAAAAATTTAATTTTAATGTATATATATATATATATATATATATATATATATAAGAATAGAATTTAATGGCAATCAATCAATCAATCAATCAATCACGATTATGATGATAATGATTAACAATTATTTTAATAAGTAATTATTAATTTTTTTACAAGATTTTTAAAAAATTTTCCCTTTTTTTTATTTATCAGACCATTAAAAAAAAAAAAATGCAGCAGCAGCCCCCTAAATGTACAGAAAAAAAAAACCAATTATTATTATTATTATTATTATTATTATTTATCTTAATAATGATGATGATGATAAAACTGTTCTTTTTGTTTCTTATTGAAAAAAAAAAACTATTAAAAAAATTTCTATTTTTTTTTTTTTTCTGTTTTTTTCTTTTTAATAACAAAAATCATTTCATTTATTTAAAAAAAAAAATTGCAGTAATAGTAATAATAATAATAATAATAATAATAATAATAATAATAATAATAATAACAAAGAGAATTAACACGTTTCATTTAGAAAAAGAAAAGAAAAAAATTATTATTATAATATAATAGCATTCGCAGACAAAACTCACAAAATCTCTAAGAAAATTATTTATTTATTTATTTATGTATTATTATTATTATTATTATTATTATTATTATTATTATTATTTTTATTCCATTGTTTGTTTTATATGTAACAGAATGTAAATTTTTGAGTTTTTTAATAAACCATACATATATATATATATATATATCTTGAAAAAAACCCAAAATTTTGAGAAAAAATTTTATTTATTAACATTTGAAATTAAAATTTTATTTATTTATTAACATTTTTTTTTTTTTTAATGATCTATCACGATTCGATATCGAAATCGAAATACCGGAAATGAATTTTTTAGAAAAGTAAACAAACGGAATAAAAATAAAAATTAAATTTAAATAAAAAAAAAAATGTTTTTTTTCAATGCATTCATATCATTTTTTAAATTTTTGCGCTCAATTTAATAATAATAATAATAATTATTAACCCGCGAGATACTCCCCCCCCCCTCCCCCCAAAAAAAAACAATCGGTGGAAAAATAAAAAAAAAATTTTCTTTTTTTACTTAGTGTTATTACGAGCGCATTTTTTATTTAATAATTATTATTATTATTAATATTATACATTAAGAGAGAGAAAAAAATGTAACCAACAAAACAAAACACAAATTAATAAATGGCGTGTTATTTAATTAAAAACCGATAATGATAATAATAATAATGATAATAAATCCCCTCGATATTAAATGAATAATTTCACTCACTCATGTTAAATTACAAAAAAAAAAAGTGTAAGCATTGAATGAAGTTTAAACCGTTAATTAATTAATTAATTACACAATTACAAATATTTAAAATAATAATAATAATTAAAACAATTTTAAACAATTCAAAAAAAATTTAAATTCTAAAATATAATTATTTAAACTGCAGCCTTCAAAAAAAAAAAAAAAAAAAAAAAAAATCAAAGTGATAAATAATAATTGTCATATATAATAATAATAATAATAATAGTGATAGTAATAATATAGTAATAATAATAATAATTTTATTAAAAAAATATTTTTTTAGTCTATTTTTTTCACTTAGCAAAAGCAAAACCATTACAAAAAAAAAAAATTTATTATTATTATTATTATTAATTTGAAGTTTTTACCGTTTTTTTTTTTTGTAAAACTAATTTTTTTTTTTACACAATATTTACATCTCTCTCTCTCTCTCTCTCTCTCTCTTTCTCTTCCTATCTCTCTCTCTTTCTTTCTCTACCTAAATAGTCTTTCTTAAACCATCAAGTTTTCTTTAAGTGACAGAATATCCATTTTTTTTTTTTTTTTTCAAAAATAATTTTTCCCAATATATATATAAATAAAAACGAATGCAAAAAAAAAAAAAAAAATTAAAAACCAAAATAATAATGATGATTTTTTTAAATGTTTTTTTCGTATTTTTTTGTTTTTTTTTTTTACTTTTTTGCTTTTTTTTTTTTTTTTTTTTAGAAAAAACCAAAACCAAAAAAATGAAACGTGCCATTTTTTTTTTTTTAAATATAAATCACATAACAAAACTAAATTATTAAAAATCAATTATATTATCAATCTTATTTCATAATTCATCGCATACTATATATATATAAATATATGCTAATTAATAATAATAATAATAATAATAATAATAATTGATATAACTAAACTAAATCTAAAATTTCATTTTTTTAGAAAAAAAAGAAAACTAATCAATCCCATTTCCCCCCCCCTAAAAACTTCATTCAATGCCTTCTTCCCTCCTTCATTCCCTCCCTCCCTCCCTCCCTCCTCCCTTCCCTTCCTTTATTGTAAATTCAATCTTAATTTCTCTTGTGATTAAATTAATCGAAAAAACAAAAAAATTAGTTTTACAATTTAAACCAATCACGATGATGCAATCAAAATAAAACCTTTTTTTTAATATTTTGACTTGAATTATATTTTATTAAGTGCGTAATCTATAAAAAAAAGAGAAAAAATAGGAAAAAAAAAGAAAAAAAAAAAAAAAACATTTAAAAAAAAAAAAGTTAAAGTTAAAGTCGTAGGCGGCGGCGGCTTTGAGTAGGATGACGTATAGGGATAACCACGTGTTCCTCCTTCCTTCTTGTTTTCTTATTCATATTCTTTATATCATTCTCCCAAAATTTTTCTACAAACTTACTTCTACATTTTTCTTTTTTCTTTTTTTTTTTGTCTTATAGCTTTTAGTAGTTGATTGATTGATGATGATCATGATGATGATGATGATGATGATGATGATGATCTCCGCAAGAGAAAAAAAAAAAATTTTTTTTTTTTTTTTTTTTTGTTTTGCTCTTTTTGGGAAATAAATAAATATGAAAAAAAAAAAAGAAATTAATTTTTTAAAAAAAAAAAAAAAAAAAAAAAAACGTTCGGCTGCGGTGCTGCTGCTTCTGCTCCTACGGTTGTTTCCCAAAAAAAAAAAAAAAAAAAAAAAAAAAAAAAGGAAAACCCACCATACAAAAGATATTTTTATTCCACTTTAAAAAATTTATCATCTTCTTGTATCAATTAATCTTTAGCAAGCTCTGATTTGTTTTTCTCTTCGCGAGGTCGCGCCCCCCCAAATATCGATACTGATTGACTCGTCTCTGCGACTTGATTCAACGGATCGTTTATTGTACGCGGCTGTAATTGAAGTCTTGGTCGTCCTGATGTTTCTATAAAAAAAAATTTATGTTTATAACAATATGAAAGACAAACAAAGACACGGTGCAAGAGTGCTGCTACTACTACTACTACTACTACAGCTCATTAATAATAATAATAATTTTTTTTTCGAATGATTAAAATCAAAAGCATCAACTACAGAAAAAAATGTAAGTAATAATAAATAAAACTTACTTTTTTTTTTGTTTTTGTTTTCAAGGCGGAAATAAAAAATAAAATAATATCAATATTTATAGTAATAATAATGATAATATTTAATGAATGGGAAAAATTCAAAAAAAAAAAAAAAAAAAAAAAATTTAATATTACCGGGAGGTGGGTTGCTAGGAAGTTCATCATTGAAAGTTCTCCTATCTTGTCTCGGCCGTCCTAAACCTTCTTCTCTACCGACACTTCCGTGTCTATTTCCGCCCCATTGACTTTGCGGACCTTCGTCAAATTGTCCGTAACTACCTCTGTTTGTTCTGTCTTGAAATCCTTGCCCTCTGTGACCTTGCTGCCGATGTCCGTAACCTTAAGATATATATATATATAGTAAATCGACACATGTTATAAATAATTTTAATTAATTTTCAATACTTCAACAACCACCACGGTATTTCTTACCGCTTCCTCCGCTAGAAAAATCCTCAAAGCCGCGATGATCCTGTCTACCACCTCTAAATTGTCCTTGCCTTCCCCCACCTCCTCCTCCGCCGCCACCGCCACCGCCGCCGCCACCACCACCACGATTTCTTTGGTAGTTACCTCTTTCTTTTTTCCCATCTGCAACATCAATCTAAAAGCCAAAAATTTTTTAAACATATTTGCAAATAAACATTTATAGCATCCAAGTTATTTATTTGTCTTTACTCGAACACAATCAACTTTATTATTATTATTTAAAGCATTTTATAAATAAAAAACAATTTTCAATACATAAAATTTTTAAGAAACTATAATTTACAATGAAAAATACATAATGGACCAATTTTGTAAATAATATTCGATGATTATAAGAGTACTTGCATCTAAAAAACAGAATTTGCAATCAAAATAATATAATTACTTTATAAATAATTAATTCAGCTAAAAAATGAAAAACTGTACAATTTACAAAGTTATGGGCTAAAATAAATTTAGAATAAAAATCTGTGTAAAGAAAAATTACTACAGATTGTGAAAACACCTAGAATTATATTCTACTATAACCTGAAAAATTATATTATAAAAGTTAAAGATATTTTTATAAAGCTTGACTTGAAAAAATATTGCTTCAAAAATGTCATATTGAAAATAAATCAGAGGTAAGAGTAAAAAAACTTACTATTAAATTATTTCGAGGAAATTTTAGTATTATTTTCAATTTTTAGACATCAAGTCATAAATAATGTATTATAATAATCACAATAAATTATTTGATTGTGAGTTTTTTTTTTTTATTTTTTTTTTTTGTAAAAATTAAAGTGTAAAATATTTACAGTTTAAAAGGATTAAGAAAAAAAAATTAAATTACCTTAATTAAACATCCTCTACCTCCACTACACTATCTAATTCATTGCTTTTTTTAAGCTATCTAAATCATCGAATTCAACATAACAAAATCCCTTGAATTCATCAGTTTCTTTATCACGTACAAGGCGAACGTTTCTAACTTTTAAGTCAGAAAATATCTGATTAACGTCTCCTTGAACGATTATTTTGGGTAAATTTCCCACAAACGCTGTGAAAGGAGGTTCTTCTGGAAGGGGTCTTCTTCTAGCGCCTCCATAATCTCTAAAAACGATAAATATAATAAATTACACATAAATGCTATTATATGATCACTATTAAAATTGAACATTCGGCAAATAAACAGGGCGAAATCTTTAGAAATATGAGTCAGATTAAAAATAACAGTAAATGAATAGTTGTATTAGGCAATTTTAAACAAAGTTGTTATTACACATAACTGATAAAAAACGTACAATAATTTTTAATCTTTAAAATGCTTACCTCGAGTCACGATTCTCATAACTACTACGGCCAGCCATGTTGGAAATGAAAGCGAGGCAGGACTTTTATAGCGACAAATAGTTTTTAAAGTCGTCTACGCGTGAAAACCTAATGTAACTTTTGTCCTTTGAATCGTAACGGTTTTTTTTTTTTTTTTTCACTTTAAATGAATTTGAGATTACTGGTTCAAAGTAATTTTTTTTGTTATTGTTTTAAAAAAAATTATGATTTAATTTTTTTTTTTAACTTTGATTGATTATATTTATTATTAAAAGTTAGAAAAATGTTGCACTGAAAATTTTGTTTATCAATTTTTATAAACACTAGTTTATTTCTCTATGAATTATAATGAATCAAAATGTTTATAACTCTTTGCCCAGCAATTATTATTATTATTCTAGTTAAACAATACTTCTAAAATTTTCAAATTTGTTTTATGTATGTATATATAAATGTTAATTAAAATAAATAACAGTAATTTTCACTAAATACAATATCTAATTATTTTATTTATGTTTATTATAAATTAAATATAAAAACATTAAGTTTGAAGGTACGCACTTATTATTATTCTTTTATAGGTTTTTTTTTTAAACAAATTATTCAAATAAAGTTATAAAACATTTATTAACAAACGTAGAAAATTGGTAGTTACTAAATCAAATCCTAACAGAAAGACATAATGAATTTATAAATATATCAATGAGTCAAAGTATGATAAAATTTAAAATTTGGTAGCCAGGTACAACGTTTTCTACAAATACAAGGGACAAATATTTGAAATATTAAAATTATCACTTCAAATAAACATTAAATTAATCTCGAGCAGAAATCATTCAACAAAATGAAAAAATTTCATATAGAATGTATTCGAGTAAAAAACTAAATTTTTAAATGCTAGACTTATTACGATTAAATTACTCTAAATTAACAATACTTAAAAAAATTTTTTTTTTTTTTTGTTAAAAGGCATATTGATGATGAGAATAAATGTATTTAAATGCAATGGTAATCAGCAGGTGGTAATTTTACATAAAGATATTATCATCTATTAAAAATCTTTTTTCTCTTTTTACTACTTATATAATCATATATTAACTTGTATACTTCTAATTTAGTTGCTTCTATTTTAGTTTTCATATCTTTTGTAAATGGATCTAAATGTATCATTTTTTTTTTCCTTTTATAAATTCCCTCTTTTCTTTGTATAGCACACTGCAATTGTGATTCGGTTACATTAACTTCAAGAAATTTTAACAATCTTCGAAGATTTGATTCCAAATCGGAAATTAATTGATCGTAAAACAAGATCATGGTCGGTTTTGTAAAATTGAAAAACCAATCCAAATTTGTGTCTCTCCATTTAATTATTTGTTCTTGAACAAATTTTTCCCAAACTGAAAAACATATTTCATTATTTTTCAATTCATACAAACATATTAATGACATATTAAAAAGTATTTACATTTTCCTTTTCCAATTTTATATCTATCTGGTGATGCGAAACCAACATGTCCTCCTCCTTGTCTGTTAAATTCAGCTTGAATAGCTTGCATGGGATCTCGAATTAAAAGAACAGCTTTTTTATATCCCCTATGAGCTGCTGGACCTTTTTCATGAGTTTTAACAACAATAACAGAAGAATCTGCTATGTATTCTCCTGGGAAACCATTTTTTAATAATCCAAAGTCTTTATAAACGGACCCAGTGTGAATCCCTTAAAATAAATTAAATTTTTTATTTATTTATTGAAAGTTTAAAAGATTAATAATATATTTGAATTTTAACTTATAGAATTTCTTAATAATAACAACAGGAAAAGGAAATTATATATTTTCTTCGAGTTTCGAATAGTATTAACGAGGTATAATTAAAATAAATAAATATATAAGTAACCTGTTGCCTGTTGTATAAGATATCGCACCCAAGTATTTCCGCTTCCTGGAAAGGATACAAGAGCAATAATTGGCCTATTAACATCATTTAAAAATTTTAAAGGTTGGCACCATTTCATTTTGGGTCTCCTTGCTGTTTTTCTTAACAATGGATTAAAATCATAAATTTTTGATTTTCCTAAAACAAAAACAAAATTCCCCCCATAAAATTTACATTATTATTATTAAGTATTTATTTTAATATAAAGAGGGTACGATTATGAAATAAAAACGGGTTTTTTTATTAAAAAAACTTTGCTTTTAAAAATCAAACGGTTCATTTTTTTTTCTTTTCTTGTTCGACATAAATAAATGAAAATAATAATAAAAAAAAGTTTTGGCAGAAAGCCCGCCATTTTCTATTTGTAGTTTGTTAGTAAACATGACA